TTCTTCTTCTTCTTCTTCTTCTTCTTCTTCTTCTTCTTCTTCTTCTTCTTCTTCTTCTTCTTCTTCTTCTTCTTCTTCTTCTTCTTCTTCTTCCTCCTCCTCCTCCTCCACCAACGACATAACCTTCAATTGTTCTAGTAACGTGTTTGAAGCCATTGGACACAGAGACAAAGTTCACAAAGTTCTTTTTTGGGGGGTGTGAGGATGAAGTTGCAAGGTGATTGGGAAGATTGAGAAAATTGAGAAGAGGTTCACTGCAGGTTCAGCTTTCGAATTCCAGGTGGCGAGGAATCGCGACACGGAAAAGTCGCGACTGTACGGCATTTTATCTTGCCGGTCAGTATAGTGCTGAGGGTAGAGTGATGTTGTGAAAGGGGGCGCCAAAGGCCATCACGACCAGTTGTGAGAGATTTTCTTCGATCACACACTTTTGTCTTGTCTTGTCTTGTCTTGTCTCGTCGTATTCAGCGAAGCGAGTGCTTTACAAGTTCACCACGAGGTGGGCGGCGCGCAGCACATGAACCTAGCCTTCTCCGATCTAGATGGTGGCCGCATACTTCCCCAGAAGATTGGATTGGCCGTGGTGAAGCAACCATGTACAACATCTGGTAGCAGACGAAATCCTGTTCGACTGCGGAGAGACATCCCTGAAGCTACCAAGCGTCAATACATCTGTCCGGTGTTCATTGTTTAGAATTGAAAAACACCCGGAAAAAGGGTCACAGGCAGACTTTTGTCGTTAAAAACTTTTGTGGTAATCTTTGATCTGTGGTTGTCCCTGTGAGTCAGTCTGTCACGTGGGCGTGCTATATATGACTCGGAATTCCTCAGCCCAACGCTATCCCAAGACTTGGTCACGCACGAAATTCGGAGTTGTGATCAAGTTCGATGTCCCTATGTTCAGATGTGGTTCTTTTGGAAGTTTGCCATATGTTGCCTGAGGTGAAAGATTCACATACAATTGGAATTTCAAGGCTTCTTTTTGTGCTGTCACAACAGATCCACCTAGGGCTGGTCTAGCTTTTCGTTTCTTCCGACATTATATCCTAAAAAGAGGCCACAGGAGAGCTGACCTCGAAAATGTCTGCCTGAACCCAGAGGAGATCCTCCCTCCTACACCCTGGCCATCTTTCGACTCTTCACCAAGCTTCGGCAGATGCCTCTTGCCATTTTAGCAAACTGTGCCCTGCCCTGCTGTAACTGCTGTACAAGTTGCTCGGCTTGACATGGCTTTGGTGGTTGTTTGCGCAGCAAAATATGGACCTTACCAGTTCCAAGATACCATGCGTTCTTGGAATCATCAACTTTACTGGCATACAAGGACACATATTGCGTGTTGGCCTGTCAACGGCATTCAACTTCCACCAGCGCCTCCAGAAGATTAAATTTCGTGCTCGAGATGGCGGAGTCGCGTATTCTTCTCGCGCCTGTGATTTTTTATGTCCAACACATCTGCCATCTTACTCGACCAAAATCTCCCAATCGTCGTATCGCCCGATGATGAAGAGGCCCCCAACAAATTGGTTTGGTAAAGTGTACACGCATCGAGCTGGCTGGTGCATGAGTGGTGACGGCCAAATAACCCGCGTTGCCTTGCATGGAAAAAAATTGTTTTTAACTATCGTACCCGTGGCTTAGTACCACGAAGCTCCGCATCAACCTGGTTTATGTTGACTTTCGCGAAAGTCACGATGCTGTGAAAGCAGGATGTGTGAGGAACCCCCTTCTTCTCTGTTACCTGTAGTGGTCGAATTATGCGAGTACCAGCCGTGTGGATATGGAATCGGTGCGGATTCAGCAAGATGTGCAGGCTGTCTAGATGCTGACCCTGGCCATTCATTCAAGTCATGAAGTGGCTGATATGAGGTTGGCTCGTGGAGATTTGCCTGAATTGAGCTTTGCTGATGGTCAAGCTCGAAATTTATCATTCCATGGGCCGATGAGGGCATCTGTTGTAAGGGTTGTGACGTTCTTCGATCAAAAGTTGGATAGGTATGACTTCGATAGGCCGCAGGAAACCCATGCTGCATGTCTTCAGCCTCCGTACCAGAAGGTCTTGGTGGAATTTGACCCCAGTTGTAGGCTTCATTGGGATGCGGTGTCGGGTAACCATACGCGCTTTCCTGTGGCATTGCCATTGTGGAAGGAAGAGAGCCAGTTGTGAAGGCTGATGGGTATGTCCCAGATGCAGGATGTGCATAATTAGGATAATATCCTGAAGTTAAAGGTTCGGTCGCGAAATGTCGAGGTGACTGGTTGAGATACGCGGAAGGCGTGACTGTCTGTCCATGCTGTTGTTGTTGTTGTTGTTGCTGCTGCTGCTGACGGTGGTGTTCAAAGGGACTGGGATACTCGAAACCTGCACCTTGTCAGCAATGGAGTCGACGAAGGGACATCATGGGCCAGTCTCATATATGGAACGTTGCATAACAACCTCTCTTTTCTTCAAAGACCGTCCACGAACCGAGGACATATAACACGAACCTTCATCTTGTTCTACACGTTCGAACGAGTTGCTTCTGAGCATGCCGCCGGGAGAGGAAGAGGCAACCGAAGTATCGCCTTCGCTGAAGATGTTGTCGGACTTGGTACCAGACCTCGCGCGCTTACCTGGCGTCGAATTCTGATCGACGGGGTAGAAGTGACAATCTTTTTTCAAGCGAATACAATTCTGACATCGGCCAGCAGGATCATCGATGGCGGCGATACAGCGAATCTTGCGACGTCGACAGTGACCTATAGCGTGTCAGTGCTTGCTCACAGTACGTGAGGGCATATACGAACCACAGGCTACCGCAGTTCGATGATAACCAAGTTTGTTGCGCTTCTTGTCGGATGGAGACAGCGCTTGACCTTCGACAGACATCTCTTGCGTACCTGGAAACGAATTCGTCCGTGAAACCATGCCAGGCATATCCGGTGTGTCACTGTGGCTTTGAGGCTGACCATGAACAGGGCGTCCTTCCTGCATCCAGTGTCCAAACTCGTCTCCTTCTGCTTGCATCCCTTGCGGTGTGACTGACGCGCGCAGCAGCAGACTAACCACACCGATATCCTTTCTGAGCCCAACCAGTTACAGCCAACTATGTCGTCCCGTTTCGGCGCATTATCAGTTTTAACAACAAGACGCGATCAGTACACTCGGAACACGGTCCATCGAGCCCCTATGAGGATTGCTAAAAGATCAACAGGTGAATATCCGGGGGAATTTGAACAGCCTTGCCGCTGCTGTTCACTACAGCTCGATGAATAGTTGACCAGATAGCAAGACTGCTTCGTCTCTGCACAGTATCAAGGCAACGAAACGCACTTCAGCGACAATGTCGACTCCACAACGAGATTCTGTCAAAGACCGAAGGAATGAGGCGCTGGCACGTTTCGACTGCGATGCCTTGAGGACAATCTTTCTGGTTTCAACCACAAGCGAGCGTATCAGCGCTCCGGTTGCTGATAATCCTTAATGAATGCGTAACGTCGCTGAACAGCACAGCTGCGCGGACTCTGCGAGGAATTGAAGAAGAGAACGACTAGAGGTAGACAGACGAAAGGAAGAAAGATGTTGAGAGGGGTGAGTTTGATCTGGTCGTGATCGGTGCGAGAAGAGTTGCAAAAAGGCCCAGAGATAGAGTCTCAGCAGGGCTGAATTCAGCTTCGAGAATGGACACAGGAAACTTCGGCGCGAACACCAACAACAGCAGCTGCAACCCACTTGACAGATGATGCAAGCGACCTAATCGCACCAGCCAGGTAGGAACATAGGGCTCTACGAAAGCATGCAGAATTGATGGTGACTGGATCTTGCATTGGACCCAGGCCAGGTTCGACTGGTTCCCCCAGTGGAATCAACCTGGCAATCGAGGTGCCACAAAAGCCAATTTAGTACCCTTAGCTCTTCATACAGTCGGCCCAGGGTCCCATGAAAGGGACCATTGGCTGTCTAAGAGAGCTCTACTGCCGTTGGGATGGGCAGACGGATGATCGATGCTAGGCGCACGGGGTCCAGCGAGGTTAGCCAAGGGCAACTGGACCCTCCCCCGACGAGACACATCCGACACCATGCCTGTGTTCATGACTCAAGTAACATGAGCTGGGTCTGTGTGTGGCCTAGAGACGACGGAACGTCGGGCTCCAGAAGCGGCGTCTCGAGCACACTGACAGTCCAGAACGGTGTCCCACCGACCTTCAAACATGATGAGAACTTCAAAGCCTGAGCAGACTTCGACAGTGAGAGCGACTAGGCCTGCCTAGTGCTGTTTCTTTGTCCAGAGTTTGGCACGAGTACGGGTGTTAGCTTCCCAATTGTCAGGGTATCACTTTAGGAAACCGAAGCAGTCCCCTAGCCAAGGGCAGATGACTTGTTAGCGAACCAGACACATGGAGTACCAATTGACGCCCTAAGGCTCGGTTGAGCACCGATCTGCACTCCAGATTGTGTGTCTATTATTGCACAAAAGTCCATGGAAAGCCAATTCGGCGGAGGCAGAAGGATCCCACTCAACGTCATGACCGTGCTCTGCTACGGAGTACTTCGTACAGGGTACGCTGTGGCGTTGGACCACAAAACCAGAGGACTAATTTCCATCAAACGGACAATACTATTCGTATCCAGTCCCAAGGGTTTGATGGAGATTTCCAGCAGTAGGTGAAAGGCAGCGAGGGCGTCTTAATGCGGGCAAACGGCCTACGCTATCACGAACTTGCAACGGAACGAGTCCCGAAGTCACGGCGTATACCCACGAGGTGAATAAGATGGGATCTCGAAGCTAAAAGCTATGGTACTACTGGATTATTGATTTTAGGAGTTGACTGCCCCGGCTGCAGCGGATGCTTCAAAACCCACGATTTTCCATGCCAGCATCCTTGCTTTACAGAGGATCCAGCAAGTAAGCAAGGGATGGAGGTGACCTGAAAACTCCTCCACTTTCTTGGAAGTTGGGGGGTGTTGAAGGCGCCGCCGATCGTCTACGCCAGCGCCATTTGGGGTGCCAATGGACCCATGCACGCCTCCACCCACCTTGAGGGCCTGAACCGGGCATCTCAAACCAGGTGGCTAACCCTGGATTGGCCTTTCCAGGGAGGTGCGTATCTCCATTTGGGCTACAAACTGAGGTAAAAGGCGCTCCAGTCATCGCGTGGATAGTGGACACGAGCTAATAGTCAAGCACGAGTATTCCGCACGAGTACGGAGTAGAATGACAGTCGAATACAGGATCATGGCTTTTTATTACAAGAACAACCCAAGAACCAGTCTAACCTGGCTGGTGATGGGGGGATATATTATTTGAAAAGTTGCTGCAGGTTGATAGGCAATGATACATGATGGAGGTGTCCAGCAACGTGGACCGCCCACTCGCATCCGACGTCGCATAGATGGGCAGTCCCAAGCCTTCGAGCATGAACGGGGGTTCCAGGAGGGCAATAAGTGTTACAAAGTGCCACTCACGTCACCACTTGGTCGAGTGCGGGCGGCTTTTCGCCAGAGCTGCAGGTGTAGCTCGGTCTGTGCGCCATGTCGTTCCAATTTCTTTCACGCGAGATTCAGCCAAAGGGCTCGGAATACCGAAACCGAACAACAGCGAAATCCGGGAATCAAAACACAATAAGTCGAATGCGCAGACAGGAAGTCTTCCTCCGGCACCAAAGTTGTTGACTTGCTCCGGCGCAGTGCTTGGTCTGGTTACCATGCCCAAAGTCAATGCCCAGCATGCCTTCGTTATACTTCAGGATCCCGAGAAAGTTACATACTATAGTATGGTGTGCATGCGTGTGGCCTACGACTCATCCGGTATATGGTTGGTTTCGCTTGTCCAAGGTTTCCCGACGGATGTCTGTGCGAAAATAGTATCGGAGCTCATTATTGTACGATGCCCACTCAACCGGCTGCTCGGTTCGCCCGATAAAGTGGTTTCGCTCCAGGGTACCGCAGATCTTTCGTCCCGAACGTTTTTACGAGGGACCTGCAGGATGGAGACTTTGCAGTCGCGAAATTCTTTACAGACCATCAAATTTCCCAAATTGTATTTGTTTCGTTCTTACCGAGACTTTATGCATGGTCGAGGTGTCTGTTTCTAGAACAGCGACAGATGCATAACGTCATGACGTCTCGGGAGATGAGAGCTGATCTGGAGTATTGTTACAGGTCCTCCGTATCGAGAGAACCAACTGTCATGCCACCATCTCTCTGGGGGGTTTGCGGTCAGCCATGTGGTCCCTAGCACCCATCTTTCCACGTGGATCGAACCTCAATCTGGACGATTCCTCGCCCGGTCCAGGCGCTATGACGGGTGAGAGCATCTTAGCTCGTCTGGCGAAGACAGCTAGACGGACCATCAACACCCGAGCTGATCTTTGTCAAAAGTGCTTTCTCAAGCAGTAAACTCGAAGCCAAATTGAGAAAGGCTGGTGGGTAAGTCGGCGGGCTTTGAGTTATCACCGCCGAGGACAGCGGAGTCGACCCCCCTAAGCGTCCGCCATCAATAATGTTTCTCTGGAAGATATTTATCTTCTTTGTGGGAATCAAATTATCGGGTGTGGCCCACCACCAGTCGACGCCTGCGGAGGGCTGCCCTTTGATCCATCTGAATTTTTGACACCTCAGAATGTCATCCTTGGCTCCTTATCACGGCTTTTATGCGAACTGAGGGTAGAGTGCTAACTCGTGCAGATGGGCTTCCGAAAGGGTTTGCTTTTGACAGACGTTGTCACAAGGTATGTATGTACACACGTCCAGTGGCCCATGCGCGCTATCAAAGGGAGACGCACCAAGTCGAAGCCAAAAGAATGATCCCTGGATGCTCTTCTTGTCGATTTTACTTGACAAGTAGGAGATTGCCCGCGGCCAAAACATGGGTCAGAAAAACAACTCTCCGACAGCTGCCGGAAAGGTTTTGACTACTGTACCTGATACGACGACTCACATACGCCCGTACGAGGTACTTACACACACAGTGTTGACAGTACGAGCATGGTGATTACGATAACAATCATGTTTGTGCGCAATTAAATTCGGAAATTTTTTTATGAAGATCAGCAAAGCACCCAAAATCTGGCAAAAAAAAAGGATACTGGGCCGATATGTTTTCTAGTATATACTCGTAGAGGTGTCAAGCTTTTGGTGTATCATTTGCAATACCTAGCTTCCCACGGATAGAACGGCTTTGGAAATATGGAATGCTTGAAGCGCGTCAGCTGTACGAGTTACCCCTTCTATACAGTACTAATGTGATATTTATTCAGCCCGACATGTTTTCGGCCCCAAACGCCAGTTTGACTTTTTATTGTATATCACCATCAAATACTCTAAGCTTCGCGCATATGCACTCGCCAGGGGGCTGTATGTGTGTGGTGCATGACAACCCACTCCTTATGGTCCTCGCACAGGGAGTGCGCGAAAGGTTTTAGGTCGGAAACGGCTAGTTCTGAGTGTGAGAGAGAGAGAGAAGCACTAAACCGATGGTCCAAAATCCTATGTGGCGATGAAGATCCCTACCGTTTTATACTCCCGTACAGTAAGTGTTGGTGTAATACGGAGTATCAAGGGCACTTGATGTAGAGAAGTCATTTTCATTCATTTCCAATGGTCTCCCGAAACCCCTGAAGAACTGCTTTTGGTCTTTTGTCGGTACAGTAATTATTGTAAGAGTCTTGCCCCTTTTCAAACAAACCAAAAAAAAAGAGAAACAAGGCGATTTGGACAGTACATCCTGGGTGAGTACTCTTTTGTGTTTCTTGCGTACCTAGCTCTATAATAGGTAAGGACGGAGTAAGTAGGTACTGTGTGTTTTTGCTACAAAGTCGTTCTTTCATTAAGGGTGATCAACTTGTCCTCCGTGCTCGTATTTGTACTCCGTATCATTGTCGCGATTTATGAAATCCATGTCAGAAAAATACAAGGGATCAATGACATACATGTACGGTAAAATGCCATTTTCATTCGTCAACATATTCACCGGTCGGTGAATTCTTTTTTCTTTTTCTTTTCTGGCGATCCACGTCAACAAAATGGCCCGTTTGCTGTGGCCCCTTACCGTGTTGCCAAATCTGCTTTTTTTTTGTCTTGTGCCCGAGAGAACATGAACCTACTCTTTTCACCCACAAAGTGAAGGTAAGGAAAAGGTGAAAACATGTCCGGTACTCCGTACCTCGTATCCGCAAGTTGTCAGGATGTTCTGAACCGGGGTATGGAGGCTACATCAGGCCTGGCGCAAGTTACGCTGTACATAAAAGTGTTGACGATCTGGATTGCCAAAGTCTCTTTGAAAAGAGTTGCGAGTACCGCAAGTGTCATGTAATGAAATACAGTATTTCTATTTCTACATAGGCTATGAAGGCCCACCCTGCTTGGTGAAAGAGCAGCCCTTTGTTGAGCTTGTCACTCTAAAAATCCAGTTTGACGGGCATGTTGCTTGCTGGGGTTTGGTCGCTTGTTACGAGTAACCACCAGTACGGAGTAGAACAACGACAAGGTGCTAGTTTCGACTTTCTATTCATGGTAGCAATTTTGAACCGATCAGGGGGGAGAGAGGGAGAGAGAGAGGGGCCGCGTTGCCGAAAGACGGAGGACAATTAAAGATGATCCAAGAGAAAAAGAAATACTGTAGAGATCAGCAGCGGTTGTGGGTCGATCTTCAAATCCTTTTGAAAAGAGCATCCATTGGATTAATGATTTCAAGAAGAACAGGGGAGTGGATGATGGCGAAGTACGAGCCAGTACGCAAGTAACTCGTACGAGCTTCCCACCCAAACAAGGATCAATAACCCACGTAGGGAGTTTCTGGTACTCTTGGGGAGATACAACTAGTTTATCCCTCTACCCATCACTACTTTGTGTCAACAATGGCAGAAAAACCAAAGGTAAATAACGCCAACATACGGAGTAGTCATGACTGAACTTGACGTAACTTGCGTATACCATCGTACGAGTACTGTCTACGAGAATCAAAACCAGTATTTACACGTTTGATGACCCGTACTGAGTACTTCAATACCCTGTCGATGGCATTATGCACACTTATTCACAGGTATTCATTCTCCTTGGGATATATATACCACTCTCCAAAATATTCATACAGTTACGGGAGTCCCTTCCACGCCTAAAGGTTCTCCATACGACTACCCTTTATACTGCGTAATAGAGTACTCGTACTCTGTTGGTACTCTCTCTCTCTCCCCTCTGAGGAGTATCCCTGTGCTCCGGAACTTTCATTACCAAGGTACTACTTATCGACAAACATTACACCATCTCTGTCTCTCTCTCTGTCTTTCTCTCACACAAACACATCTTCACTGATCCTTACCTTACCATGACAGACTATGCATTGTGACCCGAGACTGTGGTTCCAATCAAATGGTTCCTCACCGAAAAAATGGTGACGAATGCGTGTTCTTCTTTGTTTGACGCGTCTCCCAATGTTAAATTCAAGGGTCTAGAACGATCTGGGTTCGGATCGTCCTTTTTTTCTCTTCTCTCTACACACTCTCTAGCTTACGAACGACGTCTACGAACACGAATACTTGGTAACGAATCACCTTTGTACTTTTTTTGGCGGTTTTTGTCCGTAACTCTCTCTTTGAATCTTCCTCTCTCTCTCTCACTTCTCTGGCACTTGACCCTGATTCCTGGTTCCTTTGCTTAAACTTTTTGTTCCATCTTTGACTTTCAGCCAGGCTCTTAGCTTCCAACTTTCTATTGTTCAGCTTCACTAGGATCCCCCAAACAGCCCCCCCGCCCTCTCTGCTTCCCCCATGGTCTTATCTGTAAGTCCGATTGGAATGGTCCAGGTCCCAGGTCCCCTGTGCTAGGTCTAGGGGTTTTGGGTCTCTCTGTCGAAATCTAGCCTGCACTCGGCGCATCTGGAACAAACTCTCTCTGCCTCTCTCTCTCTCTCTCTCTTCCCCCCCCTGTGTCTGTGGCTGGACACCCCAAAAGACTGTTCGGATTCAATACGAATCTCGGAGAGTATCCCGTACTCAAAAAGTAGAACTCGGATCTTTTGACTCTTTGACGATCCCGGGACAGGTACCTTTCGGACAGGAAACGATCCGACTTCTCATCGTCATCCAGTCATGGGACATGTCAATCTAGATCTTTTCACGTGGAAAATAGATTCATCTGGGGACTGGACTTTGGAGATGGAGCATCACAATGTTCTCTTGGTACAGTATACGTGTGTGTGTGTTTTCCCATTCATCCATTTTCCATCCGAAGCCTTTACCGATTTACTCATCAAATCCTTGTTGGAGGTCCGTCCAACCCATCATCGAGGGGGTTTAGCGAGTGGTTCCAACTGGTACAGAATCCGAGAAAAACAAGAACCTGTCAAAACCCGACCGGGAAAAAAAACAAACTCACAAACACGAGTTGACCATTGTCATGTTTGATGAGATCTTGTGTCCGTGGTCCTCTTTCGACCGTTTTCCCTAAACCACCCGCATCAAAGCATCATATACTCCGTGTTACGGAAGTAAGAAACAGCCATTGACGGATGGTTCCTCCGAGATGTAAAAAATATCGTCATGACTTGTTACACCATCTTGGAAGGTATTGTACCCAACGAACGGTGGTGACATCCAATCTACAATACCTACCAAAGTACCCGAGGGTCAGTACCCAACCCAGCCAACCACTAGAACTATCCTACCCCATTCTAGGAAATGTCGACAAGTTCAACCCAAGTTGGGTACGGAAGGTTGAAAGTAGAAGGTGAGAGAGGTAACAAAAGTGTCAGAGTCATGTCACTTTGTTTTTCCTCCCCCCCCTTTTTTGGATCGTGGATCGAGATCAACATTGTCACAAAAACACCAAGATATGACCAGAAAACGACGCAAACACCACATGACACAAGACGAAAACCTCTTGGTTCAAAATATCAATCATCCTCCTTGTTACAAAACAAAACAAGTAAAAGTCCCAAGGCCATGATAGTAAACGTGTTCAATCAGCGTGGTAATCGACTTTTTTATTTGTTTATTTTTAAAAGGAATTTGTTGAAAAAAAGGAAAAAACAACCACAACTTCATCAGGTTTCCTATATGGCAAATAATCTTAAGAGGCAGTCCATTTCATTGCCATCTCTCTCATTCCACTATGTGGATAGACAACGCACATGTACATTGTCCCATTCGTCCTCTCTCTCTCTCTCTCTCTCTCTCTCTCTCTCTCTCTCTTTCTGTGCTTGAAAGAAGAAAAAAAAACAACTCAAATCACTCCTTGATACCTACCCTGACAATGACACCGATTTCCAAAGCCTTGGCCTCCCTCACTGCACAACTGAGGCACGTCCTACCGACGCGTGCGACGATGGCGTTGCGTCCCTTTTGTGCGCACCACGCCCGCACCAGGACATCTTTGTTCCTTATCTGTTCCACCCCGGGACCGCACCATTCAGCCAGACTCGCCGCCGCGGACATGTGACTCGAAGTGGTCGACGAAGTATCGTCGGACCGAGTCTGGTTCTGGTTGTGACTCTGGTGGAGGAGGCTCTGGATCTCACTCCACTTCTCCTTCTCCCCGGCGCTCAGCTTGTTCCTGGCGTCGACGATCCAAACTTCCACCGTCGGGCCCGCGCCGCACGCCGGCGGTTCGAGGTGAGGGTTCTCCACGACCTCCTCCAGCGTCTTCGTGACGAACCTGTACGTCTTGTGCAGGGGGTGCGCGGGCAGATGCTCGGACGCCTTGTGCCGGGGGTGCTGCCGGATGTAGTGGGCGTCGGTCGAGCCCGGTTTGAACGTGGCGTGTCCGTGGGGGAGGCGGCAAGGGTACGCCGTGACATAGTAGACCGCCCTGTCGAGACCGTAGCGGACTTGTTTGGCCTCTGGTGGAGTTCCGTCCGGTCGCGTGATACTGAGATCGAACTGCGCCCACGCCGAAAGGGCATGGTCGGCGCTCATGGCCGTCGCGTTCGTGTTGGACAGGTGCAGACTGACCGACTTCACGACCACCTCGGCGTGCGAATCGTGGTCGAGAATGTGATCCGTCACCATGCTGAACTCGGCGCCCATGATGCCGCCTTTGCCGACACCCAGAGGTGTTGATTCGGTCGCGAGTCGGTCGCCGTCAAGAATACGTGGACGGTCTCGTTGCGTCGGCACAGGATAAGACTTGATCTTGAGCCATCGACTCGAGACCGCTTCCGAGGTAGATTCGACAAAAGGCACAAAGTTGGGCAGGCAGATCCAACCCATGCTCTCCTTCGAGCCACGTATGGGCGCCAACACCCGGGCGACGATACTGGATTTCGACCACCACGAGGAATCACCCAGGACAAACCCACAGGATCGGAAAGGCAGGTTCATCGTGCCCAGCGTTTCAAGCGTGGCCGGGTCCGTGTCGTTCTCAAGGAGTGTCGCCATGAGCATGTCGGACGTAGAATTGCCAGGCAAGATCAGTCCCGAGAACCAGCTGTGTGAAAGCCAGCCGCCGATGGTTTCAGGGGTTGCTGCATGTAAGTTGAGGTTGAAGCTGTCCAGTGGCGGAACTATCTTTAGTTCTGCCTCATGCTGAGCATGGTGGGTTTCGTTTGTGCAAAAGAAGGCCTCCAGGAGAAACCTGTCTCGATCTTCCTGTGTGCCTTCATTCAACTTCTGGGACAGGCGTGCCTGGACGTCGAGAGCCCTTGGCCAACCGATGTTGGTGGCGAAGCGGAATACACCATCGATGATTATCTGTGGATCGCGTGGTAGAATCGCAACGTCGCAAAGGTCCGGTTCCGACTCGGCCCTGTCGTCAAGACCAAGGGTGTGCCTCAGTCCGCCAAAGAAGCTGGCATGGCGATCGAGCTTGTGAGCTTGAGACTCCGTCTTGATCAACGTCTCCTTGCGCTCGTTCCTCTTCACGTAGCACAAGTCCAAGTAGCGTCTCGCAAGCACCAGATCCCAGTCGACCTTCAGTGTGCGGAGCTTGTTAAAGTGGTGTATTTCTTCACTGGAAATTTCAAAGTGTTCAGCATGCATTGCAATGCCCAGTCGCAAAGCAGCGTCGAGGCGGACGACAAGTTCGAGAGAAAGGAGGAGCTGGATAAGAAGCCATTTCCTCTCCGGATTGATTATCATCGTACCGGTTGTGTAGTCAAAGTGAGTAGTGCGGCTATTGATGATCTTGCCAAAGCGTAGTCGGGCTTCGGGAGCGCTCAAGTCTAGCCATGCCCCAGGGGTAGCAAGGACTTTGACCAGAGCTTCAATTTGTACCTTCATGGCCTCCTTGTCATGCCATTTGGACTCATTGTGCAGTTTTCGTGGTGGATAAAGCAATTCGCCGAAGAGATGGTCGTGGAGTTCAGGGGACTTGACTTGGTCCAACACAGTGGCACGCCACCCTGCACTTACCGTTCTATCACGCCAACCATCGAGCATTTCCATTCTGCCGACCAGACATTGCATGGTTATGGGTCTTACCCCGACACTTTTCCAAGCTGGAGGGCCCCCGTTGATGAACTTGAGACGATCCTGTGCGGGCGCATGCTTGCCCACTTTGGCATTCATTTGCTCGTTGTCTCGAGATAGAGCTAGCATTTTGAATGCCTCAGTTGCCGGAGTATCGTCCAGTGACAAATCGACTTCTACATCTTTGGCATGTTCTCTGATCTTGCTGTCTTGTACGCCGTCTGCAACCGGTCTCTCCAGGAAGTATCTCAGTCCAACGGTGCCAGGCTCTCTCCCATCTTGTCCTAGCATGTTTGGTCTCTCGTAGATTCCTAATTCGAACAGCGGCCTCTTTCCCGTTTCGAGTCCCACTTTTTTCATAGGGAACGGCATGCCCGGAACCCACCCGACCTCATCCGGTATGGGTAGATGTGCATGAAGCGTACAGAATGCGAAGCTCTCATGCTTGAGATATCTCCGATCCTGAAGATCGCCCACTTCGAGATCGTTGTTCCAGGGGAAGAAGGCTTGGGGAAAGAATCGTCCCCGCCGACCCTTTTCCAGGATGAATTGAGGAGCACCGTTGAACAGATGTTCGACGTCATCTTTGGTGAGACCGTCGGGCTTCTTTGAAGGCTCTTGCTTAGTGGCCGTGCGAGATACTATGCCCGAGTCATGAGTAGGGAGGCGATGGGTGTCTGTGGCACTCCGGGGTGTTGATGGCGGACTTCCAGACGAGGCTATATTGGCTGAAGGGTGAGGATGGGATTCCATTCGTTCAACGTGGACATCATGGGCCGTGGTCTCAGGTCTTAACTCATCAACTTTCGGTTCAACGAGCTTCTCCATGGATTCCATGGTGGCTTGCTTCTGGCTTGTCTTGGCCTGTGTCGCAATTCAGCCTTGTGCAACCATAAGACGGCAAAACAACGGAATTTGCGGTTCTCGAGAAAAAGTACAGACATCCTTACCTCATGTTGCTGCGTGGTGTTAGAGGGGTCATCTTTCTTCTTTGGCCCTTCATCCGATCTACTGATGCTCTTGCTCAAGCGTCGGAAGATGGATGGCTTGCTTGAGCCTTGATCTGTCTCCGTCGACGAAGCCCGGCTCCGGCCTCTACCATCATTGTCCCTATCGGTCGAGTCGCCGGAACCTTTCCTGGACAAGAAGGTCATCTTGCGACCAAGGAGGTTAGTAACGATCTTCGATATTGTGGGCCAGAGACGAGGCAAGTTTGAGGGATTGCTGGCTGCAACGGTGGGGTCTTCACTCCATCAATATCAATCAAGGACAAGGAAATGTGCTCCGCTTGGCAATCTGAGAGGTGAAATGCTGTCTCATGATAAGGGCAGGAAGCAATTTGAAGGGCGGCAAATATTGAAAGTGTTCGTTCATTTGGATGATTGTAGCAAAAACCAGCAACCAAGCAAGTTATGTCAGCCAGCTGCATGTGACACACGTGATGATTACTGAGCGCAATAACCAGCGAAATGACGTCAGGTGAAACGACATGTGCGCATGGGTCTATGCGCAGCTATTTTTCTCATGTGCCGAACCAACGCCGGCATTGCCAGTGAGAACAAGATAAGACTGATGGTCACTATGTTGGCGCAGTCGAAGACCTGCCATACCTCGGCGACAGGAGAGGTTCAGGGCGAGTCGAGGGAGACAATAGAAGTGGCAAACATGTGGTATCTTCATATGTGCAATTGCCTATGTGGCTGATTGGAAGATGGATGCTCCAGGAATGTATATACTTGGTCTCTATTTTACGAAAGCAGTCACCGAGCAAATGTTGATAAAAGCACAAACAATGCAATTCCATCCTTGCAATAACTCCATTGTCGTGTCATGATCCCACCCTGGAATATTCATATGCGCCACATCAATGCTCGCTCTCGAAAGGGATCGACATATAATCATAGCTCTGGCTAGAGAGCTGCGAGGGAAAATCATGCTCGTGCAAATCGTAAACGTCGTCGCGCCAGACGTGCGCAAGGTCGCTCAGAACTCACCTAAACTTCTTCTGCTGGCTCGTTTTCCTTTTCCTCGTTGACGATTGAGCTGTTTCTCTTGGGTCCACCAGGCATCGAAGTCACTCGTCTGTGTCGGCTATGTTGATGTTGGAGACTGGGTCCACTATCAGACGGTCCAGTGATGGTACCACTTCTAGAAGGCCCTCTCAGACTTGAAGACCGGTGTCGGTTGGAGACATCATGCGTACTGTCAATGCTCATCCTAGATTGTGCCGGCGTGAATCCTTGATCAAGGCCCAAGTCTTGAAAGTCTCTCATGCTCCAGCTTGTGCGGTGTACTCTTGCACCGTATGGCAAGTTCGATGTACTAGTCCGAGAACGCATGGATTGAGAGCGGGATACTTGAGCCTGAGGGAATGGAATAGAGTTCGGCTCTATCGAAGCTCGTTTCGACTCAGTATTATCAACGACGTCTGAATCTCCATCCGCATCCTCATCCTCAATTTTCGGCTCTCGTCGTACAGCTGCAACAGAAAAGTATGGCTCCTTGGGAGTTTCTGATTCTGGTTCTGGAGCTGGCGGAGGTCGTGGAGGCTTTGGTAGGTCCGTGGCCTTACGGTCAATGTGTGCAAAGTATCTTGTCCGTGGCTTTAGCCATGATCGAGGCTTCATGGTCTCACGATAGCGAGTGAGCGACATGTAGCTCGAGATGGCACCCAGAACGATAGCAATCATCAGACAAATGGTGAGGATGCTTTGAATGACGATAACAACGATTCCGATGGCTGTCGTAATAATGCGATCGAGTCCAAATCGAGGATCGAATGCCGACGAGAGAGCCACCGTGGCAACTTTGCTGAAGCCAAGTAGATACACCATCAACAAATTCAAACGGTTGCTCTCGAATGGTCTCATGAGGACGATTGCTACCAAGGCGATGATCTCCCACGCCAGGAGACCGAAAACCTGGGTTAGGGCATGACCAGCAGCACCGCCGTAGAATGCAGCCCTGACCAGCTCGTAAATCAACCAGAAGGCAAAGAACCACCATTTGCTCCGGCGGAAACGTGCTGACAACCAACCAAACTTGGCAATGTAGTTGGGGTCATCATGAACGTGAACCCGACCAGAATCTAGATCGGGAAGATGTCGTTGCAGCCACGTTTTCGATTTGGGTTCTGCCTCTGGATTATCAGCCGAAGGCGTGGGGCTCCTCTTTCCTGAGTCGATCACCTTCTGGGGATCCTTCTCACGGTCTTCTGGTAAAGCTCCTAGTTTGGTTCTGTACCAGATTGCTAGACCGCAAGAGCCCAGCATTCCAACAAGGACAACAAGGAAAATAACCGTGGCAATAGCCTTGACACCATTCGAACCACCAAAGGTGAATTGGAACATGGTCAAGAACATCATCATGAAGAAGGCGATGTAGCAAGTTCTCAAGACCATAGTACCGGTGAAGAGAAGCCAATACCTTCGAAAATATCCCAGCCGCTTTGTCTTGATCACGTGAAGCGCGATCATGGCCTCGACGATCCACTTGAGCAGGAATACTGCAGCAAGCAGACAAGCCACAAATATGAGGAACCAGAGCAGACCGGTCAAGAACGCATTCGACGCGGGAATGTTCAGCTCTGCCAACGTTCCAGCAAAGCCAGAGAAATTTCCAGGCAGCGGCAGACCGGGTTTAACAGGCGTTCCATACCATGCATATCCGGAAGATGAATTTGCAAGGTCTCTTCGGTTAAGGACATGCTCTAGCTCGTTGGATCTGAATGTCACGCCTGAACCCTCATACGGGCGGAAAGGAAGGAAGGCCGCTCGTTTGTAGATTTGTGAAATCTGATATCCCCCACCTAGGTCGATCGCATTTTGACCGTTGGGAGCAGCACCGACCATGCTGATGTTTCCGGTGTTGCTACCGATGAACTTGTTGATTGAGTTCTGCATCTTCTGGCTGTATATTATACCAGCCGACCATGCGTAGTTGCTCCAGAACGCCACCAAGACACTTGGCCAATTCATCGATAAAGCTCCAGTAAAGAAAATGTGATGATAGACTGAAAAGACAACGAACATTGACATTGAATGTGCATAATGCTTGCGGGTTTCCGGTACATTTCGACCGTAAATGCTGGCTGCAACCGACGAGAACAGAGCAATTACTGCAAAGACGCCCAGGACCGGACCGACAGCTGAAGGGTGGGAGAAGGTAGCACCATTTGTGACGACAGCCGAAAAACAAGCTATCTGTGACTGTGTCGAATTGGCGAAAATCCGGAGAATGGCCTGTCCTTCGAAGTCGGGAATGGAGAGGGCGATGGTCGGGATATTGGCGACGTCCGCTTGGGATATGGGGATGATGCCATTGGCAGAGATTGGGACCGACGAGTTGAGAGGACACAGACTGTCAATGTTGGCGCTGCATGGATTGAAGGTCAAATTAAAACGAGACTCTCCGTATGCAAAGACACCAATATACACTAAGGCCATGTTAACATGGGTCCTGGTTGCTTCCTGCTCCCGGGACGACACTTACTCATCAGAGACTCATTGGTCAAAGCAGAATTGCCCTCGAGGTGAAATAGCACCGTCATATTATCTTTGTAGTATGCAGCATCGAAACGAGTGACGTTGATAAGCGAGTCACCCTGACAGTCTCCGAAATTCTGGGTGTACAAGGCCGGCTTGCGGTCGTCCTCCAGCCATACTGTTCCATCATTGCCGGTATATTTGATCCAGGTCGTATTACTTGCTCTGGCCGGTGCACTGAACGAGAGAAAGGCCACCAGAAATGACCAGACCGTGAACCAGGTCCAAACTGAGTGTGAACGCACCGACGCCATGGTGCCACAAGCTGGCGCCAGGCTCACAGGGAGAATTCTGTGAGTGAAAGGTGTGCAGGTCGACTGCGAAGTGGGAGGCTGGGTGAGTTGATATACCGGAGCAACCGGTGGAGATAGTGTCCCAGTTATGACGATGTTGGCGTTGGCGCAGGGAGAGTACCAGCCTCTGTTATTATGGATTTATTATGTTCTTTTTGCAGTATGTGCAATCCTGTGCATAGAATCTCCGCTCTCTTCTCTCCAGAGTTCCTCCCAACAGGCCCTAAGGCTTGAACGAAGGTGGACGTTTGTGTTGGAAAAAGTGCAGAGGATGCATCGGCGGACGGAGTTTCGGGATTGGCGGGTAATTGTTAGCGACTGTGAAGAAGCTGTTGGCGGTTACTGATTGTTGAATTGTGGTGGTAGGGTGATTCGCAAGCTGTCCTCCAGGTGACCCGGTGAGTTTCAAGGCATAGACATAGAAGAAGCAAGGGCAAGATGTAGGGCGGTGACTGACAGGTATGGATGTGTAGAGGATCGTAGTATCGAACGGCCCTGAGTCTGGGAAGTTAGCCTGAATGCTGGTGCTGCTATCGAGAAAAAGATGCCGATGTAAGGCTAACATGTGTCGGACTTGCATACGCATACGCACCCACTGCACATGCAGGCGAGATGAGCTAAGGAATAGCTAGCTACCAAGCTAAGCGGTGCATTTGGCCTTTCAGGGTATGGGTGAAGGACTCGAGTTGCTTACAAGAACTGTTTGAACGTACTAAAGTTGAGGCTCTCCAGGCAGTGGTGTCGATGTTTCCCAGAGGTAAATGACAATAATGGAAGAGTCGTGTCCTTTCAGTCTGTTAATTAATTCCCACACCATTGCCAACGGACTTTTTTTTGGTGTCAATGACGCATTGTCCGCATCCAAGCTTGGAATTGAAGACACCCACAATTTGAAGTAGCTGAAGTAGCTTGTGTTCCGCATCCGTGATGTATGTACATGAAGGCACACCTGGATCTTCAGTCTTTAGTGTCACCCATCCATCGGCAAATCGGCCATAAGAAAATGAGGAAGCGACGATTCCGAAATCGCCTAAAAGGGAGTTGAATGCGATGAGCATCATATTCCTCCTCCAGGTCAGACTATTTATTATTCCCAGCACAGACCAGTTCTATCTACCCCATACGAGGACTGTAATTATATGTTTTCTTAGCATGACGATTCGAATAGTCCATCATTTCGACCCCCCGCTATGAAGTGATGCCCTTCTGGGCTCGTACACCCACCTGCTGTGTCATGGTAAACAAGCAAGGTTAAGGATCTAATTTCCAATCGGCTGATTTCAAGGCTCGTGTTCGTCTAACTGAATCTTCGTCATCCCGCCCGAGTTACAAGATCGATGCTGTCAAACAAGCGGCATCTTGCAGAACGCGGCAGACAGGTGTCAGGTGTCAATGGGCTGGCCTTGGAATCACTCTGTTCTCTTTTATTCCGTATGTCGCTAGTGCTGTCGTCTTCCTTGTTTTGCCCACTCTTTGCTCCCCGTGCGTGCCGAGGATGGCCTGGAACTGTTCTGGGGTGTCCATTTTAGGCGAGATGGTGTCTGGGCTTACATACGTTCCGCTGTGACTGTTATGGTCGAGTGTGGACGAAATGTTGCTTGCAACAATAATAATATGGCATCATGTCGTCAACAAATCCACGTCGTCGATCAGAACATCCTCGATATGGTTATCCCTGCTGAATCACTTCTCCGCACTTTGACGAGGTTCTTGCGCGAATCTACTGATCCTATGAGTACTCGTACATGAGATGTCTCCGAAGGACCCGGGTGTCCTAGACAATCTTGCGCCGATCACTGACGAAACCTCTGGATTTGAATATTCCCAAAACTTCGCTGCGTCCTAGATGGACTGCCCAATCCACGGCACTCAATCCCGTGCTATCTGGACTGTACGGATTCGCTCCGCAGTCCACCAAAACCTTCACCACGTCGGCATGACCACGGTAACTGGCAATACCGAGCGGCGTGGCCCCGAATCGCCCACCGTTTGATTCAAGGTCAGCACCGCTGTCGATGAGATATTCAACGATAGTAAGCAGACCAAACGACGCAGCATAGTACAGCGGAGGCGTTCCTGCGACCACTCGTACTTCTTGCTCCGGGAGAAGTACCTGAACCCATGCCAGGAAGTTTCCGTGTTTGGAAGTCGCACTCGAGAAGAATTTCTTCATCGCAACTGATAAAGATGGGCCCATTGAAGCCACTTTTCCAGCATGCAATGCCCAGTTGTAAGCCGCGTAAGCGAGAAATGGAAAGCGTGCTTGTCGTTTATCCTGCGAAGCGGTATCGGGACAAGGGCCACTTGCAAACACCTTAAAAGAAAGATATGTCAAGCATTTCTCTGCGAAGTATTGGTTGGCCGAATCCGCTGAGAGGTAAAAGTATGCCGTGCTGCCTTGCCGACTAGGGCTGGTCAGGTATGCCTTCACCGAGTGATGTGCCAGAGACACAGTCCCAGTGTCCTCATCAAAGTCCACCAGCCCGCCACAGACGCTCACCACGTCCATAGGGAATAGTAAAAGCTTGTTCTTATCCAGATGCGCCAAACCCGATGTTATCTGCAATGCTTCACAGATTTCCACTAAACTCAACGGCCTGAGACAGAAGGTAAGCAGGAGAAGGACTTCTTTCACCAGATCTTTATCCCCATCGTCGACTCGCGATAGTATACCTTCATAGGTGCTGTCAAGACTGGCCGGCATCCCAGCCAAAGTCGTCCGAATTTGACCTGGAGTTTTGAGGTGAGCTAATCGGACAAGCTGACACTGTACCCAGCGAAACCTGCCATATGGTCAGTCGACGATCTCCTCTGGCCGACGCCGACCTTGGCACTTACATTCCATTGTTTCCACGCGTGAGAGACACCACTATCTCCTCTTTGATATCGGAGGGTAAGCCTTGCATCCTGGCATGTCTTTCAAGGAAGGTGCGGATATAGGTGTTGACGTCGTCTTGGATATCAGCCATGCGTATCGTCTCTATCGTCAGATATGGCACCGGCTGTAAATACTGCTCAAATTCCGGGCTATTGACGCTGGATATGATGATTGTACAACTCTCGGAAAGAGACCTCAACGATTCCAACACTAGCAGTGGCTCGCTTGCTTCGTTGACTGCGTCTACCGCGATAAATACTTGGCCATATTGTCGGGACGTTCTGCGAATACTGTCTAACATTTCCTCGAGCAGGAGAGGTTTTGGCTTTCCACCGTCCCGAGCGAATCTCTCACGGTAGAGCTCTGTAAGTTCTCGAGAAAGCCCTGGGCTTCGATCAGCCAGCTGCGCCAGGATAGATCCAAAGACACTCGTGGGAAGTTGGCTTTCTTGATCGTCAAATGAGCAATAGTAGTATCCGACCCTGGTATTGGAATCATTTCGTCGCAGTAACTCTTCGATGACAGTTGACATGAGCGTCGTCTTTCCTGCGCCACCTGCTGAGGTCAGCTTGGTACTTTATTGAAGACGCAGGACGAACTTATTCCGCGTAACCAGAGGAGGGCTCCACCGCCCGAGGACACCCACTGTTTGAAACATTCGCGCTCCAAGAACCATGTACCACTGCCGTATGTGCGGCATTTACTGTTCCTCTCATGATGCACTTTGGGTTTGGTAGGCGACAGCCAGGTGGCGAGCTTGTCGGATATAGCAACAGAGGTCCAGTCCATAGTATCAACAGGGATGCCATCAGATGAGCTTGCATCTGGTTTGGAGAAGCGTACTTCATTCATGTCACGCCCGCTTCTTATTGATTTATGGATCTCTTCTTTCAATCGAGTGAATGCATAATCTCCCTCGCCATAGAGAGGTGGCATGTACACGTCAAAAAGGCCTAAAAGACAATATGCTTTGTCCTCTATTCGCTTGGTGTTGCGACCCAACGCCCATCTCAACCGTTCATCGACAGAAAAATTAGACAAGGAATCACCTCGAAGAGCAGGTAAAGGGATTGTAGTGATTTCGTGGATCATAGCCTCCAGAGTCTTTTTGCTGCCGAGACGAAGTCCCTCATGGGAAAAGAATTCGACCGAGCTGGGAGCCAGAAGCTCCTGCAAAGTCCAGCCGCGCGTGAACCAGCGACTTTTATAAAAGGCCGCCTGCCAGGCAGCCTGACTCTCTCTATCACAATCATCGATACTCGTCGTTGACACGTTAGAAAGATAAACATAGCATTTAGCGGCGCCACGGTACCAGCGATACATGGATATAATAGCCTCTGATAGTTCGGCATGATTGGCTCGATGAATGCAACAAGTGTCTATCCAGAAGTATTGCAAACCGTCTTTCTCGGCTTGTCTTTTGCAGAATTGAAGCTTGGCATAGCCGGCCTTGCCTTCAGCTTGCTTGTTTGCAATATCATCAAAGGTCACCTCGTCGTCTTCTGCGCCCCAAGTGTGTGAGAGAATAGCATAGGCCGGTATATCGTCAATCAAATCTCTGGTCAAGGTGAATCCACCATGGTGGTCACTCCTTAAGAGGCGCATGCTTTGCCAAACGGCAAGATGTTATGTAGTGTCCTGCGCCAGGCAAAACCGTCTTCGATGTATATACCACATTGGATCGTCTCGAGGCATATGAGGTGCGAGGCTCGCTGTAAGCGGGATGAACTATTGGCTGCCTCGACAAGAGTTCACAATTTTACAATCGTGGCCGAAAATCGCATGGAGGGTTAGATCTGCAGCCCTGATCGAGGGGCTCGAATAGACTCCTCGGCGACGATCAAAATCGTAGTGTAGAGCGTTTGGTGCAGGCAGGAAATGAAGTGTAAGCGCAGCTGAACAACAAGACGTGAAACTGTCTATTACTGGACTTGAGTTGGCCAACCGGGAAAGTTAGGCGGTTGCCGCCCCTGAGCGTCTAGCAGCCTGGTCAGCCTCGGCGGTGGTCTCGAACACTTTGTTCAGCACTCGATTTTGTGGGTTCACGTTCTAAGCAATGTGTAGGTCGATGAATATTATGGCAATTGGAGCACAAAGAGCTTCTCAACACGATTATTGTGCAGACGTACCGGCCTTGTATAAGCACAACATCTACAGCGTCTTCTCTATCTCAGCCAGTGGTGTCATGATCTCATTAATCTTCCTTCTCACTGCCTCACTCGGCTCTTCGTATGGTCTCCTGGGTCGCAACATTGCCTCCAAATTGCCCTGAATCCCGGCCGCTTTCGCACTATACTGACTTACAGCATACTTTGTCGTGGCGATCCCTGCTTTTGTGGGGTTCTCGGCGTGTGCAGACATCCTCTGCAGCGCCAAAGCCTGGTCATGTTTGCCCATCTTGTACAAGTCGAAAATCTTGGACACGGTCTTAGGGAATATGTTTCCAAAAGCTGCAATACAGCCAGCACTTCCCGCGGCCAAGCCTCCGACGAGAAAATCCGATTGCCCTCCATAGACAGCGAAGCGCTCAGGTTGAAAGGTCGCTGCGAGCCTGGTGATTTTGCCAACGCTGCCGCACGTCAATTTCACGCCAACAATGTTCGGGTTCTCATTCGCCAATTGGGCGATCACGTCGCTGTCGAGATCAAGGCCATTACACACGGCAGGAAAGTTGTAGATCAGGATTGGGAGCGGACTGGCTTTGGCGACGGACGTGTAGAAATTGTGGACAACAGAAGGAGTGGTCTGCTTGCCGAAGTATGCAGCAGGCAGAACGAGAACGTAGTTGGCTCCTGCGGCATGGGCGTCGGATATGAACTCGAGGACTTGAGCCGTCGAGTGCCCACCTACTCCAGCTATTATGGGGTAGGGGTCTGGGACAGATTGACGGGCCAACGTAAGAAGGGTACGTCGTTCTTCGCGGGTCAAGAGGAATGTTTCAGCATTCGTACCCAGGATCACAAGCCCAGTAAGGCCGGCCGAGGCGAGGTATTTGTAGTACTGGGATTGTTCGGTAGGACAGAGGGTATCGGTCTCAGGATCGAAGAATGTTACGGCTGGAGCATATACTCCTGGTGGAGGAACAGGGTGGGAGTGCGTATAGGGTGCGGACGGTGTGAGTGTCGGCAAAGAGCCCATCTTGATCTCTGCGCTTTATCTTGATTTAGTCTGATTGCTGTGAACTGGTAAGTAACAGGAATGAAGTTCAGTGTAGAAGTGAGCGTAAAAAAGTGAACATCGCCCTTTGACAAGTGGACGCAAGAATATAAATTTGAGAGATGCGTCGCTTTTGATGCCGACTTCGCCGTTGACCACCGTCGTTCTCCGCATGCGATAACAAGCCTTTATTGAGGGCGGGGAATAGTGCGATTAGGTACTTCGTATGAGTACAGAATGTCACTAACAAACAGGTCCTTTCGGCGGGAGATGTTCCGAACGTCTTAGACACCTTACGTACAGACCTACCTATTGACAAAGATGAGAGACAATGTCAGGACTTCAAGTAGAGTACCTCCTAGATCATCTCATCTGAGATTTAATCACATAGATATGAGAACTCTTGATGGAAATACTATACCATGGCTTTGCTGAATGACAGACTAGAGGTTTACGGGAGTACGAATCACGTTAAGTCGACGAATAGAATTATTAATATTTAATTCTTCAAACACAGTGACACGTGGTAGACACCGCAAAGGCCATTCGAACAACATCAATTCCTTTCTTCCGCCTCCATAACTTCGCCCAATTCTCTCTCTATTACGGCTATCAATCTGTTACTTCAATTCTTCGCATAGCATGGAGACCATCTAAGGCATGCTACCGTAAAAGGCATTGTGGCGCAGGAGCCTTACTTCTATCGGCAATATTCAGGAGTCTTTGGATCTTAAAAACCTGTCACGACTGATCTTTCTTGCAACCAGGGCCGACATGATCGGCTGAGTATTACGATCTCGACATAGCACAGGCACAGATGTCATTCAGACCACGATCCCAGCTTCAGATGTCTCGGCCTGAAAAGGAGACCGGTCTTCCAATGCCACTGGGCTCACCGAAATTGAAGCGGCAGAGATTACCTTCTCGGCTGCTGTCACGAAAAACAACCCTTGTGTTGTCTCTTGTCATCGTGTTACTCCTGGTGTTCCCAGTCATTGGAAAGTTACGACACGGACTATGCGGCACTTCATCACTTTTCATGGACAGCGGGTTCTGTCCTGCGATCCTTGCAAACATTTGGCACTTGTTCTATCATCTGGGTGGAAATGGGCCTTGGATACCTAGGGTCAGCGGAGTCGAATACTCAAACGCGTCCCTGCCCAAACATTGTTCGGTAGATCAGGTTCACATGGTGAGCAAAATATTCAGTCTTCCCCGGCTGAACGTAAGCTGATGTCCGATAGCTATCTCGACATGCCGAACGGTATCCTACCAAGAACGCCGGAGCCAGTAAGTAAAGTCAATGTTACGAAGAGAAAGAAACCCCTGACGCTCTCATAGGACACTTCGATCTCTTGGACCGTCTGCAGAAGCCTGATGTAGAACTAACAGGGGCTCTCTCTTTTTTGAAGTCCTGGGAATACTTCACAGACCCCGAAGATCCTGCATTCGAGAATCTGACAGCCACTGGTCCATATGCCGGAACTCAGCAAGCCTTCAATACCGGCAAGATGCTGCGAGAATTATATGATCATCTTGTGCCTCGGGCCCGACGCACAAAGTTCTGGTCTTGCAGTTCCGGGCGGGATATCGAGACAGCCATGAATTTCGCAGATGGGTTCTTTGGCTCAGACTGGCACTCGGACGGCTCCGCTGAACTTGTTGTTATCCCTGAAGACGCCGACCGGGGCGCAGATACTCTGACTCCAGGAGATACATGCTACAAATATCGCAGGGATGGCTACGGTCATGACTATGGTTACGGGAAGCTCGAACTATGGCAGAAGGTGTTCACGGAGCCTATCATCGACCGACTCTCCGCGCACGCACAAGGCGCGCGAATCGACCATCTGGACGTTTACAGCATGATGGAAATGTGTGGATTCGAGATCCTAGCAAAAGGCTCGAGCCCCTGGTGTGCGGTCTTTACCCAAGAAGAATGGCTGCAATTCGAGTACGCGCGCGACCTCTTGCATTTCTATCGAGCTGGTCCCGGCAATTCCTACGCCGGGGCAATGGGATGGCTTTGGCTGAACGCGACGCAAAACCTCATGTCGAACCGGTCTTCCAAAGACGTCTACTTCAGCTTCGTTCACGACGGGGACATCGTACCCGTAATGGCAACGCTGCAGATCCTGAACGAGCGAGTGATGCTGCAGGAATTGCCCACCACTCATATGAAGGCCGATCGACGCTGGCGGACGAGCGACGTGGTACCAATGGGAGGACGATTGATATTTGAACGGATTGCATGTCAGACTGACCCTGAAAGTACTGGCGAACTGGAACATTTTGTGCGACTCTTCGTCAACGATGGACTGATGAAGTTGCCTGGATTACATGCAACCAAGAAAATTGAGCATGGTGTTCGGTTGGAAGATTTTCAGAATTTTGTCTTGTCTCGAAAGGAGACGTTTGGGGACTTTCGTGAGGTCTGCGCTTTGCCCGAGAACAGCCCGGACAGAATAACTTTTCTACATCAATAGACGCTTAGAGGGAAATGAGAATATTAAGACATGATAAGAGTAAAGCATTACGAGTGCATTTCTGTAAGTCTAGAGTACCAACAATAATCATTGAACTTGTTGGGCCTCCATACGGTGAGAACCGTTGAAAGTCCGTACAGCCCCCCATGTGGCCGACTATTAATAGTCGAAGGCTTGTATTATTCGTGCCCCTGAAGATCCGCTTACTGGTTGCCGCGGCACGATACGCAAATAATGCTTGTTAGAAGCTGAATCGGCCACGAGAAACAAAATGCCCATGTTTCAGAAACTCCAGGGTTATTCTTGCTGACTCTGAGACTCCTTTCATTCGGAGCACGCAGTACTGTAACAAAAAGTCCATGCATTGACCCTTGATAACCGACAGACCAGACTAGGCCAGACCTTACAAAAACTTGAGTGCACGTTCCTTTTGACTATCGTTTTCAGAAGGAAAATCGTCCATGCGCACCTAGATCCTCCTCATCTCAACACTTCAAACAGGACCACCTACAACGATTTCGTTACGGAGTACGGAGTATCCGTACCCTGGTTGACCAACGCTGATTTCTCTGTCAAGTCCGCTGTTGAATACCTATCCTTCTTGCCCGCTGAGGGCCTGACACAACATCCATTCGATCTCCGGGATCCTTTCTTTACCTTTGTTTATCTCGCACACCCGGGCAACAATGGCGGACGTACAAACACCCACCGAAGCATCCCTTTTCTCAACCACGAACCCTACCCCAGAATACACCCTCCCTGTCTCAAAAGAAGCAAGTACACAAGCCTCCTTGTCCGCAAGCGCAAGCGCAAGCACAAGCACACAGCCCGCTGCAACACAAACAACGATGACGATGACGAACGGCGACAACAGCACCGCAGCCAAATCTATATCAACAAGCACAATGACAAATGGAATCTTGCCCGGACCGACACCCACATCCATTCCCACCTCCTTACAGCAACAGCAACAACAACAACAACAGCAGCAGCACTCCCTCAAAGCTGTGTCTGTAGATGAAGAGCCTCCTTTATTTTCACCGTCCCTCATCAGTCCAGTGGTAACATCACTCTTACCGCAAGGTTATACAATCCGTCCGTTAAGACGGAGTGATTACTACGGAGGCAAGTAAACACGTGTAACCGCATTTTTTCTTTCCCTCATGACATCCTTCAAGACATACGTGTACCTACCTTCCGTCGCTAACTCGGTCCTGTTGCTGTCAGGTTTCCTCGACACACTCCGAGTCCTCACTGCCGTCGGCGAACCCACCCTCTCCGAGTTCAACGCCCGATACGACTTCATGTACTCCCGAAACGACACTTACTACATCCTAGTCATCTGCGACGGGTCCGGCACCATCGTGGGGACGGGGGCCGTCATCGTCGAGCGCAAGTTCATCCACAACATGGGCCTGGTCGGTCACATCGAGGACATCGCCGTGGCCAAGAACCAACAAGGCAAGAAACTTGGGTTGCGCATCATCCAGGCCCTCGACTACGTCGCGGAGAACGTCGGCTGCTACAAGTGCATCCTCGACTGTAGCGAGGCCAACGAAGGATTCTACGTCAAATGCGGCTTCAAGCGGGCTGGATTGGAAATGGCACATTATTATGAAACCGCCGCGCCAAAGATTTAAAAAAACCAAAGGACACACATACAGCAGTCGGTTTTGCTATTCACTGCTACGAGATCAAAATAGCCCGGAAACAGAGGGAGGCAGGAGCAAGATGAACGTGAAACATTTATCATTGACGGCGTGCCAAGTCGGAGTATGAGTGTACTGAAAAGACCATACGGAATCTTCTATTCCTGTTGTGTTTTCAGGTTATGAATCGGGACGTTTTACAGTGGAGGAGAGATGGCGCACGAGCATGGTTTTCGAGCGATACCTTGGTTTCTTTTTGGCGTTGCATTGTGAGCACGGGCACGTGGAAGTGCGCGGGGAGACTCTTTAGACTGTGGCAAGAAACAACTCTGGCAGGCTATCCAAGGAAGGATGCTTGGTGTTGGCGAGTATAGACGAGGATTTCCAGCTCGGAAGGGAGCAACAAAATGGCGTGGCAGAGACACAAGAATCAATCTTTGGTATCACAGCGGCACAAACTCTCAGGTACGAGTACTGTCTTCATATGATATAACGCCAACGGTGCGAAGAAGCGGGCAAAATGTCCAAGTTGCAGTCATGAGCTTTAGCAGCCAACCTTCGACGCTGGCTGGGTCTTTTTCATAGTATCAACTACCTAGGCAAGAGTCAAGGTTGTGGTATGAACACGTAGAAGAGCATGGCGAGGGTGACAAACGTCCCAAGGACTCCAAGAAAAACTCTGGCATCAGTTGTTCAATGATCAAACTCCCTAGAGGCTTGAGCATTGTCGTAGACTTTAGATTGCTGACTCCCTGAGTAGAGGCCATGTCTTGGGCGAAACTCTTTTTTTTCCAAGTAGCTTGCTTGCCTGCTTGCTTGCCTGCTTGCTTACCTCAACTGCACGAGGGCTCGCCACTAGACGGGTATTTCGGGCCATCAAGCGCGTACAAGCATGACTCCCGTCTGCCTTGGGAGAGGTGGAACGCGTATAAGAAACGTCGTGGTCGGCGTACCTAAGACAAGGGGGTATAGAACGAGTCTCCACGATCGATGAATGCTTACCGATGACAGCCCCGAGGCTCTCCTCGAGGTACGACTGAGGCTCGTGGTCGCCTTACTCAGATCTCTGATCGTTGGCCCCATTACCTATGAGAATCTTGACTGGTCAGAGCCAACACGCAAGTATCTATCCTCCTGACACCGGATTTCGCGACTCAGCTCGCACAGCTTGCTGGATTGAAAGTTCGCGTGATCAACTTCCTGTTCGTGCGGTGGTACAGGAATACGACTAGTCATCCACGACAGCATCCAACTGTCACCCTCTGCTCGATCGACCCCCTTCCGGGGGCTTTCACTCGCTGCCCTTGCTGGAAAGGGGAGTCAAGATCTGGCCGCGCCATCATCACGTGATTCTACAATATCTAGGCAGCAGCCGCTCTCTTCTCGAGTTCTTTTCTTTGTTCCCAGACCACACTCGCACCTATATCACACTCTCCAGCCCAATTACTTGCTCCACTGACTCTCAGCAGGCAGACTTCTCAAGGTAGGGCAACATGATACAGAAGACACACAAGTGAAACTTGATTTGCCCAGCGATTAGGAGTCGTTCCCATGATGTTCCAGCGGGCTATGCCCCCAGTGAAAGCACAGCGAGCCAAGAGCCCCCAAACCTTGGACCTGTCTTTTCAAACCTGGTGGCATCGCCTACAGCGTTAGTGGTGGGCTCGTCTACAGCCGTCAGCTTCCAGAAGACGGCAGTGATCATAGCGATGTCAGTTGGCTCGCGATACTCGGATGAAACATGACTTGTGCTCGATGATCAAGCGGGATCAACTACAGTTCATGCCTGATCAGTTAGCGAAGGGTGGTTCGCCAGCCAGTCAGGTTGACTCTGCTTGTCTCCTCGGTTTTAGACGCGTGTGAGACTGCGTAGCATCGCTGGCAATGGATGCAAGCGGAAGTTGGCCAAATCCGTCCGCCGAAGTGAGCGTCCAGCCTTCCTCGTATGGACGATATGCAAACCACCCGCGGAGTGTTTTGGGTATGACTGCGTACTGGGTATACGCTATTCGTACGAGCGAAGTGATCGGATTCGACCGTGATGACAAACAAGACAAGTGCAGAGTGTGCCGCTGTAAGGATTTTGGCTGTTCAGAAACGGTCGAAGTGATTTTGTGCATTGGTGTGCACAACTTTGACCGACTTCGGTCGAACCGCTGTGTACTCGTACTCGATTTGGGGTCAAGTCGATACCTACCTACCTGTGATGGGATGCACATGATGCCAGAGGTTCACTGTCGCCATGGTCGGCGATGTGACCGGAGAGAAGATGCCTCCTCATTCGATAACAGCGTCGAACTTGCTGCCTGCCGGAACTCCACGAGATCCCAGTTGCGGTCTCGGAATTTGCAGGAAAGTCTGATCACGATTCGGGAGTTCGAAGCCAAGAGAAGCGAATTAATCTAGCAATGCAAGATGACATTGGAGAATTGACCGACTCCACCATAAGCCACAATTTCGACGAGGCAGTTGTTCTGCCGTCCGCAGGCGTACAGACTGGCCCCCAGTTCAGATCTGAGACCATCTACCAGATTGGACAGGCGAACAGGTCGAGTACTGAAAAGGCATCATCTGATAAGACGAAGACGGCTGTTCCAGAAACAAGGACAAGCCCCAATAACTGATTGGAAATGGGACAGTTGGAGAAAGAGCGCCGGACATGTGGCCAAAGGGGGCTAAGTGGCGTTGGCTCCTTCTCGGAATGGTTGGCCACTCGTTTGGGATTGAGATTTTGAGTCATGTTGCTCCGTGAGATTTTCCGGCCTCCGGACGTTCGACCTCTGTGCAGCCTGACCTGTCTCCCCCCAACTGGCTCCTCTACGATTACAAGCACTTCACCTCCTCCGCCTTACCCTGCCTAATGCGAAGCGCATGGGCCACCTGGAACACAGCAAGCATTCCTTATTTCTGCAGGGCGAATCAGGCTGTCGATGATTCACCATCCACGATTTCATGACTGGTCCGATCTATTTCCCGCCTCCTGTGTGAGGCGTTCTGATTAGTTGTGCTCTTGTACTCCGTAACGAGTTGTCATTTGCCTCCTCGTGTTGCATCGCTCGAGCAAGGTGCCGGCGCGGGTTTATGTTTGTGTGCGTGTGTGTGCATAATCAGCGTGCTCACCTTGACAAGATCGTAGGGAAAGGAAAGGCCATGTTATTTTTATATGGAATGCACGAAGGCCAGGAGCAGATGTGTTCGCAAAAACAAAACAGTTCAGGTAGCAGAAAGGCGTGTCGCCCAGAAATGGTCACCGTTGCTCAGAATAGCGGCCGCAAATGTTTGCCTGCCTGGTGAAAGAATTGTTATTCGACCCGATAGTCAGCCACAGCAGCATAAACGGCCGGCAGAAGTAAGAAGCATTGACAATGGTCATGCTGCCTGGAAGGAGAGCTGGAGCATACTGAACCAGCCGGATGGTCTTGACCACTCAGTACTCAGTCCTCACTCACTCGATAGACAAAACACAGGATGCCGTTTAGTCAGTCAAACAAGAGATAGCACTCTGTCCTCGTAGAGAATTCTCCGTACTAGGATGGGCATCATTCTGGCAGTACGGGTATTACTCTGACAAAATTTGGGAGGCGAACTCCAGTACACGCAGTCAAGGTTCAATATTTTGTGCCTGGCCGGAGTGGTGGATAAGGATGCTGAAGGCTACGGAGGCCTCGTACTGGGGACGGGGAGGGTGTTCTCGTTGAGGCAGATTGAGTCATCCGCTGATCTGAGCGGCGTTCAATTGCTGGGCTGTGGCGAAGACCTGAACCTGCGATGACTGGACTGGCCCCCCCAGCGCCCGTATTCCCATATACCTGCGCTCCCTCTTGCAACGCCCGAAGAATCTTGCCCTTCCCCCAGAAACAACCACAATGAAGCAAACCATGGCTCGCAGCAACGGCTGCTGGATATTTGGCCTTGTCTAGGTTATAGGATTTTTTGCAATCACCAAAGACACCGAGTACGGCGATTTGCACATACTGGCCCTTTCTTGTAAGCAATTCAGCACGCTCCGACTTACTCACTGACTTGCGACTGCGACTGCGCTCTTCGCCACGCACGCCTGCAATCTGCAATCGAGAGAAAGACTCATCATATGGCTCAAACAAACCACTGACTCAACCACCATGGCTGGCTACAGGCTCCTGATAATCTACTTCCTTCCTCCTTGTCCTCTCAAACAGCATCATTGTTTGTGTACGATACAACGTCTCTTGTCCCGTCAGGCCCTCACCGAACCGCGGACTTGGTCGGCAGGTGCCCTATCTACGATACAACTTGAGCCTCACGTCTACCTAAGCACAAGTTTACTTCACCCTTGGCTGCAAAGCCTCCATCTCCTCTCAGCAATATCGACTACTTGAATTGTCATCAATTTCCGACGTTCTGTGCATCTCAAATCGGTCATCGCCACCGATTCATGCTCAACGAATACTTCTGAACCAATCCCTTACAGTCATAATATAGTCAAAAGAAACATGAGTTCTTGGACAAAACACTTCGTTACAGGATCATACCCCCGTCAAAGCCCACCGCCAGAGTCATATACTGTTTTGGTCATTTTGAATCAAGATCGTCACAAGATTGACAAGCATCTGTTCTCCGATATTTGCGCATAGTTCTCGCGCAAAGATATCGAGACACTGCTGGTTAGATCAAGACCTCTTGACCATACAAAACAGCTACTATTGTACTCTGACTAGCGGTGGGTTTGCGGTAAACCTCCTATCTATCGGTGAGATGGATATGTAACGTCAATGCGTACATCAACATACTAACATGACCCATCAGGTTATTCTTTTTCGGTCAATTCGATCACCCCAACAAGTTCGCGCAATAGCCTGAACTTCACCTTCGATCACGAGATCTGAACCCTTTGGAGAAGGTCTCTGAACACAAGAAGATGGGCGTTGGCGAGATGACAGGTTTCTCCAACACCTATAATCCTCAAAATGTGCAAGGGTGGCTTGACACGCAAGGACACTACAAGGTCCCTGAATCAAACTGGCCCACGGCACAATTTAAATGCAAGAAAGATGTCGACCAAGGCAGTGTCGCTTCAGTCGATGACGTTTTGAGCGTTAGCGACTCTTCTCAAGGGTCTATTTCGTCCGAGTCGTCTAGTCATACCACATGGACAAGCGCTACCGACCTGGGCGAAGCTTTCCTAGAAGACGATGAGAAAGATGAACAGCAGTCGCGATGCTCGACTGGTCTCGAGTCCCAGGACTACTTACTGAAAGGCCTGCACACTAGAGACGAAGTTTCCTGTAGCAGCCGATTTCCATCGACCCATCTTGACCAGAATGCGGCTTCAGAATCTTTGGCAAAGGTTCAGTCCAAGGCCGCAGGCTGCCCGAGAGTCTCTTCACAAAGCACCCGCCCACATCGTGGGGGAGAAATCACCCTCGAACCCCAACTCCGAAAATCAAGCTCTCGACGATCATCCTGTCTCGGCAAGAGTCTCTCAGGGCCCTGCAAGCTGAAGCGGGACACAGATGTTACCGAGCATTTTGTCGCCCTGCTTGTCTGCTTTGCGACGAGGCTAGTCACTGCTATCTGGCCCATGTCTGCATGCCCGCCCATGTCGTCGACATGCTTCAATGGCGCCGGCGTCCTTCCTCTCCGCGTCTTCATTCAAGAAACATTAAGGCGATCCAAGACGAGCTACTCGACTCTGCAAGTGGCCCTCTATTACCTCGTGTTACTCAAGTCCAAGCTACCCTGCACAAGCGCCGAAAATGAATCCCCATGTCGTGCCATGCAATGCGGTCGGCGGATGTTTTTGTCAGCCTTGATGCTAGCCTCCAAATACCTGCAAGATAGAAATTATTCTGCACGAGCATGGAGTAAAATATCTGGATTGCGCAGCAACGAGATTAATGAGAACGAACGGGAGTATCTACAGCTCATCGACTATGAGCTGCATGTTCCTAAGGAGTCCTTTGATGTCTGGAGCAAGATCGTATTGTCACTCAGTAGAGTGACCAAAGAACAACCGCAATGCCGTTCTGGCTCACTATCGCCTGGGTCTTCACCCCCTGGGAGTGGATCAAGCAATTCCCTGGCTGATATGGTCTCGCAGGTCGGGTTGGACGAAACCGCAGATACCCAGACCTTCACCGACGCCTGGTGGACGGATATCATCAATCGACTAGGTCCTGGCCTGGTCAAAGACTCGAGCTTAGCAGATGACTTCTTGCGGAGAAACCTGCCGGCAGATCAGATGGCACAGATATCTGCTTACTATCTCGAGAAACACGGGAAGGAAACCCCGGTCAACAGTCCAGAGGCGTCTCGGGTTTATGACCTCAACTTCAGCGACAGCTTCAAGTCTAGCACGACTAAGCAAGAGCCTATCACTCCACAAACCCCGGTTGAGATGAGTCCTGCTCGAGCCTCTGGGCTTCCGGTGCGACCTCATCTGCGAAACCTTCCTACTCCACAAACAACCCCCCGCGTTGGCGATGCCTTCCAATGGGCCGGCAATTGCGGCAAGACTTCGCTTCGTTGTTCTGCGTCTGTAGATGCTTTGCGCAACATGCGAAAGCAATGCCTCATGAATGCAAACCTGGAACGCTGTCCCCCACCTCGACCTCAAGGCTGCACACTGCCATCGATGAGAACCCTTCTACGTCCTGCAGAGACAACGAGGGAGTATTCGAACCGATCAACGTCCTCAGCCTCACCACTCTCGGTGGTCTCCGAAACACCTTCACTTACTTCCCGATCAAGATCGTCATCGATCTCGTCGAATTCATCATGGTCCTCATCCATGCGTTCTAAAGGCGGGTCAGCAGAGCAATTCAGCTCAACCCTGGCGAGGATGTGCTCCTCATCAGAAGCGAGCTCGCAACCACCTCCAACTACGTTGTTGAAACCAGATGTTTCGTTTGGCAAGTTTTGTGATGAGGGATATGGCAGCAGCGAGGAGCCTCTTAGTAAGACTTCAAAGCACCAGCTTTCCACCAGCCACGAAGTAGATGCTCTGCAGGCTCTGATGTCGTTGTCGACGCATTCTGAAACCCCAAGTCAAAGTGTTACTCCTACACCTCAGCGGCTGGCTGAGCAAGGTATCCTTGGCATGCGACCAATTACCAGCTCTCCCAGAGGTCATAAGAGAACGTTGTCAAAGACCAATGAGAAACTTCAGACTCAGGTGCGACGCACGCTCACAGATCCCCGAATGATCTGCAACATCATCGATGATTCGGTCAAGCCGAACCACGACAGCACTCCAAGAGAGTGGCAGTTGCCTTCACGAAACTGGGCAGAACCTAGAAGGGCGTTACCAAACACATCGGACAACAAACGAGTGGCAACATATTGCTCAATACAGCAATTTGCTTCTGCTCCCAATCTTGCGGCACAATACCTTCAAGATTCAATCTTTGCCCAGCCTTGAACGATGTCGATGGTGGTGTAAGATTGCACGAAAGATGTCTCTCGGCGAAGTATTCCGACTAGCTCTATCCTCCCGGCTGCGCCTTGCGAATCAGTAGACTGATGATGCAGCATTTGCGCCTGCCGAAAGCCCTTATTCCGGAGTTAGTCGCTAAACTTGGAGGACTTCAGGCGCAAGCGAAGTCAAAGAGTGCAGGAACTGTATCATCAACTAATACAACCAATACGGCAATGGCCAGTCGAAGACCTGCCTTGCCAAACAGAACCATGTGTATTCAATCAGCATGGCTCATATCAAAGAAAATGATTGAAACTATTAGTGCACCAATTGTGCAAAGCCTTTGAACCACCCGGCGTTCAAAGAGTGTGTTGGGAGCTCAACATTTAGGGCTATCATTTTTTATGTATGCTATGAATATAATCAATCACGTTTGCGATCGAATACTTTCTTTATGTGTATTGTGTTAAGGTATTTAGATTTATGGCATCATTCGCATTGATCTCGTTCTAATAGTCAGGATTACTGGGTGGACAAGGCGTTTTTGGTGTTGGCTCTCTGTTGAATCTCCTGAGAAAACCAATCATTTCTGAGGAAGTCTGAGTACTGCACCCCTTTCCTTACAACAACTTGATTCTTTTCGCTTTTGTCTTCTTACTACATACACCCCCAAGTCTATGATACAATTTTCGCTCAAGACACGATGGATCGCTCCGGCAAGTCAAAATTTCAGTCGTACTGACGGGGAGCCGCCGTTTACAAATGTATGTATCATTCTTTTTTTCACATCATCATGACGTCTACGAAAGAGGAAAAGAAGTTTCATGACAAGGGTGTCGGTCATTGTCATTCTTTTGGACCTTCTTTTACCAAAAACAACAAGAAGAAGAACTTGGTAAGTCAAAAAAGGGAGAAGTTACTCATTAGAGGAGCCGAGTGAGATTTTCTATTCTTTTGCCATACGGAGTACTTTTTTCCATTCCGCTTGGTTCGAACTCCTTCCCCTCCCCAAAAGGTTGTGTTTTGTTTTGTCGGTGGACAAAAACTTGAGACGACGACGAACGACGGTGTACACCTATCGATATGGGTGAGTCGACCTCGCCGTCGTCTTACAAGTCGACCCTGACGTCCCTCCTCCCGCCCTCGAGAGCCCACGTCCCCTTGTCCCTACCCGTTTCTCCCGCGAAACCACACATCCCTGCCGACTCCATCTCGTCCCTGCGACTTCATCCGGTCCTCGAAGCCGGTCTACACTTATTGAACCGCGATTTGCCTTCTGCACATTTCCTCCTCAGGCACATGCAGGCCAAGCCGGCTTGGGAGGCCATGTACCTACACGGCATCCTCCATCGAATCGAAGGGGACATTGAAAATGCCAGGGCTTGGTACGAGGACGTCAAGGATGAAGAAGTGTTTGAGTTTGTTTGGAGACGACGAACGACCGAGGACGAGGATGAACTTGGAGATGTCGACGATGAGGACGAAACGTCGAATGATTACTCAACTTCGCCTTACGAAAGCTCTCGAACCTTTCTGAGTCAGGTCGAATCATACAAGAATTCCATTCTTTCCTCCTCTGTTAGCACTACAAACACCACCACCACCAACAATGTCGACAATATTGACAGTATCAAGGATATCATTACACAAAAATCCCTCGGAGAATTTCAACGTTTCATGACCTTTTGTGAAGGCAAATTCGGCACTTCCCCCGTCTCGGACGCATCTTCCATCTGGGTTTCCATGTCGGACAAAAACAAAGAACAAGCGGCGAATATGATCACTGGTGGTGAAGGTTGGAGGGAGTTTTGATTGAAAGAATGACAAGGGACACCCTCTTTTTCTAGCTACCTCTCCTTATAGTCCGGCGGTGTACTGGCAACTATCTCTCCGGGACGTCTATCCTCACGCATGAATGCAACGCCGTGTGACCGTTCCGTGTGCGCGAGGAGAACCAAGGCCAGAGAAATGGTGAGCCTGCAATCTCATGATCCTTCCTTTGATGCTAAATACGTGTTGATTCCGCTGTCTTGAGTTCTTGAAGTCTGTAGATGGCTTGGTTTCCATTTTGTCGCTTCAATAAATTGCTTGCTATAAAATGAATAAATGCCTTGGAGCTCAATCTCACGTGCCGTCGCTTGACATCGGGGTGGGAAATTTTGGTTGTCTACAATGACATGTTCTTTCTTTCTTTCCCAAAAAAAAGAAAAGAAACGAAACCCATCGGCCATCCTGACAGTCCCGAGTACCACCCTTGGTGAGCGCCCACAACCACAATAGCCTAACATGTACGACATAGATGATACATGGGTTCGTTGAGCTACCTAGGTCCTAAGCTCTCGAGAAATGCGATCAAAAGTCTTGCTCCTCCTTGAAAAACTGCGTGAAACTGATGATGGTTCCGTATATCAGAAGGCCACCGACGATCGACATGACCATTGCTGGGATTTTGATGAGAGCGCAATGTGCCAGTAAAACAGGCAGGGCTATTTTGTATTTTCTTGTCAGCACAATGCGAACCTTTTTCTTTTCTTTTCCGGCATTACCCAACACCAAACAAAAACTTACCTATGCCCATGACAACCAAGAAGCCGGTCGCGAACCGTCCAAGATCGATCCAAGCACTGGCATTGCTTTCGATGAAATCATCGGGGTTCGCACATCTCGAGGCGATCCAGTTCGGCACGGGAGCCAACACATACGTCGCCACCACGAGGAGGGTGAGGAAGTTGTGGAAGAGAGCGGCGGAAAGGATGACGAGGAGGAAGCCGATGGCGAGGACCTGGTTTTTGAGCAGTGTCAATTTACCACACGACTAGTCTTGTGTGTGGAGGAGTCAGGCGGGGAGGACGTACAAAGGAGAGAGCGATGATTGTTTTTAATCCTGCCGTCATCATGGGAAATGGGATGTATGTTGTGTCGTATGACGGTGCGGCGGTACCGGTATAAGGCAGCAGGAATGCGCTGGTTCGGGCGGCCGAGGAAAGCCTTTTCAGTCGAGATACGGAGTGTCGGATCTATCGTAATGAACGTTCTGTAGAAGGGGTTTGAGAAAGGTTTTGCGAAGAAGAATGAGTTGTATGAATGAAGCAAAGTTGTAGGTCGCAAACTACGGTATGTTGGATGGTGGCTGGGTTTGTGGTGTCCATGAGCCGCAGCGCAGCGCAGTCTATTATTACTAGTCTTTGGAGAAGGTTCCTGGACCTGCTAATAAGTCAAGCTCCAACTGATTCGCGGAGAACGAGGTGCATTTGCGCGTCCCAATTGCCTAGTTGTTCTGTACTTCAACTCACGTACTGCAAGTTATTTCCTCTACAAGCCCACGGTTAGAATTCCTTTTCTCAGTACCGCAAGTCAGCCCTTTTCACTTCCTCAATCTTTAGGGGAAAAACCCTCAAGTTCAAAACCAAGATGTTCAGAAACAATTACGACAACGACTCTGTCACATTGTAAGGCAGTCCACCTTCTTGCTTGCCCTTTTTGTAACTGTATAACTAACGCCATCTATCCGTCCAGTTCACCTCAAGGTCGAATATTCCAGGTCGAATATGCTCAAGAGGCAGTCAAGCAAGGTTCGGTGGTTGTGGGAATCACCAGCAAGAAACATGTCGTCCTGACGGCGCTGAAGGTTCGTTTGTGTCTTTGTGGTTAAAATGACATGCATGGAAACAAGTCACTCACGCAATGTGATCCTACAGAGAAACGCAGAAGAACTCTCATCATATCAGAAAAAGATTGTGGGTGTGGATGATCACTTGGGAGTCGCCCTCGCAGGTCTCGCCTCCGACGCCCGTGTCCTCTCGAATTTCATGAAGCAACAGTCCTTATCGTCCAAGATGACCTACGGCCGCCCCATCCCCGTCGAGCGCATCGTCAACATGATCGGCGACCGGGCCCAGACCAACACGCAACACTACGGCAAGAGACCCTACGGCGTCGGACTGCTGGTGGCGGGCGTCGACGAGCTGGGACCTCACCTGTTCGAATTCTCCCCCTCGGGATTGACGCAAGAGATGTTGGCCTGCGCCATCGGAGCTCGGAGTCAAATGGCGCGGACGTACCTCGAGAGACACCTGGACGAGTTTGCGGACTGCAGCAGGGACGAGCTGATCAAGCACGCCTTGCTGGCCCTGAAGGAGAGTCTCGCCCAGGACAAAGAGCTGACGGTCGACAATACGAGTTTGGCCGTGATGGGCGTCGGGGAGAAGGACGGCGGTGGTGGCGGCCGCAAGAAGCTGGAGAAACTCAAACTTTACGACGGACAAGAGATCGGCCCCCTGTTGGAAGCGAATGTCGAATCGACGGGCGCAGAGGGAGACGCCATGGAGACCGACTCGTAGTCGCAAACAGGAAGAATGGTGCAAAATGCATTCCAGGGGGGGGGGGGGCAACGGCGTTTTGGGAGCGAGTAAAGGCTTTTTGTCACAATAGCAAAACTTCTCTACCAATGTATTCGAGTGAAGGGCAAGGACAAATGAAACCAAGAAAGTCGGTGATGAGATTCTTCTTTTTTTTTTACTTCCCCATGTTTTTTCTGTTCTAATATTTGTCCTTGTCATTTCCCATTCCCGATTGATATGTGAGTCGAGAGTCTGATACTGTTTGTCTCTCTTGGTTTCTTTGGTTCGATTTAATTCACTCTAGACTCCAGTCCAACTTGTACCTGCCGGGGGCGAGTTGATAGTCACGCAGAGCCTGGACGACCTCGTCCGTACGCTTCACCTCGACCAAGATGTTGGCCGCGCCTTCACTGACGAAACCCTCGCGGATCGAATTCCTGACCCAGTCCAACAGTCCGTTCCAGTAACCGTCGATGTTGACCAGGACGATGGGGATCTTGTGGATGCCCAGTTGGTTCCAGGTCACCATCTCCATGACCTCCTCGATGGTGCCGTACCCGCCGGCGAGGGCGACGAAGCCCGACCCCGGACCCCCGGCCTCCACCGTCCTGGCCATCATGCTCTTGCGGGTGTGCATGTCGGGGACGATGCGGGTGGCCCCGAATTCCGACTCGGGCACGATTTTACTGTCGGGGTCCTCGTTGCTGTCGATGCGTTGCAGTTGTTGTTCGGACATTGTCCTCTCGGCCTTTCTCATCCCTTCCGTACCTTTCTGACTGGTCGAAGATCTCGTGGAAGGGTCCAACTCGGACTTGATGAGGGCTCTCGGGATGATCCCCTGGACCGATTTGGGACCCGACAGGGAAACCAGGGTGCTGGCCAATTCCCCCATGATGCCCATCGTCCCACCTCCATAGACGAGGTTGTAACCGGCCTCGTGCAAAGCCTCGCCCAAGGTCCGGGCGGACTCCAGGTGGATCGGGTTCTTGCCGGGTGAAGACGCACAGCTTTTTGGGGGAAAGAGAGGGAAATGGTCAGTATTACTTGGTGAAGATACGCCTGGGTTTCGGGTGTGTTTCTTTTTTTTCTTTTTTGGTGTGACTTGGACTTGGAATTTCGGGACATGGACTTGTAACTTACAAAACACATACGACGGGCCTTTGGGAACCCTCCGAGCCTTGAGACATCTTTTGGGAGGCGGCGGAGATCCAATCGGTGACAAACTTCCAAGGTAGTTGCTGATTCAAAAAAGGAGCGAAGTTGATGATATATGTCCGTACCCCGTAGATATAATTGTTTCTTTTTTTGGCCCTTTCGAGAGAGACAGATGAACAGTGAGGGTGAAAGGAAAAGATAAAATAGAATCCCAGGTTCACTCGCCAAGTAGAGTCGAGTATGTGTTTTTTCTGGAGATTGCTGTTTTGTGCTCCCGTGAAATATATTATAATTCCCTCACAACAGAGAAGTCGGTGTCGGGTGTTCTGTTCGGTGTCTATATGTCGGTGAGTCAAAAGACTTGCTGTCGTGGTGGCTCGAACCAATGAATCCAAAGACAGGAAATAAAAGAACAAGTAAATTAACACAGAAATCTATAGGTTACTGTCCTACTTTGCGCGGATCAAGGAAAGAGAGAGCGAGAGAGAGAGGGAAACAGTTGAGGTATGCCAATTATGGGCAATTAATCCCATTCCATATACTCGAGTACCTCTAGAATGAAGCAACGTGGCGACTGGACATTCGAATACTGGTCTGTGTACTCTGTAAAAGTTTGTCGAATGACGTGGAGGTCGTACACGGTGCCACATGGGACCACCGACTTCATACTACCTTCATATCCTAAGGTAATATATATGCAGTACTTGCACCTCAAGTGTTCGAATGCTTGTATATATAAAAAAAGAGACGTACAGCATATGTTATACCTCGATCCTTTCCATCTTATGCCGTAGACCTCACCTGTGAATTGCTTGACTACTACTACTACTACTACTACTACTACTACTACTACTACTACTACTACTACTACTACTACTACTACTACTACTACTACTACTATTCGTACCTATAAATGGACGTCTTCTCAAACATAGGTACAAGCCACGAAAAATAATCAACGTCAATCGAGATTAATATTTTCACATTATTCGTACTTGTTCATATATACCCGACTTTTGCAATACTCTTCATAACGCCATCAAAAATTATGTGAAGGACCTAGATGTCCAGGACGTACAGGGACCCTGTCGTACCTCTGGTGTAAAGGTACCTCTGGATCTACACCTCGATAGTTATTTTGACCCGCATCCTGGCCCCCGGGGAGCTCATAAGGATTCTGCCCGGCCGAGGCATTGGGGTAGTAGCCCTCATCTTGGGAGTATGCTTGGCTTTGCGCCGAAACTGGTCCCGAATCGCCAGACAGGTGACGCTGATGGGACTGCTCAGGCTGGCTTTGTGGTTGACCACCGGGCAGTTCGTTGGCGTCGGAAAAGTATCCGGCAGCAGCTGCACTCATCCGGCCCGGCTCCTGTTGCTGCTGAGGGTATGATGCATGATTTTGAGAGTATTCGCTCGCGTCGGAGACTGACCTGCCCGACGAACCTTGCTGAGGAGGTGGTGAAACTGAGCCCCATGAGCGGATGCCTGCTGCGGCGGGGAGGAGTCGGTCCGGAGACCTAGGTGGAGGTTGTAAAGGAGGAGAAGCAAGTTCGGATCGAGTGTTGTCGGAGCGGTTTGAAGAGTATCCAGCTACGGCTGCCATGGCGCCCATCCCTGAACGCCCACCGGTTGCAGATCCGCCGTACTCGCTCATGCCAGGGATGGGTCCGTTGGCATCGTAATGGTCGTGAGCTAGAGAGTTGCGATTTCGTCGTCGTCGCATGTACCATGCATACCACCAACCGAACTAGGCGAGAGTCAGTGCTTCCGACCGTACGTCTAATGGAGTGCAATTTGGCGGGTAGGGGAGGGTTTCCCCAGAAAATAGTACTTACAAGAGCTGCACCCACTACGGCGATACCAACGCCAACTCCAATGCCAGCTTTAGCTCCAGTGGACAGTCCAGAACTGCTGCTACTCGACCCACTGTTTGCTGCTGCGATAGAAGGAGTCGACCCAGGCGTGCTTGTAGTCGTGCCTACATCTACCACTGTAGTAGCTGGCGATGTCGCAACGACAACGGAAGTCAGGGTCGTATACGCTGTAGTGCCATCCGAAGTGGTTGGAACCACAGAGGTGATTGTCTCGGTGTTGGTGGAGTACGAAATGGATGAACTGGTAGTTGTTATAACAACAGGGCTGCTGGTGGTACTCTGTGTAGTCGTGGTAGATGTGGGCGTTGGGGAGGGGGTTGTCGTGGTTGTGGTAGTCGATGAGGTAGTGCTCAAGGCTAGAAAATGATTCTGCATTAGTATTGTACCTTCAAAGAGCAGTCAAGAAGAGAACCCGGCTTTCGTGGCACGTCTAAGGCGAAAGATGAATATCGAAACGGATACTCACTGGTAGTGCTTGATGTGGTTGTAGTTGGGGAAGGGGAGGGCGTGGTAGTGGTGGTAGTAGTAGTAGTACTACTACTAGAAATAGAAGTAGTGGTCGTGGTGGGAACTGTGGTGGAAGGGGAAGTATAAGTGGAGGTCTCTGAGGTCGATGAAGTGCTGGAGCGCGTGGACGACGTTGAGGAGGAGGACGTGGTATCAGATGTGGTGGTGAAGCTTGTGGTGGCTGCCACGATTCGAACATTATAAAGAGCAGAGGCAAAGGCAAAACAGCACGAGATGCGAAACGAGGCAGATTCGGGATGCATTGCAAAAGGCTGGGAAATCAAACATACTGGTAGTAGTGGTAACTAATGAAGTTGTTGTGGTAGATAGGGTGGTGCTGATGGTTGTAGTTGTACTCGGGGGAAGAGTTGAAGTAGTTGTCTGTGGTAACGGCGTCGTTGTTAGATCTGATGTCGTTGTCGTCGAACTCGGATCGCTTACAGGTGAAGTAGTGGTACTCGTTGTGGTCGTCGTGTCGGAGGTTGTGGTGCTACTATTCTGCGCCAGCGACAGACCAGCGCATATGAGCAGCAACAATAGCAATGACTGCAGGAGCCTCGCCATGGCTATGAATGCTGGCGAATGCGCCGCACAGTACACTGCGCAAAAACAGGAAGATGCTGGTCAGAACAGTGAGGCTGAGAAAGAGATAGAAAAAAAAGCAGGTATGAGCCGAACGGCGGCGTATTGGAGTCTAAAAAAGAACTCGAAGTCTATGCTAGTACTCGTAAGTAGTAGTAGCTCGGAAGCATGATGGACCAGTACGTGCGAAGTGTACCTTCGGAGGCTTACCCTGGACTCGACCACAGGTGGCAGTTCTATGCATGAAGCGGGGTTTCCCTTCAGCTGCCTCATGGAAATGCCAGAACTCTCCACGATCTCATGCCACAATCACTGCCAGCGTGGTCGTAATCCCGAGGCTCCTTAGGCGGCATGTGAGGACCCAGAATCGGCTTTTTTCGTGCCCAGAAACGACTAGTTTTCTGCATGCAACGTCTTGAAAAGTATGATGGGATGTGGTAGACTCAGTTCTGGCCAATAGGGCTCGACCGGGTCACATTTAAATGCTAGACATGGCCGGAAGAAGACCCAAATGAACCAATTGCGGATGATGCACGTGCGCCATTATCGTATCTTATCCTTACGGCTGAAGCCTGATAGTTCGAAGGCTTCGCGAAAGACGGCCCAATACGAGTGAATAAGCGAGGCCTTGCGAGGGTTTTCTCTGTTGTCTTGTGCACCATTTGACGAGGGAAAGTGTCGCGGATGAAGCAGTCTTGAAAAGATCCAAGGCGCAATAATGAATCGAGCAAGGCGAAGGGGAAGAACTGCAAGTCTGTCTGGCCCGTACATACGCTAATCGGCAAGCTCGGCCCTCCAAGCACTGAAAATAGAAGACACCAGAGATGAGTGCTGACCAGCGTTGAGCCTGTACCGGTACCAGTATGGAGAAGCCAATCGAGCCCGCATAATGGGACTTAGCGTCAGGTAACGTGAGACAACCAGCGAATGCCACCTTAGACCGGACACCAACAACCAGGATATTGTGGGGGCTGGGATGGAGATGGTGACCTAGTTGAAGACTAGTGACATTCAGAGCGAAGCTTCTGCACTGGAGCTAGGACCGCCTGCTGCAATGAGGGAAATGGAGAGTTGTGGTCGCCATGACAAGGCTGTTTTAGAAGGTTCTTGTTCCTTTATATATACCTGAGGGTGTGTATTTGGGGATTGATCTGACCAGCCTGGATTGCGATCGTTTAGTGTGTACGAAGTGCCTGTTTCAAGATCCGATAAGATCAACCCAGAGTTGCCTAACAAACTCGGCTCACCTCAAATTTTGCCAGCGGTCCTGCCTTGGCCAAGTGTCGCGACTCAGGGAAAGCTGGTGCAGCGATGGCCTTGATCCTACTCGTACAAATGATTGCATTTGCCCAGATCAGAACCGGCGAAAGTGCTGGGAGGGAATTAACATATTTCTTCCTTCGTCTTCATCGGTACTAGCTCAGCCTCGCAGTGGCATGATCTACGTCATGATTGCAGCCAGCTTTACTGATCGTGTCTCGCTGTTGACCCGTGTTCTTTTTATCATAGACTCATGATCGCATATGACGCTCGCCTTACTACGAGTATCTAGAAGGCATAAACTGTCACCTTGCTTCTTCGCGTTGTCGAAGATGGCGGCCTCTACGTACTCACCGCAGGCAGCAAAAGTGACCTCGGTGGAAGCAATGGTGAGTCCTTCGACTATGCACATTGCCAAAGTCTATGGCTGATTACTCAAGCTTGTTAGCCAGAAGGTGAATCAAAATGGATCACCTTGAAGAAGATCACATATAGAGACCCAGCAGGAAAACAAAGACTATGGGAGTCGGCGGAGAGACTGGTAGGTGTTTGTCTTGACATATGGGAAGTCGTCCACTGATAGAATCCCTGGCAGACAAGGCCCGAGAACAGCGAAGTTGACGCAGTTGGGGTAGTTGCAGTGCTCAACGATCCAAAGTCCTCCAAAGGTCCTTCATTACTGCTTCAGAAGCAATTCCGACCGGCTGTCAACAAAGTCGCGATCGAAGTCCCCTCTGGCCTCATAGATGAAGGAGAAGATCCTAAGACCACTGCCATCCGTGAGCTTAAAGAAGAGACGGGTTATATTGGCACAATTCCACAAGATGCAAAGGCAGCCGAGGGGTTCTTGATGTTTAATGATCCAGGGTTCTGCAACACCAACACCAAGATGGTTGTTGTAGAAGTGGATATGTCTGATCCTCGAAACCAGGAGGGCAACCTAGAGCCCGAGTTGGAGGAAGGAGAGTACATTGAGACATTCTCGCTACCTCTGGACAACATGTGGAATGAGCTGGGTGAACTTGAGAAACAAGGATACGCGATAGATGCTCGTGTTGGTACTCTGGCTCAGGGGATGGAGATGGCGAGAAATTGGAAAGAGGTGCTGAACAGGTCTCCGGCCTAGCAGACAAAACAGCATTTTGGGCCAAGTAGCAGTTCTGGACATATTTATAGACATGGGATATTCAGTATCTGCCCTTATTTAAATTATTGATCTCCATACTCAATAGAAGTATTCCGGATTTAGCATGTGCCCTCCTCAGCCTTGTCAGCCTCGCCCACTCCGATTCGTCCAACGCCCAAATTAGGTCCCTGGACTGTATGTTAACAGATCTCACTTACGAGCGTCGCTTCGTTCCCCACGTTTCAACACAGAGACATGTCCCTGACAGATTCTTGACTCGTCTAGTCAGTAGGTCTTCCGACCTTCCTCCTACATTTGACTGCTCTCGCCCAAGCCTATGCGGCCACCGCCAGAATGGGTATTATGGGAGGTCACTTTGTTGACATGTTCGAGACGAGAGACGAATGGTTCAATCTACGAATGCTACCGTTTATTCTGGTCTGGGTTATTTTCGCAATCGTCGTTTTGGTCCGTCGAATCCTCTCAATTGTCTGTGACACGCAAAGCTGACAATGAACAGATATGGCTCTTCATTACGCTCTTCGTTCCGAACCCTCGGCCACCCTTCCCGCAAGAAAAGCAATTCACGACGGTCGATAAGACGGGCGACTTGACCGACCCAGAACCCTTGCCTTGCTGGTACGAGGACATCATACGCCGCTATTCCCAGGCTCGGCGAGAAGACCCAGATCGCAAAATCGAGGTTGAAAAGGACATCACAATCGAGCCGGCTGAAGTATTCATGACACTGGTTGTGCCGGCATTCAACGAGGAGAACAGACTGTCGGGTATGCTCGAAGAGGCCGTGAATTTCCTAGAGACAGAATATGGATCATCATCATCAAAGGAAAACCAAGGTACAGGCTTGGACACACTCTCAGAAACAGTGACAACAGACGGATCATCATCCCCTACACCCCGCAAACGCAAGACCAACAAGTCAAAAGCGAACGGGACGCCGACGACGACGATGTCAACACCTCAGCAGCTTCGAGGCTGGGAAATCATCCTCGTGGACGACGGCTCTACCGACCACACCCTCCTCACGGCGCAGACGTTTTCCCGAAAACACATCCTCCCTGCCCACCCCCGCCGCGACTCGGGGCCCTGGACGCACCGCAGCCCGCGAGGCGTCACCATCCCCCCGGGCTCGATCCGCATGGTCTCTCTGGTCTCCAACCGGGGCAAGGGCGGTGCGGTCGTTCACGGCATGCGCCACGCCCGCGGCCAGTACGTCCTCTTCGCCGACGCGGACGGGGCTTCGAAATTCTCCGACCTCGGCAAACTCGTCTCCTCCATACGCTCCGTCGAGGACGACTCCGGCCGCGCCGTCGCCGTGGGGAGTCGCGCGCACCTCGTCGGGTCCGAGGCCGTGGTGAAACGCTCCAAGCTGCGCAACTTCCTCATGCACTCCTTCCACCTCCTGCTCAGGTTCATGACCCCTCCCGCCACGGCGCGCGTAGCCGACACCCAGTGCGGGTTCAAGCTTTTCTCCCGCGCCAGCCTGCCCTACATCGTCCCGCACATGCACATGGAGGGCTGGATCTTTGACGTCGAGATGCTCATGCTGGCCGAGTTCAGCGGCATCCCCGTCGTCGAGGTCCCCATCGGCTGGCGCGAGGTCATAGGGAGCAAGTTGAACGTGGTACGGGACAGCATCGGGATGGCGTGGGGGTTGGCATTGTTGCGGATCTGTTGGGGGACAGGTATCTACAGAAAAGGAGCGTGATGTGATTTGCTTTGGGGGTAATACCTAGGTAGGTATGCTCGCGTTATCTATATACCAGCTTGTGTACGCGGCGGCAGCGGCCAATGTCCTTGCTTTTGAAAGAAAAAAGTCCGACTGGTTTTCTATTCGAACCAAAAAAGCGAATAAACATAGAATTGGGAGCGATCGAGATCATATTTCTGGATATTTGTTTTTTTCCTTTGGTGACAGCGCAAAACAATGCGCCATGATGACTCTTTTTTCGTGAATGGAAAAAGAATAGGATAGACAGGAGGAGGACCCATATAGGGCAATCGGCTGTGCAAGCGCAGCAGCAGGGAAAAAGGCACATACTATGTGCACTATCTGCGTCAGGAGGGGTACTCAGGTACCTTATAACAGTACCTAGAAATCCATGGTCTAACCAGGTGGAAGATAAGATTCAAAGTCACTTCACGAATAACTTCCAAGTGTAAGTGTGAGATCTGTTTAGTATTTATTTCGCCGCTTCAATATGAGAAAAAACTATACGACCGCAATGAGTCGAGCCTGTAATCCGTCGTCCAGAATGTGTACGGTACGATATGAAATACTCTTACATGCCAGCGACCAGCGGCACAGGTAAACATAGGTTCAGGTTGTCACTTAGTCATTCCTAGGTAGGCAGCAAAGGCTGCCGTTTGTTCCTCCTTTCATTGAAAAAGCTCTTTTCTGTATGTGGACTTACTCATAACTCATCACCTTGATTGGAAGGTTGTTCCGGTAACCTTCGTCCACGCGCTTTCAAGCTTGCTCTCAATCATCTCGTCCACATGCTCCGCGCCGACCTCACTGACACCCGTTCCAGCCGACACTTTGATGCCTTCGTCCGAAGAGGAGGCTGCCGACTGCCTCTCTTCAAGACTTTGATCTAGGTTGCTGGCGTAGATCAAGGCGGCAAAAGCTTCCAGTTCTTTCACTTCCGCCTCTGCTGTCGAGATGTATTCGTTGGGCGGGTTGTTGCCGTTGCCAATGGCGTGAGCCTGGCGGGTGATGATGGCCAACAGACTTGCGAGTTTCACCCTCGGTTCCCCGGGCACGACGGTCACTGCGGAATCTAGCTCTTGAATTCGAGGTTGTTGTGTGCCAGATAGCGACGTCGAGGGCGAGTGAAGTGATTGTTGAGGGAAAGCCTGTGCGATGACATGGGCGTCCACCAAATTTGAGAACATTGACCCCAAAAGCAGGGTGTGAATCCTCGTGAATATGGGAGAGTCAATGAGATCAGCCGTTTCGTCAAGAAGTTGACGCAGAGGTCCTGACGAGGTGTCAATATGGCCAGAAGAGCTGTCTTCCCCAAGTTGTCTCTCGTCATGGGTTTGGTTGGGAGACGAAGGAGTGGGTGTGATCACTCCTGACTCAATCAACACCGCTTCCTCCTCCTCGCGAGGCGGCAGCATGTATGGGAGCCACCTTGTAGCATATCTTTCTTGTTCTGAACTTCCCTCTACTTTCCGCCTCACCGCAAGTACCAAATCGCTGAGTCGCGTTGCTGAAACCCCTTCGTTTGGCGAGATGTTTCCAAACACCTCCTCAACTGCTGTCCTGACCTTTGCCATAATTTGTGCGTAGCCTCTGTGAAGGAGGTACCATGAGAAGGTCAAATATCTCCTGTTTGTCTCGAAGTCGTTTCCCAACCCGGAACCTGCGCCTCCATCATCGTGATCCTCTAGTGAGATCGAATTCGCGCTTCCCGGCGGCGGAGGCTGCGCAAGGGAAATTACTGATAACAAGTAGTTGAGCCTGCCGAGAAGATTCAGTTGTATTCTTGTCAACACCACCAGGAGCGACAGGCTGTATATCAGCGTGAACGCTCTGGTGATTGATGTGATCTTCAGCTCGTTCCAAAGCTGTGCTTTTGTCCTTCGAGGTCCTAGTGTGGTACTCTCTCCTTGCATCTGGCTGGTGTGCATGAAACTACCGGTTTGAAAGCTCGACATGCTGACAGTATCACCACTTTGCATGCTTGAAGCTTCTGACCTTCCTTCGCCCGAAGCACGTGCCAGCCTTTCGGCTTTCTTTTGCTGTAACTCATGAGTTAACTGCTCGACAGGCAGTTCTTCGAGGACATTCTCGGTCAATGTAGGCAGGAGCGCGAGGACAGTTATAGTACAGTCTGTCTGGTTCTGCTCGAATCGTCGTTGAATGCTGCAATGGGCTGTCAGCGGGATCCTCTATACTGGACTGGAGTGCCGAACTTCTCTTTTGCTATCCTGTCCATCTGCATACGCTCTCGCGCCTCCCGTATCTTTCCCAACACATATTGTCCAGCTAGATATGTTGCGCCAACGAGCCCTGCACCAATTGCGATGCCGTTCCGGTTTCGCCTGATCCAGCGACGCGTGGCTGATATCATCGTGATGGACGGGTATGAGGCACCTTTATCTTGGATACGAAATGATTGCGAGCAAGGACATGACCGCAGGTGGTGTTCTGAGGATCTAAGAAAAGAGAAACCTAGTAGTGAGGAGTATGGCCAAAGAAAGCGATTGATTGACCTGGGCCATTGATCACAATTCAAAGTCCCGGGTTGAATATGGGATGTGGCTAGTGAGTGCCGAGGCTGTCTGTAGTCGACGTGTAGAGAGGAACACGATCCGGTCTTGTGGCCACCGGGGACTTGGGGCTTGAAGGTCTCTGGAACCGGCGAAATAACATGCCGAGAGTCATTGCCCTGTGCCCCTCGATCATACGGACAAAGTCCCAAGATGTCTGTGATTCATCTGGCTTGATTGCCTGAGACTTACAACTCACCAACACGACTCTTTCCATTGCCTAAGGCACCATTGATCAATGAGTATTATAACCATGTCTTGATCTACTCCTTCACACCAGGCGCCACCGTGCTGGCTGCCAGTCCGCTCCCCTGTTTCCCCCTCTGAACTTCCCCCGCTATACACTGTAAACCCCTTGGACTGTCGAGAAAGGTACCGACAATGGATCTGCATCATCACGAATATATAATCGAGGTTTTCGCAGACCAGACCTATGTAAAGGACATTGTGAAAGGTACGAGCCCTGGCGTCTAGCGTCACCATACGACGAGAAACAGGACGTTGAAATGAGTACTGACTTATCCCTTGGATATAGGAGTATTGCATACGATCTTCTTCCACCGATACTTTCCTCCTGTGCGTCCAGCACTCTACACACCTACAGCGTCATCTTCACACTCCTCGTCACATTCAGTCCAGTCACTACCCATTCCGCTTCCCTCAATCCTCGATCCACCCGAGATTTCGGCGGCGATCGACTCTCATACCGCCTTACTAGTTTCGCAACTCACACCCCAGTCTGCAGCAGGAGCAGCTGCCGGTGGCTCCCGTGGAGAGATTGTTGTGCGCTTCTTTGACAGAAAGAGGCGGAAGACTGGCATAACTACAGGCTGGCTTGGCCGGTTAGGTGGTGGTGGCGGTCAAACCGAAGAAGAAGTATGTTGGGAGGAATGGTGTGTACAGGTGGTGGTAGCCAGACCACGTAGCGAGGCCGGTGAGTAGAATCTGGGCATTGTCTTGCAGATGGGCTTTCCACTGATCAAAACAGATCGTATCAAGGTCCGCCGCGCAATGGAATCGTCGTTGCAGAAGACAGCGTTGAAGATCGTCGCAATCGTCAATCGGGATAAAGATCATATACCTCCCATCACCACGAGCGATCAGAATCCGTTTCCCTACAGAATTTTTGTAAATCCAAAGCAACAAGAAAGTGCAGAACGAGGCTTTGGGGGTTGGAACTGAAGCACGGCCTAGCCTTCCAGCGATGTGTATGGAATGATACTCCAGTAAATACAACAGATACTATTAAAGACTCGTAAACAAAATCAATTATCATTCATGTCTACTTGGGGGTGCCACAATCTCATTGCGTTGCAACCACCGTAGTCATCAAGGTGCAACATCGATAACGTCTATTTGTGCAAATACAGCAAACTCATTTCGTCCCCAGGGAATCTCCAGCCCCAAACAGCTTACACCGCACATGCTTATCGCTCATAATGAGTAAGCATCTTTTTCGTTTCTTCATAGGGATGTCAATGACGAACATTCGACAGTCTCCAACCGCAACCGATCCCCGACTTTGTATCGCATCATGCGGCAGCGATATCTTTCATTTCTTGCAGATAGTCCTTGTATGATTCTTTGAACCGTTTACTGGCCTTTGAAAGCAGCATCGGCCTTGCCTCGAACATCTGCAGCGGCGCTACCGCTCTGGCTGAAGAATCGAGAGAAGACAGGTTGGATAAAGGATCGGAAGACGATTTGGGCACCATTAGTGACTGGCAGAGCCATCCACAGGATCAGAACGAATTTGAAGACGTAGTAGAATGCTAAGATATGTCAGTGATCTTCTCTTCGCTGGGATCTTCAAAAACTTACGGAACCAGTAGACAGCATTGATCAGGCTCTCAAAGACGGTAAGGAAGGCATAAACAACCCAGTACTTGAAGAATCATCAGCATTGTCCAGGTGAATTGCTAGACTGCGTGTACATACCGTCAACCATTGAGTATCATCAACCTTGCTTGCACTGAACAGTGCCTCAAGAGAGTAGTATCCCGGAATAACGAAACCGGCGAAATTGACTAGGAACTCGCCTCCAATGTTGAAGAAGACAAGGAAGAAGTAGAGACCGACGAGTCCGAGGAAAGCGTAGACCTTGGGAACATTGGTTTGTTTCTCAAAGTTGTTGAGGACAGGATACTTGGAAAGCTCCTTGTCGAGCTGGGAGATTTGGTGCTGGGTCTTATCTTGGAACGACATTTTGGCGATGGGGGCGATGTTAATCCGGATACAATAGAGGATTGGACGATGAGAAGGATGATGGAAGCTGAATAAAGGACGGATGGTTAATGGGGAAGCAAATGTGCGATGGGGAAAGTTGGGAGTGTCCTTAAGGATAGAGGAAGGAGCTGACGTCGTTTCTTGGATTGAGCGGTGATGATGTGCGAGTGCGTGTGCGTCTAGCAGTGGGTGGTGCCGCTGCTGTTGTCACCTGCAGGCAGCTCCTGACTGCAGCCTTTTCACCCACCCAGTTTTCCAGTTGATGCAGCTCATCAGGCTAGTCGGATTCAAGTGACGTCTTCATCATCAGCTAAAAGCAGCATGCTGACTTTAATAAGGCCCTGTCAAATCACAGCGGACACGAGTATGAAGCCTCGTCCCGTACTGTCATCGCAGGTTATCCTGTCTATCAGACCGAGTAGAGAGATCGGGTCTATAACCGAAACACCTCTACGTAAGGAAATATCCGAATATAACGTGAACCAATACGGAGAATGGCCTGATCTAAATGGCTCATTTCTACCAGTACATACATTCATCCTTAGTAGCACATACCTCGTACTCACGGCCCAGCAAAGTTGTGAACCGCGGGGCCCAAAGCGGATTAGCGGCGTTGGCCCATCAACTCGCACGAAAACATCCTCGACTTGTTAGTCAACACGGCCTTCGCGTCGACAGACCAGAGATCGCTTTTGCACCGCATATGTGGAAGTGGACACCGATCCAAGGTACTGTTATCATTGCTTTGAACTCGGTGTTCTTCGTTCTAAAGTATTCAAGTATTCTGCGACACGTTTACTACCACCGTCACGATCAACACTCCACTCCCCTACATACTCTACCTCCGAATGGCCCTTGGTGATTACCCTCAAGTCAAGCCTGAGAATCATCGGGTATAGATCTACCGTATTATTCAAACGAAAGGTACTCATTTCCGCAAAATTGAAGCGCTTGGACTGAGTTCAGTTTGATGAGGTTGTTTGTTGACAGCCGGGCTAATTCGACGCACAGTTCTCATGGCGCAGTCCCCAATCCACAATATGGAGGAACAAGCTCCAGAACCGCAAGGTCCTACCCATACAAACAATACAACCTCAAATAAAGAAAAACATCGTCGTCCTAAATCTCGAGGCTCGACAGCCAGTTTGCAGTCTGTTGGTGTTGGAAGCGCTTTTCAACCTGCGCCGCGACAAGACGACTCGACAATGCCGTTGGACCACAACGGCTTCATGGTGCAGCATGGCCACCCATTGGCGACTGCAATGTACCCTCACAACCCGGAGGAAATGCTCATGCATTATCAACAAAACATGGCCGCGCAGTATCGACCCAACACGATAGAGGGCATTCCGCCACACGAGATGCGACCCATCTCGCAACAAGCATTCCAAGAAATGCAACCGTTCCCTATGCAATATCCTCATCCTCCCTATGCTGTACCTCCGCAACATATGCATCACATGCGACATCATTCGGAACAGTTTGAAGGCTCACCAGCGCCGGAAGATTCAAACGCAGAAAATGGTGGAGCCAAGCGAAGAAAGGGCACTGCTTCGAGTGTTGCTAACGATCAAGAACTACGACGATTGCTTGCACAGTACCAGGGAAAGAGCCTCAAAGAAGTAGCCGCCGAGGTTCAGAAGAACGAGGGCTCTGGGGGCAAGTCTGAAAAGGCAAAGCAAGTCTTTGCTATGTTATGGTATGTTAATGCTGCCCAGGATCAATCATCGCTGACACGCGTAGGCTCCAAGAAAATTGCCAGCGGTCCTCCAATTCGGTTCGTCGGGACCGTGTATTTACGCGATATACCGAACGTTGCGGTAATGAGCGAGTACCAACGCTGAATCCCGCATCCTTTGGTAAACTCGTTCGTATCATTTTTCCCAACGTACAAACGAGGAGATTAGGAGTACGTGGTGAATCCAAATATCATTATGTTGACCTTTCGTTGGTTGTTGATGACGACGAGCGACCTTTTGGCTCAACACTCGAGAGACCGAGCACGGCAACCGGAATTCGCCATGAACGACAGGGTTCTCATGTCGACGTGACCAGAACCTTCAAAAGCCATATCACTCCACCTCTAGACCGTCCTGCATCTCGAGCGGCTATGGAGACCGCCGAATTCCCGGCCCCAAATGTTTCCTTCATATCCCGTCCAGATGATGTCGTTGTTGCTAAAGACGACCTCTCTGCGACTGAGAAGCCGCATACTCAAAAACTGGACTGCAAACATATCAACACACCGACCATACGACTACCGATCAAGATGATGCCTGCAAATCTTGTCGCTGTCTTGCCATCTGTCCGCCCAAATCTACCTGCTAGTATGGCGACGTACCTGGGTATGCCAACACTGAACTCGCTTTCTCAAATATCAACCACAGCTCAAGAGCCACCCATCGAATTCCCTGATATTCATCCTTACCTAGAAGGGACAACCTACGATGCATCCATAGCAAAGGCCTTGTTCCACCTCTACCGATCATATTGTATCGATGTCATTGACGCATTTAGAAAGTGCAAAGAAAAGCCATTTTTCAATCATCACTCAGCTTTCAATGGCAAGATGACTGTGCCTGTGTCCAAACTCTTCTCGATGGAATGCCTGGCACCTTGGATTCAAGAATGCGACATGCGCATGTACAAACAAATTGTACGCTTCATTGCGCCTTTGGCAGTTCAAAATGTGCCGGACGTCGTGTGGAACGTGTTCGATCGTATAGGCTCCAAGCTTGTCACCCATCTGATCTCAGCGTTTGAAGAAAAGTGTCCAGTCCATGTTGTCGTGGCAAAGACTGTTCCAGCGGCAAGATTTGCCAATCTGTTGAAAAAGCTCAAGGGTGCGAACGCGGCTACCCTACAATTAAGTCGCATGCTTGAAGATCCCCAGCAACGCACGCAGATGTGGCTCGATCTGATGGCCATGGTGGATCCAGAGCGGCTGCTTGAAGAGAGTATGCCACCTCCTGAGAGCTTCGACAGGATGCAAGATATCTTGAAACACGATATGAGACCATTAATATCACCTCTTGATGGTGAACTTACCCGGGCAGCGGAGGATGATCCAACGAGTGCATATGTGAATTTTCTCAATGATGTATCGGATTTTGGCTTCGGAATTCTAGCCTCCGAGACTGACGGAGAACCGACACCTCTACTGGAGAGATGGATCAGCTGGTTGGAGCGGTTGCCACAACTCTTCGACGGACACCACCCACAATGTATGGTTGACTGGCATTCTAGACTGTGGAGTAGTCTTATGATGCAAATGGGACAAAACGGCGCGCACAGTTACCAGTCATGGTGGTTTGTGGAATCCTTTGCGACACAAATGCTTGGCTGGATGACTCAAATGGAAGGGCTGCTTCTCGACGAAGAGAGCCAGAAGCTTGCAGATGCGAGGGAAAGAGAAAAGAGCAAGGAAATCGATTCTCACTCAACTTTGTCTCGCGGCACCAAGAGAAAGAGGAGTGAAGATGCTGCTGATGGGGAAGCGAAGGCAGGCTCTGAGAATGCCTCGCGTGCCATGAAGAAGTTTGCGCAGATGCCACCAACTCCTCCAGCTCTACTACCGGTTCAATCAGTTGAGCAGCCCCCTCAGGATGTCGATGACGACGCGACAGATGCGGATCTTGATGAGTTGCGACAAGGTGGCCCTTTAGATCTGCCTAGCTTCCATACGGGTCTCAGCAGTCCAGTAAAACGACAACATGGCAACAATGCTCTTGACGATAGCGGGATCGATCTTGGACTGGACATTGATGTCGAAGCCGAGAAAGAGGCAAGAAAATTCAACAAGAGAGACTGGCTTCTCAGCAGCGATCCTGCTGATCCGCCTGTTGGTCTGGGAGTTATAGTGTAATTGATGGCGACATTTTGATGTCTCCGACAAACACCGGTACTGTGTTACCGGCTACTGTTCGAACCACATTATGACGAACGTGTCGAATGGACGAGTGCGAACGATTTTCGATGACCTACACGACGAGATGATGGATCAAGGTCACACGGTGGTCGTCAGATTTGCGATGAGCGGGTGCTTTCTGAATTCTGGCGAGAGTTTCCTTTTACTAATTTCTATTCTTAATCGACTCGAGTCAGCCTTGTTTGGCTGTGACTGGGGAAAAGCTCTTTCGAGCATGACGGCGGCCTGGCTGGTTTATGGATATCAATGATACCCAGTCTGAGGGAGGGAGGGAGGTCCTTGCATACTACATTTGTTTGGAGATGTTACTATGACCAATGCAGTCTCGACCTGGTCATTTCTGTGCAAGATGAAGCTATTTCTCTTCTCTGTCTACTGTTGCTAGATGCGTGTGTTTTGGAAGAGTTTTCTTGGATGCGCAGTTTTCTCGAGTAAACAGCAGATATTTCTTCTAGCGATGCACGTTGTGCGTGGTGTTTACTGGCACGAGTTGGATCAGGAATGAAGACGCTTGATGCTTGAAGTACGATATAATACAAGTGTTTTGCGATGAGGTATGATTCAGTAGTATTCAGTGTCGTGTTTGTGGCAACAGCTTCGAGGTCATTCTGCTTACTTTGTAGTGGACGACGTGCCTAACGGACGTTTAGGCATATAATGCCGACATCGGCACTCGAGGTTGCACTTGTACAGTAGCGAAGCTGGCGAGACCCTGGAACATTTTCCTCTAGGCATCACTATTTAATTAATCCCCCCATCACTTCCCGATGTATCCCCGTCCCTTCGCCTACACAAGACTTCACAATCATCTTATCTGATCAAAACACATACACACTGGACCTCATACTTGACTGTGTTTAGATGCCTCAGTAACCATGACACAGCGGCAACGCAAGTGGCATACGAAGACACGGACTGGCTGTAAAACATGCAAGATTAGGAAGAAGAAATGCGACGAAACGAAACCGAGATGTAATCGATGCATCAAAGACAAGTTCACCTGTGATGGCTACGAGCCTCCACGAGCGTGGTTGTTCACTCCTCTCTCTGAAGAAGAGGACGTGAAGTTGACGCCAGATTCCGAGAAGACTGATGAATCTTCAGAGGCGTCATTCAACAGCCACCACTATGTGCCATGTTCAGGATATGTACGCGCAGACTCTGGCTCGATGCCGGACGCTCTCTCTATCTTAGCACCATCAAGTCCTTGGACTTCTGAAACGGATCGAAACTTCTGCCAGTATTTCCTCCTGCAATTCGCCCCTATGCTCACTACAACACAACAATGGGGCTACTTCTGGAGATCTTTAGTCCCTCAAGCAGCGTGGCTAGACACCGCTATCAACCACGCTATGGTTGCTGTTGCAGCTACCTATGAATCTAGGAAATCTGGGATTGATCGAACCGAGTTGATATTGCATCGAAGTAACCAGGCTATTCGTGCCTTCACGGCCAGCCAGGCATCCACTGATGTGGCCTTGATTCTGTGCCGGCTCCTTTCGTCAATGGCTCAATGCAATGGGGATTATCGTACTGCGACCATGCACATGAATTCTGGTCAGAAAATTCTGCAAGAGGTCACTCGAACGCGCAAAGCCGAATCTTCTGACGTTATACGTCTGATGGCACCGACCTTAATGGCACTCTCTACATACACAATCGATGACTCTGGCTTTATGACAAGAATTACCCCCGAAAAATGGGAGACGTTCCATACTCTCAAAACCATACGTTTGGAGTATGGACGGTTACTGCACTCGTTTTCTTCTGGAATTTGGAAACGGGCAGATTCTTTAACGAATTCTCTAATGAGCATAGCCTGGAGCACGCTTACTCAAGCATTCAGTTCAGTTCTGCACCCTGACATCGTCTCATTTACCAACGATCCTGTCGTGCCAGTCTCTCAAATCATTCGTCAACTACAAGCGGACATGGCTGTGCTTTCTATCGATGAGCTCAATACACAGTTTCGGGCTCTGTTCCGCGAAATGCAGTACTGCCTCACTACGATGGACGGGCCGGTAGGTCTCACAGAGGATAAAAGACAACACCTGAAGCGTTTAGTTGAGAACTACGTCGTACAGGCCGCCGAAGTCGAACCAAGAATGACAGCAGGAACGTTCTGGTATGAGTACAACTTCCCGCATTGTTGCATCGACAGCCATTTGAGCAAGTCTAACGACAGCATACGGGAGGCATCGCTGGCATGTCATTGCAATCGTGATGCGATCGAATTCGAGCGCCGGAAACGTGATTTCTATATGGAACATGTATGCCAGTATCGAAGCGGGTTCATGCCGGCGTCCACTAATCACGAGAGCCATTCGCTTTCAGCTCGCGCACAATCAGGCAAAGGTTCGGCTTGTTTGGTCGATGTCACTCTGGGAGCACCCAATCACTACACCTATCAAATAACCTTTACTGGCTGACGTGCTCTGAATCTCTACCAATTGCTCTCAGCGGAGAACCAAACATCCACAGAATCACAGGTGTAGGCCAACCCAATATCACAACAAGGAGTGCGAGTAAGGTATTTCCCCAGCCATAGCCCAGCTCCTGATATAAGTGAGGCGCGAAGATTGGAAAGATAAACCCCAAGAGATATGACAGACATCTTGATGCCGCATTCGCAGAAGCTGCATGCTTCACGAATTCGTCAAGCAAATACGCGATCATGGCCTGCGCCCACATGAAACTTCCCACGACGAAAATTGTAACGCCCAGATCGACAACAATCCAATGCGTGTGGCGTTCAGCCGACCAGCCATACCAAACAAGTCCAACGGGCATGAGGAAAACTCCAGGCACCATCATCGGCACACGGTATTCTGGAGTGACACTTCCACCTGCCCTTTCTCGGAGCCGCTGCCAGATGAAGTCAGTCAGCCGTCCTCCCCCTTGCGTTGCTATCGTGCATCCGACAGCGATAGCGATGTAATGTAGACTGCTTATGAAGGCCGATTGGCGGTATTGATCCATCCAAAGCACAGCGAATGTCGAAAGAGTGATGCTATACACACCGAAACTCAGACCCATTAGCAATGAGAAGACTTGTACTATAGGTCGCCGACAAAGGAGAGAGACAGGCCTCCCGATATTGCCCTTCAATCGATTTAGTGCTTTCAAACACTTTCTCACAAATCCTTTGTCGCGATTTCCCTCGTCGTTCAGCAGTCGTCGTCTCAGAATTGGTTCGTACGTCTCGCGCAGCGTGAAAAAGGCGACAAGCAAAACGAATGCATCGAAGATTGAGAGTACCCAAAACAGCCACTGCCATCCTGTATGCTGGGTCATGACCCCTCCTATTACAGGTCCAATGGCAGGCCCGAAATATGGAGCGAACGTCGCCACGGCAAGCGATCGACCACGTTCTTCGGGGCCATACATGTCCGCTACAATTGGGCTAGAGAGCTGATTTGTGCGTTAGCTTTGGACAGACTCCTGCTCCCAACAGAAACACTTACAGCAACACCCACGCTTGCCCCGACACCCGACAGGAATCTTCCTGCGATCATTAATCCCGGAGAACTGCCCACCGGGCAGAGTGTGTTCCATAAGATATAAAATATATGTGAACACATCCAGACCGGCCTCCTGCCGAAGGTCTCTGAACAGGCAGCAATGAGGAATGGCCCCAGTCCGAGACCAAGCATGTATATTGAGAAAACAATCTGCGTGGTGGATGTGTCTAGGTCAAGATCGCGAGCTATGACCTGTAGAGCTGGTGATATGACGCTCGCACTCATCAAAGCGATAAGCTGACTGAAGGAAACAAGGACTGCGGTGAAGATTTTGCGTCGGGCTGACCAGGCTCGAGGATCATCATAGACATCAGGAAGGATAAGAGGAACCTGCAGTACACTCAGTTAGTCGTGTCGAGTGCAGAGACGGATAGGAGATGGATGGATGTACCACAGATGTCACATTTGGATCACTTGTGGTATGCGTGGCGGTCGTGGCGGTCGCAGTCTTCTCAACATCCTGGGACGTTGGGGAAGTGTCAACAATGTCTTGGGACTTTCTGACAACAGTGTGTTCAGATGCCATTATTGCTATTAGCACTGCGGGCTGTTCTTGGGATCGAAGAGATTTACAGAGGTAAATGAAAGCTACATCAGAGGTATTCCATCACGGCCATCCGCCTGTTTTATATACGTTGCATTGTATTGCGTACATAGGAAGAAAACAACCCCCCCGAATACCTGGACTTCTGCTACGTCTGACCCTACGGACTGTCAATATCGAAAACATGCCGTTCATCGGAGTACAACGAGTACTTTTTGGACACAGAGAATATCATGGTATCATTTGATGTGGAACCTCGGATGTGGCAATACAGCCCAATCAAATCGATCGCTGCGTATAATGGCCACACACTTGGGGAGGATTGTGTTCTAAGGTGTGAGTTCTTCTTAGGGCACAACCAGTGTCGATTTCTTTTGTCGGGTGTCCAGAATGATGGAAGCATATTGATATCGAATTGGAATCTGCAGGGCGTACCGTTCGAAGGTATCCGGCGTATACGCGGAGGATGTAGTCCGTATTTGAGAGCAGACACTCCGAATGGGTTTTCGGTCATGGAGAGAGGAAGCAATAATGAACGACACTAGAGACAGTGTAGCTTAGTACACACCTACCTGAGAATGTATTTTCAAGTGGAAATTTGTATATCCTCACAGATTCGTTTGCTATGCTGTAGCTTACAGATTTCATGGTGATCTGTTTGCCTTTAAAGAGGCGAGAAATGTTATCCTTGTAGGTATTTGGAACCCCTATTGCTTAGCGCACAAGGCTTTCCCACCTTAACTAATCGACAGCCTCGTGCCGCCTAAACTACTTTCGGGGTTGGTGCTGCCCATGGTGACACATTTATCAGCCTACAATGGGAGAGAAATGTTTCGATGTTTTCTCATATGTGTTTACTGTCGGTAGGAGGTCGACATCAAATCATACCTAGCAGTCATCTCTAGGTATTTCGGAGGAGGGGACCAGTCAAGGCTCAATCTACTGGTAAATCTCGAACGGATTCTCGAAGCTGGACGGATTCAGCTAGCTCGGCGCCCCGGACTGACCGATGTCTACGAACACACGGGAATTCCTTGTGACGAGATCGATTTGACAGTACAAGACAATCAGAGACAAAAGACATGGCCAGACGCGCAAATAAATCGCAACCTCACAATGCATCGAAGCAGGTCAACAAGTCTCCAGACAAGAAGGAACTTTCTGAACCTCAAGTACGAGTACCTCTGGAGACTACTTCCGTAGGATCCTCTCATCAACGACCTCCTCCTAAATCGTTCCTCAAAAGTCTAGGGGACATTAGAACACAACGATCACTTCAATTGATCCTTCTTGCTTCTTTACAAGCGGCGGTATCTCAACTCAACTTGTCCCCGGTTTACGGAGCTGTTCCGGCCGCGTTATACCATCGCTACGGGCTGACCGTGTCATTTCTCGTCGCTTTCTTACTTCGAGGTCACCTCCCTTGGTGGATCGGAAGGGCCATCACACCTTTTGCCTTTTGGATCCCAACTGTACAATTCCTGGCTTTCCGATTCAGTTCTTACCTGGGTAACCCATTGGGGCCTGTGGTCACGGAATGTTTGACGTGTTACCCTTTGATGGCCTTGTCGGTGTACATGTCGTTACAGTGTCTGGATGAGGCCAATGATTCATCCACGGCGACTGCCGACGCGTTCCCAGCCATGGGTCTGTTCGCCCTCTTGACCGTTCTCCAAAGGGCATGCAAGTCGTTCGTCACGTCTCTCGCGGCCGGGCCGGGATTCCTCAGGTCCCGCATCGGAATGCAATTGGTGGTGGCCTCGTTGTACGCCATGGCTTTACCAAAGAGTCTCATCTGGCCTTCAATTCCGGCGGTCGCCTTCACCATGGTCGCCAACCCTCACTGTTCATTGTCGAGGACGACCGAGCTTCTCAACAACACCTTGGCGTTGTACGACTATACGTTGTTGGAAAGGAAGGAATCGGTGACCGGGTACATTTCGGTGTTGGAAGACAAGACCCGCGACTTCAGGGTGATGAGGTGCGATCACAGTCTCTTGGGTGGAGAGTGGAAGATGTCTCCCGAATGGACATCGACGAGAAGGGTAGTAGGGGAACCTATCTATGCCATTTTCACCATGCTTGAAGCCGTACGACTTGTCGGGACTTCGGCGGAGTTGTCGTCACCACGAGACGATAAACAGAGAGCACTCAACATCGGTTTGGGGGTCGGTACAGCTCCCTCGGCGATGATCGCTCACGGTGTCGACACGACCATCATCGAGATTGACCCGGTCGTTTACGAATTCGCCATCGAGTATTTTGGTCTGCCTCGGGACCACCACACTTGTGAGATTGCAGACGCCGTGTTTGCTGTCGCCAATCGGACGACCTACGAGGCTGGTTCCTATGATTACATCATCCACGACGTCTTTACCGGTGGTGCTGAACCGATCCAACTTTTCACGTCGGAGTTTTTCAAAGACCTAAAGGTCCTACTCAAACCCGAAGGTGTGATTGCCATCAATTACGCGGGTGACATTTCGATGCCATCATCGTCCATCGTCTACAAGACGATCACTTCGGTCTTTGGTTCGTGTCGAGTCTTTAGGGAAGATGAGGCACCAGCGGCAGGTCAGAAGAAAGATGGCGGTGATGATTTTACAAACATGGTCTTTTTTTGTCGCAAGCATGAAGGCCTTCCGGTTACTTTCCGAAAACCTGTCGAGACCGATTTCTTGGGGAGCGGGACCAGGAAGGAATACATGATACCCAAACACGAGATGATTCCAGGAACGTTTGACCACAACGTTGAAATCTTGACGAGTGGAAAGACAAAAGTCATGGAAAAGTATCACGCCAAAAGTTCAATCGGACACTGGAAGGTCATGAGGACGGTACTTCCGGATGTGGTCTGGGAGATGTGGTAGTTTTTCAAGAGTCTGCTTATAAGATGGGGGGGTTCGTCGTGATACAGCCTTGGGAATTTGGAAATCGGCTCTAGTACTAGGTACCAGAGATTGGAAATCAAGATCACAGATTACTCAAAAACACTAGTCATGTTTTCTTCCTTTGAATTCGTTCCGTGTTTGTTACTCTTGTCGTCACTCTCCCCCCTTCGGTGAAATGACTTCTTTTAATGATTATGTCTCGGTGCAGGCCATTTCTGAGCCACCTTTTGAAACTTGACCGCCTCCTTCAGGACCATCCCCTCGTTCAACTGTCCGGTCTCCCTCCTGAAGATATCCTCCCAAGGAGTGTGGCTTTCCGGGTAAGAGTACCCACCCCGGGCCTCCAGATCTTCCCGTCGTTTCTTTAGATCTGTTTCCGACACCAGCAATTCCACTTTCCTCTTGGTGAGGTCGACCCTCAACATGTCCCCGTCCTTCAGGAGGGCCAGGTTTCCACCGGCGGCGGCCTCGGGGCTCGCGTTCAAGATCGAAGGGGAACCGGACGTGCCACTCTGTCGGCCGTCGCCGATGCAAGGGAGGGAATGGACTCCCTGTCTCAGGACTTTACCGGGCGCGTGCATGTTGACAATCTGGTTGTGTTCCAAAGCCTTGATCAGTATACTTCTCTCTCGTACATCTTTTCTCTTTTGCTGTCCACGCACGACATATCGTGTGAAGTGAAGAGTCGAGGACACTCGGGATGGGATGGGTATCAAGGAGACTCACCTCTGCTGCACCAGGGTATCCCACTGGTCCTGCACCTCTCATGACCAGGATCGTCCTCGTGTCGACCGGCACATTTGGATCGTTGATGCGTTTGACGTAATCTTCCCTTCCGTCAAACACTGCCACTTTGCACGTAAACGCGTTGGGGTCTTTGGGGTCCTCCAAGAATCCCTTTCGGAACTCGTCCGAGATGACTGAAGTCTTCATGATGGCCGAATCGAACAGATTGCCCGTCATATGGAGAAAGCCCGCCTCTTTCTTCATCGGGTCGGAATACGCCTTGATCGTCCGTCGGTCCCAGGAGTGTCTGCCGCCGACGTTGTCCGTCACGGTCTTGCCGTTGCACGTCACCACCTTCGCCTGGAGTTTACCCTGGTCCAACAGCTCGGCCATGACGGCGGGGAGACCTCCGGCCTTGTAGTATTCTTCGCACAACATCTCACCGGCGGGCTGCACGTTCAGAAGCAGAGGAATGTCGAAACCGATGCGGTCCCAGTCGTCCAGGTCGAGCGGGACACCGATGTGTTTGGCGATGGCGTTCAGATGGATCGGCGCGTTCGTGCTGCCTCCGATCGCCGAGTTGACGACGATGGCGTTCTCAAAGGCCTCCCTGGTCATGATGTCGCTGGGTTTCCGGTCCGCGTGGACCATTTCGACAATCTGTCGGCCGGTCTTGTAGGCGCACTGTGTCCTCTCGCGGTACGGAGCCGGGATGGCAGCGGAACCGGGAAGAGCCATGCCCAGTGCCTCGGCCAGGGCGTTCATGGTACTGGCGGTGCCCATGGTGTTACAGTGGCCGACGGAGGGAGTGCTATTCTATCGGATCAGCCGAGGCCAAAAAAACCAGAAAGGGGAGTTGGAGTTCGAGCAAAATTTTCAAAACATACCCGGCCGCTATCATCTCTACCAGTCTGTCATCATCAATCTCACCTGCCGCGTGCATGTCTCTGGCTTTCCACAGGATCGTTCCAGACCCAATCTTGTCGCTCGACCCAAACAGGCGGCCATTGAGCATAGGTCCAACGTTGAGACAGATGGCTGGAATGTTCTACTCGCGAACACACATCAGCGAGTGCAAAAAAGATACAACTCAAAAGGACTCACAATGGTGGCCGCGGCCATCAGGAAGGCAGGCGTGGTCTTGTCACAACCAGTCAAGAGGACCACGCCGTCGAGAGGATAAGCATGTAACAATTCGACCAGTCCGAGGTACGCGAGGTTGCGATCCAGCGTCGCGGTTGGTCTTCGTGAGCTTTCCTGGATTGGATGCGTGGGGAATTCAAAAGCGATACCACCGGCGGTACGGATGCCTTCTCGCGCACGCTTTGCGAGCTCCAGATGGTGCCTGTTGCAAGGTGCCAGGTCTGACCCAGACTGAGCGATACCGATGATGGGCTTGCCGGACATGAGTTCCTCCTGCGTCAGGCCAAAGTTGAGATACCGATCGGCGTAGAGGGCCGACATTTCAGGGTTCTCGGCATCGTCGACGTTGAACCAGTTTGCCGACCGGAATCTCGTCGATGAGGTTTTGGTCGTGTCGGCGAGTCCTACCTCGGAAAGCTTCTGCTCGAGTTCCAGCGTACGCTTTCGCAACGAGTCGAGCTCGACTTTGTAGTCTTCAATGTCGCCCACCGAGGCGTTGTGGTGGCCGTCACTCGGGCACGTATCACAAGCCGAAGAAGAGTCTTTCTGGCAGGCCATTGTCGGACGGGGAACGTATATTGTTGTCAAAGTCTGATTTCTACTTTGTCCCCAAGGAACTGTGTATTTGCGTGTCCGGGTTGGTTGTTGTTGTTGGCCTGTTTATGTATTGAATGAGTCGAAACTCAGGATTCACACAGCGCAGCACATCACAAAAAGAGTCCCCCCCCCACGCCCTACGAAGCGTTGATACCCAAGTGACCAACCCACTGCTCTGTAAAGGGTCTCGTGTTGTCGGGTGACGGCAAATCTGGGGAGCTTTACAAAAGGTGACACGGCACCGAGTCGGGCGTATCCCCGAGGTGGAACACATGCTGGACCTGAGGGTGTCTGTGAGCCAACGAGAGGAGGTTGATTTCAACCTTTGGGACAGTGTCGACCCGAGGCTGTCAGGGTGAGAGTCGAGCATTGTCCCAGTTGAGTGACTTATTTTCTCCGGAGGTGGAGGAGGCGCCCAAGGCCAACCATGTCTAAGTAATTCCTTGCTTATGGGGGGTGGATGGGGCGCCCAAGCAGTAACTAATCCATTGTTTATGGGGGCTACAGCTTAAGTGCCATTCGGGGAGAAGAAAAGAGGGGAAACCACCACCCGTGTGCCTCGGGTTTCTTTCCACATCATTTACAAGACTGTGTATTACTGTAAAGCCTCGATGGCCAATACCCGGGCACCAATATTCAATACCTGTACCATTGCCCTATGGCTTTCCTCCTCTATGTACTTGTATGTCAGAGTCAGAATATAGTGAGATGAAAGCTCATTTGAATCTGTCGGTACCGGATTCAGAATTGGCGACAACATTCTGACATTCTTCCTGCTCTGCCAACATCGTCCTATGCATCGACCTTACTATGGATTCGTGCTTCATACTCGAGAAACTTTCGTCTTCAGTGCAAGAGGGTAGAAGAAAAGCCAAGTTCTGAAGCAGAAATGCACTCAAGGTATTTGTGGACAGATCTCAACCAGAGACTTGGGCTGCTACAATAACTGCTTAGACTTTACGGAGTACAGCCAGCCACATGGATCTTGAGCCAGTTGCTGACGAAGCCTTTCGCTTCAAAGCAGATACAGATCCCGCCAAGGCAAACATTTGGAAGCCTTTCACGAAAGTGGTCTTGAAACAGTCTATCGGAGTCTAGACTTGCGAGGCTCAGCGCCCAAGAAAGAGAGAGGATGTTAAAACGACCTGACCTCAGCGAGCTATATCAAGCCCGATATTGGGGCTTCATCATGCATAAGCTCAGCAAGAAATATTCTGCCAATTGCAGCTTCTCGGCAGAAAAAGCGACCAGAGAAAAATGATACAACTGTAGGCGTACTGTACCTCTCTCTTGAAGATCTACCGTTCTGGATGAAGCTCTTTCGAGCACGCGAGATTGCCGCCGAGATGCTCCTTCCCTGAGAATTGCCTCACCTTTGTTAGAAACAGGACAGTGGCGGCTTGAACACGGTCCTAGATACTGGCATCTTCATCTCGAGACTGATCTTTGGGTTAGTCCAGACTTCTCAACCACTTCCTACTGCCAAGTCACTTGGCTGCCTCCTTGAAAAGTCTTGGACAATCGACTGTTCATACTCCGTCAAAGGTGTTTTGTATCGACAACAGTCAGGCTGTTCGCTACTAACGGTCGAGGGGGTTGACTGGGCGAGAAACTCCCGTACTAATCCGGCGCCTCGCTGTCTTTGGCAACAGCGGAGTTGCGCCCCCTGATCTTGGCCGTCAGATCACACTTGGCGCCAATGCAGTCTGCGTATTCCAACCTGCGCCCACTGCCTTGCTGTCCCTCCCTCTCGGGGACTTTGGAAAATGCTTGGTCGTCTTGCCTTTCTGTACAGCTCTTGTTCTCCTGGGCGAAGCTTTTCATCTGCAGCTGAGAACATCGTGGAGATAGGAAAGAAACATCGACAAGAATGTGGGTGTTCTTCTGCAAGCCGGAATAAAGTCAGCCAAATCCTCACACTTACATCTTCCAATTAGCATACTGCATACCTTCACGTACATCCTTCCGCTGGAAAGGCAGTGCCATATGCTGACCCCATCACTCCGTACTGTTCTGGGCGTTTCAAGGTTAGGGCATAACACCATTGGAACAGGCGAGGATGCTATCCCATACACCCACCCCTAGTCCAATCCAATCCCGGATACGAGTAATCTAACGCGGAAAGCCATGATCCAGAGATCCGCCATATAAGACTACCATGAGACCTCGACGATGGAGGCTATCAGACCATATTGTTTCTTCTGTTCCTGTTACCCAAAGCCCGTCTTTCGCTCTTGCATCGCCGTCTTGTTGTTGTCGTTTGGAGTACTTTTCATTCTTTTTTTTATGCATCGTTGTGCATTGTCTGATCCACCATTCCGCATTTGATTATCTGGTATTGCATATTGAGCCATGTTGACTTCGATTCTCTTCCTTTCTGCTATCTTCTCGACGGCCTGGAGCTGTCCAAAGCATGACAACTACCAATCCCATCCGCACCTGGGTCGACGGCAGGTCCGTATCGACGTCGGGAGAGAACTCAAGGACTGGGACTATGACCACTCTGCCGACTGGGCCACGATAAGACCTGGTATGTGGTTTGACACACTTTGCTCCCTGTTCACCTCACTCAATACTCATACAACTTGCAGAATATGCCCTCTGTCAATCCGGAACGCATCAGTCCCCCATCAACATTGCTGGACAAGAGTTGGCTGTCACTCACACCCCAGACTTCGAGGGCTACAAGAATGAACCTGTGCCAGGGAATTTCGCCAACTGGCAATTCGCCCCGTCTTTCACGCTACATCATCCGGAAGGCGAGATTACAGGTCTCCCCAACCTCAAGTTTGATGGCCAAGAGGTCTTCTTGATAGGCTGGCACATACACGCCCCTTCAGAACATCTCGTCGACGGCCGTCGCAGTCGTGCCGAGATCCACATGGTCCACGTCAATGAAGAAGACGAGGAAGCTGTAGTCGTCGGTATCCGCGTCAACGTCGCTCCCCCTGGGACACCCACGGAGTCCGCATTCATCAAGCAGCTCGGCCCTCTGATCCACTTCAACGACACTTCTCAAATCGAAGGGCTTCACGTCAACGTACGACAAGCTATCGACGAAGTCGGCGGGCTTGCAGAGTACTGGACATACAAGGGCAGCTTGACCACACCTCCCTGCACCGAGGGTTTGAGATGGTTCATCCCCAGGCAAGAGCTGTTGGTGAGTGAGGGACAGATGGTGGAGATTCTCGCAGCCAGCAGATTCTCCCATCGTGTCCCACAAGAGGTTTGGTTACATGACATCAATCTGTAAATTAGGGGCTCGGAATTGAGAGGTTGAGCCCTTGAAGAGCGAGTTTTTGTGGTTTCGTTCTGGCGTTGTTACAAAAGGAGAGCTGGTGGCTGCATTGTGTTGGGTATCGTGGCGTATCTAGAAAACAAGAACCTCAGCAGTTGCTTTTTCCCCTTGAGATACCCATATTTGACGGTCTTGTTGTATCATCCAAAATCTAGATGTGGGCTTTTGAGCTCGCTGTGTTCCAGATTGGAAAAAGACGTTCCTTTCCGAGTCCCTGTGTCGTTTGATCATGTGTCTGATGAGCTCGTGCAGGTGTTGGGTGAAGGGACGGGCTATTTGACTGTTCTCTGATAGACAGCGAGTACGGATGATCCTGGAGTGTAACTCAATAACTGCTCACTGGTCAACCCTGTCCTCGTACATACTGTAGGTAGATCCTCGTCTCGGCCGTCAGTGCTCCCGAGTTCCGGGGTGCGTTTTAGTCAGCCATTCAGACATCAACAGGGGGCTTACCAATACATGGCAGAATGGGTACCATCCCTGACGACAACTCAATTGCCAGATATTATGACCTTTTAACATCCCGTCGGTCTACATATCTTGACACTTGAACCCTGGGGAGCAAAAGGCTAGTCGAGACACACTCAAGTCGAGAAGAAACAAGATTGGGGACGACTTATCGAAGTTGTTTCATCCTTTTGTCCGATTGTGAAGAGCAATGAAATTCCTCAGTCATGGCATAGCAAGGGTACGCGATCATCACCACGGCGTCTTGTCTTTATATTCACCTTTGATTTCTCACGGTCTTGCCTTGTTTCCTCCTCCTTCTCCCCATCAATCTCGTCGTCCCATCCACTCTTTTGTATCTGTCCGAAAACAAAGACAAACTCACCGACCTTTTCGACATCAAAAGATTCTACAAGCTCAATCCGCCCTTCAACAAAGTCTCTTCACCACCTTGTCGTCGTCGTCAACGAACTCGTCGTCTTTTTCCTTTTCCTCTCTGGGTGGGGTTTTCGGTGGTCTTCGCGACATGTCCACCACCACCTCCCAACCACAACTCTCACCGGCCGAGCAGCGGGACGTTTCGTCAATCTTGGACTTTTGGTTCTCCCAACCGCCCCTGAACTGGTTCGCCCATCCCGACCCGGGAGCCTTTGACGCCACCATCACGGAGAGGTTCGGCCACCTCTGCGAGCGGGCGCGCTCCAACGACCTCGGGGACGGTTGGTCCGAGACGCCCCGGGGGGCCCTCGCCTCCATCATCCTCCTGGACCAGTTCCCCCGCAACGTGTACCGGGGCACCCCCGACGCCCACTCCTCGGACCCCCTCGCCCTCGACCTCGCCACCAGGTCCGTCGCCCGGGAGTTTGACCGCCAGGTGGACCCCCTCCAGGCCATCTTCTTCTACCTGCCGCTCGAACACGACGAGACCCTCGTCAGTCAAATCGCCAGCGTCGCCTGTTACGAGGCCCTCAAGAGTCGATGCGCGGAAACCCACCCCGACCACCCCGTGGACTTCCTCGACAGGAGCATCGCATTTGCCAAATCTCACCGGGACGTCATCGCCAGATTCGGTCGGTTCCCGAGTCGGAACAAGGTCCTGGGGAGGCAGAGTACGGACGAGGAAATTCGATTTCTAGAGGAAAATCCTTCTGGATTCTACTGAAGAGCCTTTTTTTTAATTAGGAACAAAAAAGGGACTCGGTGGACTACTTGATATTAAACATGGTGGCAAAACCTGTTAATTGTCAATGTGTCAATATGTGACAGCATACATTAAAATTAGATATATATACAGCCGCCAAAAAGGACAAACAATTGCTCTTCTGACATGGCACAAGGTCATACACATGCTCTTTGAACTCCCCTGACCACACACAAACACAGTTGCTAATGTAACCAGCTCAAATATATGTCAAATGAGCAAATGGCAGAATTTCGATCATCTTATCGAAGTGGTGCAAGAAGGATATGGCGGCAGCATCAGAGACCAACCTGCTACAAAAACATCAACCGGAAATCCCAATCTTCTCTTTTGGTAAAATGGCAAACACGGTCCCAAATGTAGCTAGAACCACGCAAACTGCGACCAGGATCCAGCCGAGGACCCTCTCAACCTTGCCGACCGTCGAATCTTCAGTACTAAAGATCTTTAGATAGAAGCTGACGGGCAGGATGACACAAATCGTAAAACACAACGCAGACCCCATCAGAGCCATGATGCTGTCAAAGTCCGGGATTCCGATGGCGATTCCAAGCTGCAGCACGTTGGCAAGGATGCCGATGGATCCACGTGCGGCACGATGCTTCAAGCTCTTCTCGCTGTGCATTCGTGCCTTGGCGTCCATCTGCCTCAGGTCGATGTAGAATTTTTTGTTGAGGGTATCCATCATCGGACGATTCGAAAGCGGAATCTTGGTGATGGGGATGATGGCGATTAGAACGACGATGATGACCGAGAGGGCTTGAGGGTACGACGTCGAGCGCAAGATGTTGGAGGTGACTTCGTCTCGTACGCTGTCGCCAAACATCAAGTAACCCAGCACAGCCATCGTGAGGTCGAGTCCATAGGTGAAGAAATAGGTGTATCGCAAAGCACGTCCGTACTTTTGCGGGTGACGCATGTCTTTGTAGACTGCCGGGAAGACGCTGTGTCCACCCCACGGGGCCATGAACAAACCCAAACTGAGAGGTACGGTCCGCCAGTTCTCGGGAAAGGCATAGGTTCTGGCAACCTCCCGTAAGGAGCCAGGAGCATCAGGCTTGATCAGCCCATCCGCGAAGACAATGGCAATGATGCCAAAGCAACAGAAGATACCAATGACACTGGTGATGCTCAGGGACTTGAACGGGACAAAATTGAGAGGTATCAGACCCAGTGAGATGATGATCTTCCAGTCGGTGACGGCGACGGCTGGAAAGAGCGAGTTCATGCTGTCGCCAAACAGGATGACCAGAGCTACGTTGGCGGCGGTCAGCTCAAGGATAAACAAGGCCTCCACAAAGTTCCTGCCCCAAGACCCCAGAGCAAGGAAGGCGATGTCTCCATATGTGGTCGACGCCGAGTTCGTGTCTAGGCACTTCGCAAGTAGCTTGGCCGTGTAGGATGTCGAGAGGGCAGCTAGGGTGAGGAAGGTCAACCCAAGAACCCAACCAGAGTACCTGATCCCCAAGGGGAGTGCGAGGATGCCGACACCGATCAAAACATTGGTCGAGTTGAAAACCGTCATGGGGACGGTAGACTCGCCAACAGTCCGCTCGACAACTTCGCCATCGGGGAGTATTTCTCTCTCCAGCAACCGGTGAGGCTCATCTTTAAACTCTTCGGGATGTTCCAGCGCCCGTTTGCTTGCTTCTTCCTGCTCTTGGATCAAAATGGAGGCTCGCTGCCGTGCGGTGACGGTCAGCCGGGAGGAGATACTCCCATAACTCGTGCCCAACACACTTGGCAACCTCAGGTCTGTAGAAATTGAACCAGAAGTGGATTTCATAGACTGTTGACTCTTCATGGGTAAGAGCCTCGATTGTTCAGTTGGTGCTTCCGTGGTGCCTTCTTGTACCGCGGATTCGTTTTCAGACGACATGTGGTAGTCTTGAAGTTGCCTTCTCAACAGAGATCTGTCTGGCGCAGCAGAGGTACTCTGGCTTGGAGAACCTGTTTCTTCATCTTGTCCATCAGGAATCGTGACCGAGTTTCTTCTCATAGGTGTTATCTCTCGAAACCCAGCAGCTCTTTGGAGTGATTTTGCAAAGTTGTCAATGCTATTCGGACCACCCATCTGGCGCAGGCTGTCGAACTTCTTTCCCAACGAGGATTTTCTCCTCCTCAACCGCGGCCCGTCCTCATCATCACCCTCGCCCGAGGTAGCTCTGAGGTATTCATGTCGAGGTGGGGTACTGGAGGAAAAGCTGGTCTGTTGTGCATTCTCGGGTACAGAGTCGAGGGAATCGAAAGAAGACGCTCTTCCACGTTCGTAGGCTGCCCAGTTGGTTGGTGCTTGTTTACTTCGCTGGCTCATGTCCGCGTCCTGTTCTTTCTTGTCAGAATCGCAAACGCAGACTCTACTGCACTCCCAGATGCACAGAAAGAAGACCTCAAAGATTCTCAACGTAAGAGATGATCAACACCTTTGAGATTTCCTCTGGCAAAACTCTACGGTGTCGCCTGACATCGACCCTCGAGACAATTTGTAGCTAGACAAATCCTGCAGAGATAACAGAGGGTTCGAGATAGCGGATGTTCAACACATTCTGGAACTTCGACACCTGGAGGGAAATGCTGCATAAGAATATGAACACTGAAGCACAAATAACCACCTGAAATGTCAAAACGAAAGAAGTCTCGAGAAGAAAAGGCACCTGAGGAAGAGAAACGGAACAGCGTCACTGTACCAGACGTTGACAAGACCATTAACCGATTATAACCATGGTATGCATGCCATTCACAGGCAGGAAAGGAACGCGATAGGCTCTGTTTGTTGATCTTTAGCCGACTCCATAGGCGCCTCCACAATATCTGCAACGCCTGGATGAGCCTAGAGATTTCGCATAGATAGTGGCGGAATGATGATAAGCCTCTTTTTTTGCTTTGGTTGACTGCAGCCGATGACTGATGGTTGAAGGACTGATCGTCTCCTTGTACATTTCTGCCCATATACTCCTCCGTACTAGTCTCTTCGAAGCACGTGACCACTCAAGTTCTCATACTGCGCCTCACTGTTTGCATGGAGCACCGTTCTTGTACTAACTCCTTACTCCGTACTAAGGGAATTTTTTAGCCACACACGACCACCGCCTCCACGCCGCCAGTAATTTACTACCTAAGGTAATCTACCTGATGACTGCACATTTGCCAGCGCAGCCCGCACCATATTGATTCTCCCCTACCCACTTGAGTTGCCCAACGTCACTTCAATTCTCACCTCAACTCTCCTTGAAGTCCTTACCTCTCCCCCTTCCACTCATTGACGACTCAACACAACCCTCCCTCCGACGTCAGAAGTTACCTCTTCCCACGAGCAGGCCCCCCTCTGCGAGGCCACGTCTAGGCAAAAATGAGTGCCCCTCAACAGCAAAACGAGGCAGAAAAAAATATTGAAATATGGAAGGTCAAAAAACTGATCAAACGTCTCGAGGCGGCCCGGGGTAACGGTACCTCCATGATTTCTCTCATCATTCCACCCAAAGACCAGGTCTCTCGTGCGGCAAAGATGTTAGCTGAAGAATTCGGTACTGCCTCGAACATCAAATCCCGAGTCAACCGTCTATCTGTCCTGTCAGCTATCACCTCCACTCAGCAACGTCTGAAGCTGTACAACAAAGTCCCCCCGAATGGCCTGGTCGTCTATTGTGGTGAAATCATCACCTCCGAGGGCAAGGAAAGAAAGATCAACATAGACTTTGAACCGTTCAAGCCTATCAACACCTCCCTTTACCTATGTGACAACAAATTTCATACCGAAGCGCTCAGCGAACTACTCGAGTCGGATCAGAAATTTGGCTTCATCATCATGGACGGTAACGGAGCACTGTTTGGCACACTCAGCGGCAATACAAGAGAAGTTCTGCAGAAGTTCTCGGTCGATCTGCCCAAGAAGCACGGCCGTGGTGGTCAATCCGCGCTTCGTTTTGCTCGTCTCAGAGAGGAGAAGCGTCACAACTACGTGCGTAAAGTTGCAGAATTGGCCGTTCAGAATTTCATCACCAACGACAAAGTCAACGTTGCCGGGTTGGTCCTGGCTGGTTCGGCCGACTTCAAGAACGACTTGAACCAGTCTGACATGTTCGACGGCCGTCTGCAAGCCAAAGTCATCAAGGTCGTCGATGTGTCTTATGGTGGCGAGAACGGTTTCAATCAAGCCATCGACCTAGCTTCCGAGACCTTGAGCAATGTTAAATTTATTCAGGAGAAGAAGCTGATCGGCAAGTACTTCGAGGAGATCAGCCAAGACAGCGGTCGTGTCTGTTATGGTGTTGAAGACACCTTGAAGGCTTTGGAATTAGGTGCTTGTGAAACTCTGATTGTTTACGAAAACTTGGATGTCACCCGATGGGTTCTGAAGGCTTCGGATGGGTCCGAGAGAGTTTTACATACGACCAAATCTCAAGAAGGCAACCGCGAACAATTCATGGACAAAGAAACCGGCCAGGAAATGGAAGTTATTGATCAGAGTTCTTTCCTCGAGTGGCTCGCCGAGAAATACAAGGATTTCGGTGCCACGTTGGAGTTCGTCTCTGACCGATCCAGCGAAGGCAACCAGTTTGTGAAAGGCTTTGGTGGTATTGGGGCTATTTTGCGCTACAAGGTCAACTTTGAACAGTTGGCTGACGTTGACGACGAAGACGAATTTTATGATGATTGACAATTCAACGACCTCGAAACGAAAAGCGAGAAGCAACTTGTAGACAGTCGACCATTGGTCCAGGACGTCACATTGACAGCATCTTCTCGCTCTGAGCGTCCTAACGACGCGCCTCCTTTTCTAGCTTCGACAGGAAAGGACCAGACCGTGGTCAGCAAGCCACAGGTCAATCATCTGGAGAACCCAAGGATCAAGAAAAATACTCTTTGGGGGGCTGAGAGATCGACTGCTCCGCCAGCCACGCAAGCTCGGGGTTTAGTCCATGGTAAGGCCATTGGCAACTATTAGTACCAGTTCGCCCGACTAACACTTACTTCAGGTCGATCTAACCTACGCAATATGGTCATGGTCTGAGAAAACGACGGCGGTCAGGTGCAGCCCGTCGACGATCCTGCAGTGCCCAGCGGTGTCCGCAGGGGAATTGGCTGAGAACTCCACTGAACCTGATGTAAGTCCGACATACCAGATGGTCTGCCGAGCAGATGCATCAACTCTGTCCGTCACAACGACGGCGACATGGAAATCCGAATGGAAGGCTTTACTCCGATCTTGCCGAAGCACTTCCACCCTCGGTCGAAACGTATTGTCTCTCGTGAGCTGGTCACTCCTTTTCATTCGAGCTCACTTCTTTCTTGTTTGGCCGAAGGCCCCGTCATTCCTGAGAAGTCTGGCATTCGTGTTCCTCGAATTACATGCTCAGGCTCAACCCAACTTCTGGCATTCCAGAACTCAGGACAGCTAGCCAATACCACCTTAGGTAGTCAATCATTATCGTTCTTGACTCTATTCTCTGCACTCTTCAAGTAGTATCGCCCTCTTCCCTAAGTAATTGATCCTCGAAAGTCCCCAAATATCTGAGGCTCTCGGTATATCTCTCCAAATCAGCCAACATCCTCTTCAAGCCGTCCCCATTGAAGTTAGCAGCGTCATTGCTGTCCGTCACGTCGGCCGTCTGCTCACATTCCACGAAAAAGACGTACTGCCAATTCCTCATCCGGCTCGGCCTGGTGTCTATACTCGTCAAATTGAATGAGTAGGTCTTGAACACGGCCAACGCATCTGCCAATGCGCCGGGCTTTGTGTGCGAGATGGTAAAGGTTATCAGAGATTTGTTTCTTACTTCGCCCTTTGCCTTGGGTGAACTTGACAGATAAGAGAGCAACGCATCCGACGATATCTTTCGTTTCCTATTCTTCACAACAAGAAATCTTGTCGTGTTACTGCCAGGCTCGTCCTCGATGTTTTCGGCCAGACAAGTCAGCTTATGTTTCTCTCCAGCGAGCTTCGACCCGATGGCCGCACTGAGACCACCGTTTGATTCTCGAGCGACGAGCTGCGCGGCGGCAGAGGTGCTTCCGACGTCTATCCTTTCGACCTTTGCGGGAGGGAATTGTGACGACAAGAACCGTGTGCACTGGCCCCAGACTTGAGGGTGGGTGTAGAGCGTGCGGATGGCGGACACTGGGTCTGGCACTGGCCCGCGGTCCGAGGTCGACGAGGTGAGGTCGGGCGATATGAAGAGGCAGTGATGTACAGGGAGATAGTATTCGGCACACACTTCAATGTCAGGGTATGGGGCGCTCGAATCGAGGCCGCATTGAGCGAACAGATCGAAGACTCCTACCACGGAGCCATTCGTGCTGTTTTCGATGGGAACAACGGCGTAGTCGTACTGTATCTCGTCGTCTGTAGAAGAGGCCGCCTGGATGGCGGAGAATATGTTGGGGAAGGTCGGAAGAGGATGTAATGTGACTGGGCTATTCGTGCTGCTGCCGCTGCACGACGACGTTGGTCGCGGTGGGAAGACTGCGATGGCTGCTTGGTGCGAAAAGGAAGCTTCGGGCCCCAGATAGGCTACGTTGATGGCCGTGGCGCCGTCATCTCGTGGCATGGTGGGGAGGTGACTTTTCCGACAGACAAGGTAGGTGTCCAGGGGTTGGCCACCGGATCTATCCAAGATTGTATCTATATCGACCAACTACAATCACTATTGAGTACTTTTAGAATCAACCGTGCTGTGAGAGAATCTTTCTCCAACGAAGCTGATGCCCTGGAAAATTCCCCCGCACTATTTTGATACGAGTACGAGTTTGTACCTGAAAGGGAAACGCGATACTAACCTCATTAAGCGTTAGTGTCTCGTAGATGTTCCTGTAATACTGACCATCAGCAGATCGTCTTTGAGGCAGCCTGAAATCTAGTCCGTTGTTCATTTTTTCCAGTATATGATTCAAGACTCTCAGATGCCATTCATCAAAAAGAATGACGGAGAGACAAAAGCAGCTTCCCTCAAACATCTGTACTGCTACATGCACACAAGCAATCATGTCTACTACGGACAGATTTCGAACTACACCATCTGCTCGTCGATATCGGTGCCTATAGGCCAAAACTCGACAATAACAGTATGCCCTGGTCATGTCTGCTCTTGCTGCAAATTTTCTCTTTCAGATGGGTCGTTCTAGCTCTCGTTCATGCTTTTCAGAGCAAGTTCTACCATGGCTCGGAGCCAGGCAGAAGTCGCGAACCATAAAGATCTTCAAAGGCGTGCTACGAGAGTCATTCTTCTCTTCACTCCTATCCTTGAAATTTTTTCATTCTTCATTCACTGATATCTTCGCTAATATCTCTGGCCTCTTGCGCACCATTATCTCTGTCAACCAAACCACAACATCACATCAACTCTTTCAAACTTCACCATGCCACTCCCATCACTTCGCTTACTCATGGGCTTCACCCCACGCGACTTATTTCCCTATGACATTTGCTTTGAGCGTGCACCATGCACCGAAATCCTAACCGAGCAAAAGATCGTTATTCTGGAACATTTCCGACTCGTGACCGACGGTCCTATCCATTACAGCGTTAAAGGCCAGATATATCCATTTGATGGTGGAACGACATTCCCTAACATCCTCGGCAAATTATGCTCCCCTGACACTTTTTCTTACGAGATGATGCACTATCTTCAGAAGTATCTCAACAAGCATCAGCCATGGTTCAATGAGCCATGGTCTATCAAAGGTGGAAGAACGATGGACAAAGAAAAACCAGGAGGGTTTTTGTATCAGGTTTCACCCATGCGAGGTCGATGCATGTTCTTGCTTGAACGCCACGTCCCGTGTAACTGTCACAAACTATGGAAACCGAAGCATGAATTGGATATTGTCCCGACCCAGAGGTATCAAGAGGAAGTGCGCAAAAAGAAGAAACAGGCGCAGGAGAGATTGGAGGCGGAGAAGGCGGCACCGAATCCCGCGCCACAACTGAGAACGTCGACGCATACCTTCGCTATGACCTCTGACAGCTCTACAACAGCATACTCTCCTGCAGTCGGTTCTGAGGGCTGGCATGGTGATTATGACAACAGTGGATATGATGGTTGCCGTGAAAGAGAAGTGAAACATCTTGTCTAAGGCTCAGGATTATTCCTGTGTATCGTGTTGAAATATTCTGAACGTCTAGAGCTTCTTCACGATCGAGGCTCTTCTTCGTCTTTTGAATCAGAAGTCTTTGGGGTATTGGGCTAGTTTGGAAGTGAAGTCCCGGGTACTTTTACGGTGTGGCTCGCTTCATGCGAGCGAGTTGAAGAACCATTGTAATGATACGTTAATCTGATATGAATCTGTCACCAGAAGCATATTGCATTGTCTCTCAGCAAGTGGACAAGCATCCCAACCCGCGAGCAATTGCTGATCGAGTTAGCGACCACCCTTGCTTCACCAGTCATAAGGGCGAAATTTAGGTAGTGCGCGATGACCACTGGTACTTTAATGATGTGATACTCCCGCTGTGGTCGGTAGACACTATATCCCTAACCTCCTCGCGGATTAGACTGCGCCCTGAGACCGCACCTGGGACTCGGTCTCCTGAACTGTCTAGTTATGACCCAGGTAGTAATAGAGACATTGCAGGGATTTTTCTGGCATGGTATCATCTCACGCAGTGCTAAAGATGCCATGACTTAATTTTCGCTGGTGCAGTTGCACCAACCAATGTCAACCGCGGCCTGCGCAACTCGAAATAGATGGCGTGGCTGGATATCGACTCGAGGGTACGACGGACCTTATCCTTCCAGCATCCTGTCGGGGGTCCCTCGCCGGTGGCAACCCCTCGGGTGTGTTCGTCTAGACTCAAGACAATTTGGCGATAGTCATTCATCCGTGGGAACTGGCGTGCGACGACGGCCAATGTCTCCAGCACCCCCTCCAACATCGGGCCGTATACTGTTGTGTCCGGTGCGACACTGTCAACCAACCTGGACCGAGCGCAAGTGACCGCCATGTGGTAGATCAGAGCCAGTGCCATTGAGATTGAGCTGTATCCCGTGACCCATGACAGGAATGACCGTTTTTCCCATACCACTCCGCTTCAAACTCTTCAACACCGCACGGCAAGCGTCCATCAAACGAAAATCCGCCATCTGCTGATGTTTTGAGACCACGATCCCGTTCCGTTTACTGGCTGGGAGTTGCTGGAGGCAAACTGGCGCGTCGTCGGCCGTTTGGCGACTGACGATCTGGTCGATGGCGACCCGAAGGTACAGGGTGTTGTACAGAGACGTTTGGTACTCGAATGCGCATTGCGTGGAAAGCGGCGCCTCTGGAGGGGTGCAAGCTCTCCAGTGTAGTAAGCGGCCGAGATGATTCGTGAAAGGCTCCTCGCCTTGGTCATTCACAATCTGAGACATCAATTTTGCGTAACGGAACAAGTGGATGGACATTTGGCTCGACAGTGCCGGGCGACCGACGGCGTCTCCTGCAGACGGCGGAGCGACTCTGATGTATTTGTCGCTGACCGAGTAAGGTCGACCTAACGCGGTCGAGATCAAGCGGTCGAGGAAGTAGCAGCTCCAGAATGCCCATCTCCGTGCATCGGCCTCGGTCCGGTCCACCTCCCCGACGCTGTCCCTGTGGTCTCCCATCGCGATGCTCTTCTTCATCGCAATCCCTGATGAGATGCCAGGACGAACCGGCCGTGGAGCTGTGGATGGAGAAAATGACGAGCAGGTGGAGACAGTGAATGACATCGACACCGTCCTCCTTCTGAAACACCTTTTCCAGGACCTTCAGCGACTCTGCGAGGATGTGGGTTGAGATGAACATCCCCTGGGACACTGGATACGTGTCGGAGACCATGGGGACTATCGCGATGACCATGTAGGCCATGAACACATGTGCGGGATCCGTGGACAACGTCGAGCGGTAGTGGTGTTCCCCCTCGGACGTTATGGCGTCCATGCCGTGCTGCACCTTACCCACGGGGATTCCGGGGAACCTGAAATCGACGTACCCGAGATACGTCGCCAGTGACCGTGCTCCATCGTCAGGCGGAAACGACAGGTGCTGGACCGTCCCGGATTGGGACTGTCTGATGGACTTTGCAACTCCGTCCCACAGCACGCTTGTTCGGTCGGGTGGACTCTGGTCTGCCTCCGTAGGTCTCGGTCACCGCCGAGATGATCCGAGGCATGGAGAGCTCACGGAGAAACTCTCCCGCCCGCCCTCTTGGTCATGGCGCTGAGCGACAAGAAGTGCATGTTGAGATCGACCTGTGGCTGTCGAGCACCCAGCCCCTCACCGAGGCTGTTGGCCACGGGGATCGATGGGTCGGTCGCGGCTCTGGCACCGTGCGGCGTTGGCGTCAACTCTTCTCTGTATAGCAGCGCCCCAAGCGTCGGTCTGCGTTTGTGCTTGGAGGTCCGCGAGTCGGTCCTCGAGGGTACGGACGTAACCTTTTGGTAGGGCATCTCGACTTCCTACTACTTGGACAACGTCCTTTTCCTTCTGGGTAATGCCACATGTACGTCTAGCTTTGTGACAAGCTGAGCATACCGGTAGCAGCCGGTCACAGCGTTGCTTTTGTCTCGTACAGTGATCACACGCAAACGGTCGAAATTATCGTTGGGGAGATGGGGTTGGCAGGCTTTGCGCATTGAGATCATCGGAATCTTCCATGTTGTGGGAGTTTCAAGTCTGGGCCACTCGCAGAGAAGACGCCATTGGCTCTGCCAAATACAGACAGCGGCATTGAGTCGTGGAGAATGAATCATCAGTCGAGGCAGATGGATAGGCCCACGATGGCTCGAGCACGGGAAAAATGAAGGAAGACGTAGTGAGAAATAATGATCCATGATCTTCGGGAGCCAAGCAGAGAAATCCGGTGACATGGGAGTATCAAAAGGTGTTTTACATCCCCTGCCACAATGTCACCTGCACTTATCTTACAGCAGTATTCGTGCACTCTTGGAAAATCAATGTCATGAGGTACAGAACACAACTCAGTTTGCGATCTATTGACTAGGCACAGTAGAGAGTAAGTAGAGGATTCAATGCAACAATTCTATACACCACGAGGAGTGCGACATCCAATACAGCACCAGAATGAGCTTCTTCTATAAGCCTACTACTACTGCTCCTCCAGCCTCGGCCCTGGCCCGTGTTTTCCCTGCCAGCCCCGGCTCCCTAGGTTGTGAAGAGTCGCGGTTCTGTTCCTGTGGTGGCGGCATCCGCGAGGAGCCTCTTATTTGCTCGTGTGAGATCCCATTAGAGAAACAGGCAAATCGAGCCGCAAAGGGCAGCAAAGACGATCAACAGAATCAAGGCCAGGTGATGTCTCGGCTCATCTTGGGATCGGAAGAAGTACGGACTCATGATATTTCCCAGCTGAGGAAGCACGTTGATCAGCGAGGTCGCAACGGCTTTCTTCTCCGGAGTCTGATTGAGTACCGATGCTGCCCAGCTGTAGACCAGGCCGTTCGCCGCGAAGGAACCCACCACGTACCTGAACGATGCCGCATAACGGGCGGGACTGTTCACAGTGGCGACGGATATGATGAATCCCGTGATGGAAAGACACATTGGGATTGCAATGTGCAAGGACCGCTCGTTCCTTCGATAGCTGGACCACGAGATGAAGAAGGATGCCGCTGCACCGACCAGGTACGGTGGCGACGTGAGCACGAGCGTGACGATGTTGTTGCCGAGGTTGAAACCCTTGACGATGGATGGGTAGAAGTAGTTGAACCCGTAGGCAGCGTGGTTCGCGATGAGCACAAGGCCGAAGGTCCAGGTCCGGTAGTCCGTCAATGCGAGCTTGAATCCGAACCACAGTGATCGATCGCTCTCCTGAGCGACCCGATCGCGGGCGATTCGGTCTCTGGCCACGGCCAATTGCTCGGCCGAGAAGAGCCATTTTTGACTGCCGGTTGTCGACTCGGGAAGTTCAGGCGTGAGTAGGCTGGCAACAATGGCCGGCACGAAGCTGATTGCTCCTTCGATGATGTTACAGCCACTGCCATCCTGCGAGTCCACGAGACCCATGCAGGCCCGAGAACACGCCAGCGGCAACCAGACCGGAGAAGGCTGTGGCAAGCACAAGACCCGAGTAAAGCACCGCCATTCTCAGACCGAGCTCGCTGCGTGTGTACCAGCACGAGAGCAAGAAATAGACCCCAGGGAAGAAGGGGCTTCGGCGACACCGAGAAGCATGCGCACGGCAAGAAGGTGGCCATAGTTGACGGCAGCAAGCGGTGGCCGCCGAGACGCAGGACCAGGTTGCCGCCCAGAAGGAAAGATACAAAGATGGTGCGCGAACGCGGGTCAAGATCATGTTGGAGGGGATTTGCATGATCATGTACAGAAAAAGCATTCATTCGTGGCTTGGCCTTTCAAGAGCATAGAGATTTGAGGCTTTCTTACCTTGTCGACCTTGCGCAACAATTTTCGTTCGGTCTCATCGCAATATTCAGGCGTCCACGATTGATAGACAGCTCCCCATCCATTACCGTCATCGAGACGTGCATCGACGTCTTGTTTGACAGCGACTTCGAGAGATTCGTCAGTGGCCTTCTCAGCGCGCACCTCGACTTGGTCTTGCTCGGATAAGTTTGGGATGGTCATGCTGAATCGACGTCGTGGCCGGAAGCCAGTACAGGGGTGAGGGAGGTGAGATACACTGCCAGCACGACAGGATGGAGTGAACAAGAAATAAATCCAAGAGTCGAGGAAAGCTTAGTTTAGTTATCAAGAAGATACTGGCCTACTGAGGAGGGGAGTAGTGATTCCTCCACTCTGGTCGGGGCGGGGCCGGAATCCGAGGTCGTTGTAAAAAGCCCTGGGATGGCGGGGAATGCATCAGTGGAGATGGGGTCAGGGTCAATATGTTGTCTGATAGATCCAGACCTCGTTCAGCACGCGGGCTGGCCTTGTAGCGTCGACTACGAACGACAGAGGTAAGAGATCAGTTTGTGTGTGGTATGATTCAGGAATTTGGTACCGTCTATCCCTATCCGTACATCAACTCCATATCGGGCAGAATGCGAAGCCGAAATGTTCGCACTGCGTCCGACCATTAGGGTTGCGATTCGGAATGTCCGTTCCCTTCGCACCGGGTCCGATAGGAGGTCTTGGGGGACTACGCGTGTGATAGAACGGCAGTGGATCCAATTGCAAGTCGGACACTGGGACCTGAGTCTTTCCATATTGCCCCCCGCCTGCAGAGTACACAACTTCTGCTATAAACATTGTCTAAGGCCGATGCCGATCTGTTGTGATACTTCCCGAATTCAACGAATATACTGGCATCACATTTAATAGCACAATCCCCATTAGACACATATCACCTACGAAGACCGAGAAATCATGGCACCAGCACTAGTCGCACCTGAGGAGCCTCCTCACGTAAAAGAAGTACTCAAGAACGGCATTGACCTCGAGACAAATGGCATAAAGCCAGTGCAGAAGAGACAAAAGCTATACATTCTCCCCGAGTTCCACCCCGAAGCCGTCAAACATACACAGGAATTGTTCGACTGTGTCTTGCACACCGACCCGGAGGCAGCAAATTGGCGAAAGAGCGCCACCACAATCTTGATCAAGGACTACTACATCACCGACGGCGATTTGGCCGCAGCGCCACAACTTCGAGTCATCGGAAAGCATGGAGTTGGCCTGGACAAGGTCGACGTCGAAGCCTGTCGGACTCGTGGAGAGAAAGTGTGCAACACACCAGGAGTCAATGCCGGTGCGGTGGCCGAGATGACGCTTGCCCTTGCTATGAGTGTTGCCCGCTCGATCCCGTCGATCTGTTACCGGCAAATTGCGAACGGCGAAGTCATCAGGAAAGAGACAGTGCAGGGTGTGTTGCTGGGTGGCAAGACAATAGGGATTGTGGGAATGGGAAACATCGGCGAAGTGGTAGGGAATATGTTCTGGGGTGCGTTCGGTAGTCCCATTATTGCGTACGATCCGTACTATGGAACCACACGTCCCTGGACGTACATTCCACACAGACGTGTACACAGCCTGGATGACCTGTTGGAGGTGTCTGATGTTGTCAATGTGCATGTGCCTCTGACGCCGGGCACAACGAACCTCATATCCCTGAAGGAGATGCGCAAGATGAAACGAACTGCCATTCTGCTCAACACCGCGAGAGGAGGCATTGTCGATGAGGACGATCTCATCCAGGCCCTGGACGAGAACCTCATCTACGGCGCCGGCTTTGACTCCCACGTCCAAGAGCCACCGACCAAGACGAAGTACGAGTGTCTGTGGAATCATGACCGCTTCGTCGGAACACCTCATATTGCCGCTGCGACAGATGAAACTCAGGTTGCCACCACGAACGCAGCCACTGATGGAGTTCTGCATTCTCTCAGCGCTAGTGATAGTTGAGTGTAGTTTTGAGCCTTGAATAGAGTTGCTGTCTGATACCCTGGACTTTGAAATGCGTCGCTGATTGCTGACGCTAGCGGAGCATTGGAGTTGGGAGGACTGATTTGCCTGTGAGGTTTCCGATGACCTGTACTTTGAAACAATCATAGGCTTTATCGAAGTGGTTTCGGGCAGGAGCTCTCTCCTCTCAGGTCGAGAAGTTTGCTTGTGTTGCATGGGACGACACACCGTTTGCGTGATAGACACTCAATTTCTTCCAGTAGTCGTAGGGTGTGTTGCCATAGTCGGCCTCTGAAAGACGATCAAGATTCTGGTAGCGAGGAGAAGGCTCCTCCTACCAAAGGTTTTGTATGCCTTCGGCGAACGTCCAATCATCAATGTGGGCCATCTGAAGGAGTGTTAGAGGGATGATCGTGTCCCATTCGTAGCTCGAAAGACCAAACTCGATTTCAGCCATGCCCGGGATATTTTATGGCAAAGGCCAGGTTGAGAGCTGGAAGGGGTTCATGTCAGCCCATGCCTCTATCTGGTCATCGAAGGTGAACGCGTTCGCGAAGAGTTCTTCGGGTCCATCTTGAAGGAAGGCTTCGTCATTCAACGAGCCATTAGCATTGGAAGTGTCGTACGAAAGGCCATCGGGCGTAGGCCTTTCACAGCGACTGGCCATGCTGGAAATTTCTCTTGACGAGCGTCTGATGGCGTCGAAACACAATGCGTTATCTGCACTCGCGGCCAGAGCCTCCCTGCCAAGGTCTGATGTGCCGCTTTGCTCTCCTGGGTCTCGTCGACTTCGGGCTCCTGCTATCGTGACCAATTCCAGTCTTAAGGCCTCAAACAGCTTGGTATAAAATGCAATGTCACTCAACTTTTCCGAAAGCCAGAATAGTGACTCGCTTGTGATCGACAGGAAATCGAACAGTTCCTGGTCCGTGAGAGGGTTCGGATTCTGATAAAATTCCCACCAGAACCCCTCGTCCACTCCAGAAGAAAGATTGTGTGACGTCGATTGCGGAGATCGAGTCCGAGCAGCAAATGCGGCAAATGTCAGGACCAATCCGGATGAAAAGATCAAGTGTGTCCAAGATCTTGTATACGTAAGCAGCGGTTGGCGTCTAAGTGAGTCGAACGTACGTGCTATTGTAGCGGCAGCCTCGACGCATGACTTGAGTAGACCGGCCGGCGGGCGGGAGCCTGCAAAGGGCATCCTGAATATAGCCTGGCGCAGAAGTGAAAGACGTTCTTTCTGATAGTGAAGCTCGTAGAATTCGGCCATATAGTAGACAGAAGACGAGTTTGGGGAAACCGGGGCGTCGAGTCGCCACTGTCTGAGCGTGTCGTGAAACTTACGAAGCATAGGATATACTTCACCAGGTTTTAGAATTTCGTCTGGAGAGACACTGCTTTCTTCAGCGCCTGCAATGTGTCTGGCAGCATGCGCCTCGGATTCTGATGGCAATTCATGTGGCGCATGATACTCGAGGGGCGTTGAGGGAAGATCAGAAGCGAGGAGTGCTCGGAATGAAGAGCCTGTGCCGTGATTTTCGCATGGCTCGCAGGAGATACTGGACAAAGCTAGTAGGTCCAAGGGTCAGAATGCATTTTCAACCACAAAAATGATACGTCGACTGACCTCGAATCGCCCTATTCCCTCACATATCGCGAGCTGCCCGGTCTGCGGCTATAATCGAAAGGAGCCGTTCGGTATCGCTGGCGAGCAGCTGAAAATCCGGCGGCCTGAGCATCAACTGCCTCCTCTTGCAATCCATTCCCGACGCTGAGAGCCTCGAGAGACCGTATCTTCTCTTCAAGCTCTAGCACCTCCCTGAAGAAATGAATACACGACGGAAGATTAAGCAGAGAAAGTCGAGAAATGCTTACATCGAGTATACTCGCGCGTTGCTGTTGGATCGGCGATGATGCAAGGTGTAGATGCCTTTGTACAGCCGCCACAGGCAGGATAATCTCCGTCGCACTGGAAATGTTATTATTTAAAGCGACAAAGATCAGAGAAGGATTGTATGGACATACTTTCACCTCGCGTGATCGACACCGGCGGCAAGCCAGACTCCCAAGGGCGTGAATACCCCCAGAAGCAGATCGTCGCCGTTTTCTGCTCTGTACCTCATGCGGCGGACTGGGGTTTGCTCGAAGAGTCATGATGGTAACTGACCCCAGGATGGGCATCCATGAGACCGCTGTTTGGTGAGAAGCGCAATGCCGATGAGAATGCTTAAGAGGTGGTTTGTGCTTGACAGACTATGGATGAAGAACCGGGGGCCCATGTGATTATTCCCAGGAGACTTTAAAAGCGGCAACTGTCTGCTTGTGCTGCCAAGCAACCTCCGTTGTGAGGCTCGAGGCTCTAAATACTGCAACTTCCCGCTTAGTCATACGACCTCTAGAAGAGATTCCAGAAACTTTTTTTGATTTTGAAACTTGAGCAGTGATATTGGCCGCAAAAACTTTGCACCCAACATTCATCCTACCAGTTTGCTGAAAGGGGGAGGTTCACAAAGGAGGTGTGGGCAATATCAGACCCTAGCAATCTCAGCTCTCGAAGATCATGACGATCGTGTCTGCATTTCTTTCGCCAGGTGTAGTGGCCAGCGAGCACGACTTGGCCTCCCTGCATCTGAGACGAGACCAATCTCTCCCTGTGATACTTTCCACTCGAGCCACCAATGCCGACGATGAAGGCTACGCTGAAGGGGTCGTCACCAATACTCGGTTCGGGTCGTACCCTCATTCCACCATAATCGGAGAGCCATGGGGAAGCCAGATTCGAGCAAGCATGGTCGACACTGGATCTCGAGGTCGAAAATCACAGCAGTCAAAAAAGCGAAAGGCGGAGGCGATGGGTCAGGCAGACAATGAGGATGGCACAGCTACGAAAGACGCCGTCACCGCGAGTTCTGGGTTCGTCCACGTTTTGCCGCCTACACCTGAGAATTGGACGACCAGTTTACCTCATCGTACCCAGGTGGTGTACACTCCGGATTACAGCTATATCTTGCACCGTATCAGAGCGCGCCCGGGGTCAAGACTGATAGAGGCCGGCAGTGGCAGTGGCAGCTTCACTCACGCGGCAGCTCGTGCTGTTTTTGACGGCTATGCGAAGGACGAAGTTGCAGCAAAAGACGACGGTGGTTCTTCTTCTGCAAAAATGCCAACGCCGACAGGCAAGGTGTTTTCATACGAATACCATGCAGAACGACACCGGAAAGTCAAGGATGAAATGGTCTCTCATGGTTTAGACCCGATCGTCAAAGCAATGCATAGAGATGTCTATCGCGATGGTTTTCTCCTCGAGGATGAAGAAGGCAGTGCCGAGAAGGTCTCTCCGAGAGCTAACGCGGTCTTCTTGGATCTTCCTGCACCTTGGGAAGCCCTACCTCACCTGACTCGAGATACTCAGGGCGGCGCGATTTCTGCACTCGATCCCCAATCTGCTGTCCACATCTGCACATTCAGTCCGTGCATAGAACAAGTTCAGCGCACAGTGTCAGCATTACGTCGATACGACTGGCTGGACATTGAAATGGTCGAGGTGGAACACAGACGAATTGAAGTCAAACGGGAATACACCAGCATGCAGTACGAGGGTATGCGAGGTGTGAACGTGTTTGCAGTCGACGTCGACGAAGCGGTCGCAAAACTCCGCCATGTAGAGCGACGCGCAAAGGATTTTCATGCCGGAAGCCTTGAGGCAGACAAGTCTACCAAGGCCAAGCAGATGCAAGACAACGGCAACAACAACACCAAACTACCCTTCGACGGGGGCAGACTCGTTCATCGGACCGAGCCAGAGTTGAAGACGCATACTTCGTATCTGGTATTCGCGGTGCTGCCCCGCGCGTGGACGGAGGAAGACGAAGCTGCAGCTCGAGCTAAGTGGTCGAAGCATGTCACAGTCAAGTCAAACGTGCCCAAAAGCCAGCGACAGCTGAAGAAGGAGGCGAAGTCGAGGACGAGAGGGGTGAATGGGTCGAACGGTGTCAAGGGTGAGGTCGAGACAGCAACAACTGCAGAGAACGGTGAAGCGATGGATGTCGAAGTTGCTGAGTAAGACATATGTACCGCCTCAAGCAAGATCGATAAATGCAACCCACAGGGTTCGAGACTTTGACACCTGAGTCATAATCATAGCCACCGCCAGCCAGAGCGATACAACGTCCGTCACCCTGACACGTGACCATGGAACAAAAGTCGCATGACAAAATCTTTTCTTCTTCTTCTTCTTCTTCTTAAAGATCGATCATACGACTGGATCTACATGTGTTGTACTTGTTGCAGTCTGTGCACCGATTTGAAAGCAAATAAATCATACTGCAGTCAATCTAGGATTTTCCGTGGCAACAAAACAACTCACTCAATCAATGTCTCTATCTCGGACACTAAACCCTTCTCGGAAGTTGTTGCGAGGTTCTTTGGCTGAGCCTGGAACTATCGACTGATTCGGGGCCCCCGGTCGCCTTGTGTTCATTTCTGATATGAAACCGACAAATTGGCGACTCTGAGAGTCATATTTCTATTCGATTTGAATGTCGCAATGTCCCCGTTCAGCATGGCATCTAGCAACCGGACCCGAACCTTGTCCGTCAGCTTCGCAACAAGCAAAGACAGATGGACACCCGAAAGATATAAGGAGCGCTGCCTTTTGTGGGCGACCACTGCTAGGCAACACTTCTTCTCTCATCTCGAATATCCGTACGCCGTGACCGTGTACTATCCCATCTCCCCTTCCTAGGACTCATCAACTCGCACCTGTCAATTTGAGTCTGCCTGTCCCAGTTTCTTGTCTTTCATCATGGCGACGTTTGTTGGCAGCATCGAACATGCGATTGCCCATACGTCCAGACTGGTGGCCCGCGATCAAAACACCACAGACTTGCCAGGAGGCAAGACCCTTCAGGAATATAACACCCAAGGAAGATACGACTATGATCCCTCGTTTGCGGCGGCCATAATTTTCTTGGTGCTCTTCGCCATCGCCACGGCCATTAACCTCTTCCAATTCTTCCGGCATAGAGCTTGGTTCTGGTGGGTGATGAATTTTGCTGTGATCAGTAAGTCCGCTGCATGAATTCTTCGTTCATATGCTGATGAGCGCCTAGTGGAACTGGTCGGGTACATTGCTCGAACGATTTCCATCAAGAACCTCCACAGCAGGAACATTTTCATAGTCCAAACCGTTATGATTCTCGTGGCGCCAGCTGTCATGGCCGCAGCCTGTTACATGTCGTTTGGCCGCGTCACCATCTGGGTTGTTCCGAAAGATTATCAGACCGTCAAACACCTTTGGGTACCGCCACGTCGGATTACGCCAGTGTTTGTGGGCTTCGACATCCTCAGTTTCTTTGTGCAAGTCATTGGCGGCTCCATGGTGGCTGCGGCAAGCAACATTAACTCGGCCAACCGGGGCAGAAACGTGGTGCTGGCAGGACTTTCACTGCAACTGGCGACCTTTGGGTTTTTCGTCTTTGCAAGTGTCCGACTAAACTTCATGTTGAGGACACAGCTTCGAGATGTCCCATTACCCAAAGAACGCAATTGGCAGCTATTCCTAAACGTCGTCAATGTCGCCAATGTACTTATCCTAATCCGAACCATGTTGCGACTGATTGAATACTCCATTGGCACCTACAACTATCTCACCAACCATGAATGGTTCTTTTACTGCTTCGACTCGGCTTTAATGTTTGTGGTGGTTGCTACCTTCATCATCTTTCACCCCGGATACTATCTCCCCTACCTGGGAATCAAACGGAAGGAACAGAAGTTCTCGAAGAACGCCGACAAGGGACCCCTTAGCGTTCTAGCCAGGAGGAAGACGATGCATGAGGCGGTATGAAGTTGCACTTGATAGAGAAGGCGCACGCTTTCATGTCTCGGCGCGCATCAACGAAGAGTGTTGTCTTTTAAGGAGCACTTTCCCGGCGGATCGGTGGAGAGCTCGGCAATTGTTCGTGGTTGTTTATGGGCCGGTCGCAATGCGACCTCTGAACTATGTATAATGAATCATGTCAAGTCGTTTATCCGACTTGTCTTTAGTCGTGCGTAAATTGGCAACACCAGCGGCTGAAAGTGGATTGTTGCATCCTCTCTTTCTCCTCGTGTGGGTTCATCATGCCGTCCCCCTGTGGTATGGGATTGGTGGAGCGCTTGTTCAAGTGCCCCTCGTCTCAAGTTGATCGCAATCGGTTCTTTTTGCGATTGGCATACCAGAAGCTGCGCACTTCTATACGAATGTGGCGCCGCCGTAGCCTTGAAACGTCACAGCACCGAGTACTCGTACCGTCAACAACAAAATCTAACCGCGTATCGACTGTTTCTGCGAGTGAAGTACTCGGACCCTGTACATACGAGTACGCGGAATTATTTTTCCTCTCAAGGATGCACATACAGTACGCAACGCTGGCGCCACCACGGCCCTGACGCAAATTGGCCGCCTTTTGTCTTTTTGTGGCTCGCAACAGCTGTCAAAGCGTCCCCTTTTTGCTCCAACGATGGAGTTAAGCCAAGGGGTGTGCCCCGGGGAAAGGATTTGCTCGACAAAGGTCCCAGCCATGTGGGACAGTGGCCAACACCATTGAACGGCTTGAGGTGACTTGGCTCGGTATCGCACCGGGTTAGTGTGCTGTGGTCGGCAGCTGTTGCGAGTCTTCGATACTCTCAAGTACTCGTCAACCCCTAGTGATCTTGACCATTTGTTACCTAGTACGATGGAGACTCGTTCTCCCATGTGCTCAAACAACCCATGCCGGCCAAGACATGTGAAGACGAAGCCCATCGATTCGGTCATCTCCTCTAAACATTGGCGGTGCCGATTTTCGCCTTATTCATTCAATCGTATCTACTGCCACGACGGTACAAGCACACACCGTTTCATCCTTGTCATTTCCACCCACTAGCTCGACTGGACCGGGTTCTCAAGCCCATGCCACTGGGGCTCCTCGAAAGAAAAGAGATGCGCGAGACTTACCGTGAGCGAGCCATGGTCCCGCACTGTTTTGACGCCGCGGGTACTCGTACTTGTATTCGTGAAGGATCGGATTTGCGCCGCCCCGCCTCCCCTGGTTGCGGCGCGGCACAGTGCCCGACGCTCCTCTCGAGGGATCATTTGTGCCATTCTGGGCTTCACCTGTTTCTTTGCAGCGCAATATTGCGTTCTCGCAACGACGAACTCTTGGCTCGTTGGGGAGCTACTGAGTATGGCTCCAGTAGGCTGTGCTTTTTCATCGCTGCCTCTCCTATGTTACGCCATTGCCGTGTATCTGTTTTACAGTAGAAAGGGCCATGGCATCCCTTCTTTTAACACGGACAACACAGGCTTCTTTTGATTTTTGACGTTGTGACAACATGCGGGAAGTCTCCTTCCTGACATGAAGCCACGGTTCTTTCGAGCGTTATGCATCGCGGTCGTTGGATTGGCTAGCGCCGTTGTTGTTTTCCTTTCCATCTCCTATATCCTCAGCCCTCTTTTACTATGGCTCTCTCCCTCGCTGAACCCGACGCTGTATGACTGGGGAGCCTACGGTGCTTGCCCATTACAGTCGTTTGTAACGACCGACCTCGTTGCGCCCCGTGTCAATACAAGGCGAACTCATCCAGATTGCGGGCGTGGGTTGGTGTTGTTGACCATCAACGGGGATTCTGCTGGACCGAAAGGACCGGCCATTCTCGATGCGCGCAACGAATTGGTTTGGAAGTCGCAGGGCTATGGGAGCGCCACGAATCTACAGGTCCAGCATTACAAAGGGCAGAATTATCTGACATTCTGGGCTGGTAGGAAAGTGGGCACCAAAGGAACGGGCATGTATTACATGGTGAGTTGGACTTTTGTCGTCTCTGGCGGAGGTTTGATGACATGGAAACTGATTGGGGTTATCATTAGCTGGATTCTACTTACAATGAAGCACATCGAGTCATGGCCGTCGGTGACGGCATGGAGGGCGACCTCCATGAATTCAAAATCACGAAAGACGACACTGCTTTGCTGACAGTATATGCGACCACCAAGGCCGATTTGTCGTCCTGGGGGAGATTTTCCGATGGATGGCTTTTGGACAGCCTCTTCCAAGAAGTCGACATCGCAACGGGAGAGCTGTTGTTTGAATGGAGAGCTTCCGAGCATTTTAATTTCAGCGATACCTACATGACGAACCCATTTGGCGGTTATATCAAAAGTTTGCCTTTCGACTTCTTCCACATCAACAGTGTCGACAAGGACTCTCAGGGAAATTACCTGATCTCTTCTCGCCACACACATACCATTACCTGCATCAACCCCAAGGGAAATATCCTATGGGTACTGGGTGGTCGCCGCAACCAATTCACTGATTTGTCCGGAGGAGCCGCGCTAGACTTCAAATGGCAGCATGATGCGAGATGGGTATCCGAAGAGGACGGGATCATCAGCCTTTTCGACAACAAGGAGGCAGGTCCTCTGCATGCCGATGGTCCCCATAGTCGCGGCATGATGCTTCAACTCGACATCTCTAACCACACCGTCGAGCTGTTGCACACGTACGAGTCACTTGGACACACACGAGCCCCGTCGCAAGGCTCAATGCAGGTGCTCCAGGACACTGATCATGTCTTTGTCGGATTTGGCCATTCTCCCATCTACAGTGAATTCTCCGTCAATGGCAGTTTGCTATGCGAACACCATTTTGGATCACCCATCTTTCACCCGTGGAATCGCGCGGTGTCATACCGGGCTTCGAAGAGGTATGATTGGGTTGGTCGGCCGACGTACCCTCCTTCAGCAGAGATCGAGGATGATACGCTCTATGTAAGCTGGAACGGGGCTACAGAAGTGTCGGCTTGGTTGTTGCAAGGTGCCAAGAGTGCCGAGGACGAAGATGCATTCAACGACCTGGATGTCCTGGAGAAGGACACCTTTGAAGAGACTTTCGAGCTGGGAGACTTGTACGAATACTCTTACTTTCGAGTGGTCGCGTTGACCCAGGACGGTCAGGTCCTTGGCCAGTCTGCGGTATTGGTCTACGAGCCTGACTGGGACTGGTGGATGTTTGGAGTGGCCATTGTAGCGTGGCTGGTCATCGTCAGAGTTGGCTGGCACTGCTATAAATGGCTTGCTAGGCGGAGGACAACCAGCCAAGTAGCCTGGATCAGCCTTGAGAGACAATGATATAATTTGACTTCCAGACATGATGAGGCTACAGCCTCACTGACTAAAGTGACTCGTGGTAATGAGCTTCAGAGCAAGTTGCTGCTAATGAACATATAAGCAGGGACGGTTACGAGGCTGCACTAGTCCCAAGTGAGGTTCACCAGGCCTAACGAGGCTCGCCAATCGCGCCATTCCAGCTCTTGCTGCACAGTACAGAGTATATGTGACTCAAAAAATAAGGCCCTTTTCCTTGCTGCCATAAGTGTCACTTTCTATAGGCACCACTTCATATACTCTGTACAATACGCAGTACGAGTCACGGAGGAGGTAGCCTGTTATACCTGACTCCGAGATCACTGTCCATTTGCCCTTCTTTACGCTTGGCATTGAATTGTCACCCCTGCACCCCTCCCCAGGTTCGTCCGACTGTGAATGTCCCCAAGTACGGACATGTATGAGTCGACCACTGTAGTCTCATGAACCATTTGAGACGTGCCTTCTGCACCATCACCGCCGCCGCCGCAGTCGCCGCATCCTCCAAGTGTCATCCTCGAGCTCTCAGAATGTCGCAGCCGCCTTGGATCCAGCCCAGCGGCTCGACTCACCAACCTCAATTGAAAATCTACAACTCCCTGACCCGATCCAAAGTCCCCTTTGTCCCTCTTCAGCCTGAGCGCATCACCTGGTACGCCTGCGGTCCGACCGTGTACGACGACTCCCACCTGGGCCACGCCCGCAACTATGTCACGACCGACATCATCAGACGGATCCTGCGGGACTATTTCCACTTCCAGGTGCGGTTCGTCATGAACATCACCGACGTCGACGACAAGATCATACTGAGGGGGAGGCAAAAGCATCTGTACGACGAATACAAGAAGAACCACAGGTATGACGAAACCTCGTCGACGGCTGAGGGGACTGGCTCTGATCAAGAGACTAGATACATCGACGACAAAGTCCGGCAGGACGTCCGACAAGCGTGGCATTACTACGTGCAAAAGAACCTGAAACGGATCGGTCCCAAAACCCTCCTCACGCCCGAGACCTTTGACGGCGTCGTCGAACACTTTTATGGAGACATACTCGCAGGTGGCAGTCTGGAACCTGGCACGAAACCGGGGGACAAGGAGGCAAAGGTCAAGATGCACATCAACACCGCCCGATCCACCGCCAAAGCCTTGCTGTCGGACCCGAAGATGCTGACGCCACACGAGTTCTACTCTCGAGTCAACGACCCGATGTGCCTGGTCCTGGATGATCAATTTGGGAAGAGCATCCGAGGAGATGATTACGCTGTATTCACAAAGTTGACAAAGGAATACGAGAACCGATTTTTCCAGGACATGCATGACCTGAACGTCATGGACCCCGACGACTTGGTGCGAGTGACGGAGCATGGCAAGGAAATCGCCGACTTTGTCAAGAAGATTGCGGACAACAAGATGGCATATCGAACGACGGATGGCTCAGTTTATTTTGACATCAAAGCTTTCGAGTCTGCAGGATATCCGTATGCGAGATTGGAGCCTTGGAACAGGAACGACAAAGAGTTACAAGCCGACGGCGAAGGTGCCCTGTCACAGAAGGAGGGTGACTCGAAACGCTCCGAAGCGGATTTTGCTCTTTGGAAGGCGTCCAAACCTGGAGAACCAAGCTGGGAAAGCGAATGGGGTCCTGGTCGACCCGGATGGCATATTGAATGCTCAGCAATGGCTTCTGGGAAATTGGGCCAGCAAATGGACATTCATTCTGGTGGTATTGACCTGGCGTTTCCTCATCACGACAATGAACTCGCCCAGAGTGAAGCATTCTGGTCTGATGGAAATCATCGTCAATGGGTCAACTATTTTCTTCACATGGGCCACCTGTCGATACAGGGCTCCAAAATGTCCAAGTCGCTCAAGAACTTCACAACCATTCGAGAAGCCCTTCACGTGCAGAAGGAATGGACCTCGAGAAGTCTGCGAATCATCTTCTTGCTCGGAAACTGGAAAGACGGGATAGAGATCACAGATGACATGGTTGTCGAAGGTCGAAATTGGGAAGACAGAGTCGACAACTTTTTCTTGAATGCCATTGAAAACGTGAAAAATGCAAAGGCTAGCAATGGCCAAAGAACCATCATGGCAAGTGCACTTCTTGACGCAGAAGAGAAGGTCCGCGCTGCACTACTCGACTCCTTCAACACCCCACTGGCGATGAGCACACTGTCTGCTCTGATCAATGCCTACAACAGCGCCAAAAAGTCCGACCTGACGGCAGATGACCACCGAAATACAGGCCTTTTCGTCACGAGGATGGTAAACATTTTCGGTTTGAACGGCAACGAGCCTGCGAATACAGACACCATTGGATGGAAAGGCATTGATGTTCCCGACCTGGCCAAGGAATATGTCTACCCGCTGGCGAAGATGAGAGATGAATTACGACAGGCCGCGATAGCCAAGGCCATCACGGCAGAAAAGGTGCAGGAAATCGTTTCAACATCGCCGGGACTCGAAGAGCCGCCTCCTAGCGGGAGACCGCGGCCATCGTACGCGCGGGCGTTGAGCGAGTTCAGTAGAAGCGCTCTTGAAGTGACAGGCCCGGCCGAAAGCAAAGATTTGAACAAACAAATCCTGGCCTTGTGTGATCGTGTCCGAGACGTCGATCTCTGGCAACTCGACATTTACCTGGAAGATCGCGAGAATGCACCTTCACTGGTCCGTCCCGTCACCGAGGGATTAAAGGCCGCCAGGCGCGAGCGGGAAGACAAGGCCCGAGCCAAAGAAGAAGCCAAGAAGAAACGCGAACAGGAGGCCCAGGAGAAGTTGCAAAAGGGGAAACTTGCGCCGTCGGAGATGTTCAAGCCACCACATTCGGAAGAGTATTCGGCTTGGGATCCGGATGGCGTGCCGACGGCGGCCAAGGATGGAAGTGCTCTATCTGCCAACCGTGTCAAAAAGTTGAAGAAGGAATGGGACGCTCAGAGAAAGGCACATGAAAAGTATTTGGCCGTCACGCAGCAGCAGCAAAACGGGTCGACGGGGGCCGCCGGTCAGCAGCAACAACAGTCTTAGTTGGCTTTGATTTGTTCTGCCCTACTCTGCTGCTGGGAGTTTATTACTCCCGAGGAACTATATTATGTGTATTAAGACAGATACCCAATAACTTGAAAAAAAAGGTTCCCCATGGTTCGCCCCCCTTAACGAAAAGAAAAGGCAAAAAAGGGTTCTCTCATTTGTGGCTTTTTGATCACATGAATCACTCATATCATCCCTTCAGCTTTCAATCCTTGATACAATGCCATGGCGGCCAAAGTCTTGCCGTCCCTCGCTGCTACCTTCCAAACTTCGGAAAGGGGGACGACTTTTAAAGTGATTTTTTCTCCCTGGTCACGCAACCCGGTAAGTTTACCTCGTAATGATTCGATCTCATCACGTGGCATACTTCGTCGAGCTAGGAATATCGGGATGAACTCGTCGCAGGCCCCCGGGGAAGGGTAGATTGCCTCTTGAAGGTGATTGTTGTCGTTGTCACTTTCTTCGGAGTAGTCTCTTTGCTGGCCGTTTGTGGTGGTTTTGCCTTTGCATTTGCCTGTGGTGTAGTTTGTGCTGGGGTTGTTATTGTTGCTAGAAATGGCAAGTTGAGTCATGTCCACAAGATCGTCCGTTGAGATTCCGAGACCGGTTTCCTCCACGATCTCTTTGGCAGCTGCACCTGAAAAGGTACCGGAATCATCGATCATACCGGCAGGAAGTTCAATGAAAGACAAACTCCCTATGGCTATGCGTGGTTGAATGGTCAAAATTACGTATTCTTCTGTCGAAAGTCTCGTTCCACCAGAATGAGCACCACTGTTCTTCTCCCCGGCAGCGGCGTCGTCGTTGTTTGAGGAGGTGTCGTCCGTGTCGGTCGGTGTCAGAATGATCAACATCGCCACCGACCCTCCACGCATGAAAACCGACCCGGGGAGATGTTGATTAAAATCATTCGTGATGGTCGCTTGGAGTTTGAGAAATCCCAGACGACGTCGAGACGAGAAGAAATCTGCAGACTGAACCTCGATTGACCTCAAAACATAAGGGTGATCCTTGAAGGGGTGGTTTGGGTTTCTCGTCTGCGAGGACAAGGAGACGTTGAGAGTCCTGAGCCAGATTTTAAAGGCGGGAAATTGGAGGATTTGGTCGGCGTCGAGACACCGCGGGAATCTGACCCGGACTTCTGGGTCGGTGCAAGGGAGTACGAATGAAGGCAAGTTCAAATCTGCTGTGCTCGAAGACATGGCCGTGGCTTTGCCAGTTCGAGTTCGGATGTGAGTGGTTGTTTGAGTATGAGTATGATTATGATGAATGTACCTGTATCGGAACGATACACTGTTCTGGATATTGTTGGATACTCGTGGACAACAGAGGCGTGAGAACATTTGTGATGTACTAAGCATAAAGTAACCAGATGATTTGAGGGGCCGTCGAGACCTTGTATATACGGGAGTATATCAAGGTGTTGTTGTCTATGAGGCTGATGATGTGATGTGCATGGTGGATGATGTGGGGATTTGTGACTTATTTTGGACGTTAGTCCACATCACATTATTTTCTTGATCTTAAAGTATGCTCCGTACTCGTACTCGTACTTCCGTAACCACATCGTTGATAAGTATCTTCTCTCTGGCTCAAGAAATAGAACTTTGTGTAAGGTGATCCCCATCATCTGCACTGTTTTGCCCAAGTCAAGTCGAGTCGAAAACGAAAAAAATGACAAACGATAACAACAACAACAAACTTGGTCCAAGAGAACCTCTCACCACCATCACCCTACGAAACCCACCATATTCATACCTCCATCTCTCGGTCAGGTCTTTGTCCTTGTCCTCGTCACAGTCTTTGGTGTCTGTACAAAATCTAGACGAGATCTCGACACGGTCATACCTGACCTCTGCATTGCAACAATATCTAGGGTCGACTGGTACAGCCATCCCCATTGACATTTTAAAGACCGAAGGTCCCAACGTTTGGGTTCGAGTCCCCAGGGATGACGAGCCTGGTGTCGTCGGTGCATTGTCTCAGTGGACCGGGGGAGGATTCAACTTGCGAATCGAAGGTAGAGGAAGTTGGTTAGGTGGTGTTGTAGGGAGAAGACAAGATCCCAAATTGTGGACTCTTGAAAGATGAATCGACGGATCAATGGTCATTAAACTATGGCTAAAACACACTTGATTCATCCTACACAAACAACCCGAACAACAAAGGACGACACAAAGAAACCCAAGGCTGCAAAATCACCATCAAACTAGATGAGCGCCACTTGTTTATCCCGACATGTCCTCCCTCCGAAACGCCTTACAGAAAGGCAAAAAGTTACGACTAACATTGGGACACCAACTAACAAATTCCAAAGTCAAGCCTTTGACCTCGGGTTTTGGTAATGTTCATCACCTCCCAAGCAAATCGATCAATCAGTCAACCAATCAACCGGTGAACGCCAATTCAGAATCGCTGTCGCTGTCGAAATCCAGCAATTTTTCCTTTTCAAGTTTCTCCTCCTCGGTCGTCAACATGTTTTTTTCTCGTTGCGGGTTTTGTGGTTTCGACCGCGATCGCAAATGAAAGATTCTGGACAATGAGAATGTACTGGTTGTGTCGCCTCTCTTGCCTGTTAGGACGATGCAGGTCAGCCGACACGTGTTCTCCTCGACGACACTTGCAAGGGTTTGGCCCACCCGGGTTTTGCAGGCTCGACTGAGAGTGTGTGTGGAGGAGAAAGGGACAAGGGCGGGTCCGGAGCTCCTTACCGTCTTGTTGAAGATAAGCCCTTCGAACTTGTTTGATGTGTTGGAGTTGAAGTTTTTGTTGGTGTTTCTTGGCCTCCTTTTCTCGTTCGAGGTACGCGGCCCGATGTTTCTTGTAGGCTTGGACTTCTGGGTCGTGTTGGACCGAGAAACCGGACACGGACATAGTGGTGAGAATGAAAAAAAAAACTCGACTTGACAAAAAAGGAGAGCAAAAAGTCGTGGGGTGCGAGGATTTCTAGATCAGGACCTAGAGAGTCCAGAATTCACTCTCGAGCACAAACAACAAAATAAATGTACGGGCGATGATGATGAGAAAAGAGAGAAGAAAACGACAAGCTCACAGTGTGTGAGACCTGAATCCTCTTTATATGTCTTTCATTTGACAAGGACTCCCCAACTCTGCACGCAATACACATACTGGTCAGGTACCTCGTTCCATACATCCCCGTGGATTTTGGTGAACCGCTTGCACCATCTTTGTCGGAGAAACCGATTCATCATCATTATCATCGCCCTACATGGCCCGATACCAAAAAGTCCATGTTTCGCCGAACAAGCAACAGCCTGGTCGAACGACGCAGATCAGGTGAAAAGGCATCGGGCCAAGTGTGACCGTACTTTGTCAAAACGGACCCGTCAGAAATACCTTTACACAAGGGGCCGTACATCTATGACTGCTTACACGTGCGCATTAATTTGTTTGTACCAATAGAAATGGCATGAATAAAAAAGACTACGCCGTGTTTTGGGGACTTGGAACCGATTTCGTATGCGTGATCGTATTTCTATCTTCTATCTCAAACATGGGAATGCTGATTCCGACCATCCGTCCATACCAAGCGCGCTACCACATGCGCGCTGGAGAAAAAAAAGACACAGTGATTGCCTTTTTCCCAGACGAGGAAACTCGGTTCCTTGCACACAAAAGGAAAAATTTGTTCTTTCGTTCCTTATTCCTAAATTCTTAATCCTTCATACAGCGTAAACTCGTATTCGACCGGGGGTGATAAGTGTAATGTCTAAAACAGGAGGGAGAGGCTGAGAAGTGTGTGTAAAAGGAAAAAGCAGACAAGTTCATCAGATTGCCGCTCTCCGCCTCGGTACATGTGGAAGTGGAGCCACCCTAACATGCCCAATTTTAATTCTTCGGTAGATAACATCGTGCGGTCAATGATGATAAGGAGAGTCGTAAAGGTAAGGGAGGTTATTTTCGTGGGACTGGACGGATATCGTGCAAGTGTGCTCGATTTGTAGTTCGTTACCTCATCATAGGAGTTTCGGAATGTGTAAAGTGGGACCGACCATAGTGTCTGTGTTTTTCGCAATACGGTTCGGTTTCCTGTAGTGGCTTGGGCTTCATGCCTTGTCACTAAGACAAGACAAAGCGAGCCGCCGCCCGAGAGCACATGCTTGAGCGCTCGATGTCTTCTTGAGCCCCGCTGTTGGACATATCAAACATGACCCTTTGCTCTGCCGTGCAGACGAGTGCTTGAAAATCGGAGGTTGACATCTAGAAAATAAACGGCGGCGATGTTTCTGTCCACATTGTCGAGGTCTGGTCCCACTAAGAAGAACCCCTCCAGGGTTTGAACGTGGCAGCCTCATTGATATAACATGAGCACAACCCCAGGAGAACGCCGAGGGTGAGTTGGTGGCTCGAAGGGGTAACGATAGAGTGGTGGAGGGCAGACGACAGGCCGGTAAAATGGTCTAGGTGCGGCGCTGAATGCCTTGGCCAATCGATGGTAGAGCACCGTGGCTATCAGACAAAAACACGATGCTCAAGTCTCAAGTCTCGTCCACTGGCCGCAGCCTGGCTCGAGAGGCGTGGGTGGTGTCACTTTGCCCGTCCGTTTATATGGTTCATGCGGTGTTCCCTCGAAAATGCGCCGAAAGGAGTGGATAATGTCACATCTTGAGTAATCCAGGCTCTTGAGATCTTGACCGTACGATCAAGTCGCGATGCGATGCGATGTTTAATCCCACATTTCTTCAAGCGTGCGTGGTTGTGGTGACAGTTGTCTCGTGCGAAGGATAATAGGCTGGCTGTCTTCCACCGAAGAGTTGGGCATAGTTTCTCGACCGAACTTGCCTCATATAATGTTCTTGTTCATTCGTAAAGGGTAATATCCCTTCTCCTGAACTGGAGCCGGCTCGCCTTCGATCCACCACTTGATGAAGTGCGGCGCCTGCCGCGACAACGAGGCCGGCAATCAGGATACAGATGAGGATGACAAGGCCGTCAGATAAACCCATGGTGACGATCAAAGCGCAACTGAGGCGTTCAAGACTTGTCGTCGGCGAATTTTTATCTGGCAAGGATGGCCTGTGACAGGACAGGATAGGATTGGGGGGGGGAGGACTGCAGTTGGGAAAGGGTTTTGAAGAAGGACGAAGGAATAGAGGGAGGGGGCGGGCTGAGATAGAAAAGCTGGCTGATCGCGACACGTACTTTATTCGCAGCCGCAGGTGAGAAATAATAAGCCTGGATGGTGTCCGGTGGGAGGGTGTGCCTTGTCGTGTGTCCGGCAGGGACAGGCTTGATCTTGGACTCACTTGACTCGAGTCGGGAACGTGGTGAACTCTGAAGAGTTGGATTACTGGGGCTTCCACACACTTCTTACGAATCCCCCATGTTGACTGACCTGACATGCATCAAGGTGGTTGGATGGTCTGGATTTTGCGTGCGAGAATTTTCTTGGTGTCGTGTTCATGGCGAATCGAGTTTGAGCCCTTGCAACGCCATGACACGGCATTAGCGAGAAACTGGGCCAATAACAAACCACACGGCCGGGGCCACTGCGTCGTCAGCTGCAAGCACCGCCCCCCGAATGCACCTTGGGGCACTTAGGACACTTAGGGCTTGGTGCCTCGGATGCCCATTGCTTGGTGCCGCGGGGGGCTTAACAGTAGGGGGCCTCTAGGGGCTTTTGGGGGTTGCCGTTTGTTGATGCCTTTGTCTCACATTATCCTCCTTGTGCACAAATGTATGGAGTACATCCCTACATACAGTACTGTATAACAGGGAGTATGGATACGAGTACGGAGTACGGAGTACATTAGGTACCTACTCCGTACACACAGTACTTATCCATACTGGTCCTAGGTACCTATTTAATGCCTACAACACCTAAAATAGGTACCCTTAGCACAGTGCATGACGACTTTGCGTGCGAGTCTCGCATGCCGACCTCCCGAAATCGAATTTAGTTAGCATTATTATTATTGCACCTCGAAGCACAGTTCATCGCGTCCCCAATCGTTTGTTTCTATAAAAATCCTCGAGCCGAAATTTCACAATCTGATAAGCCCTACGCTTATTGGGCACCATGATGAAACTTGCCAGCCTTGCCGAAACTTCTTCGGATCCTTCCGGTTGCATGTCCATTATGCATATCCTTGAGAGCGTCGTCAACATACTCGTACGAGTACTCCGTATAAGATGATCGTCAGGGACAGGGTTGACCTGCAGGGGACCACTATGGAAATACCTGAGGGTTCACCTGCAACACACTGGCAACACTTCTTGTCTGATCGTTTACAGCATTGCCTTTTTTACTGTATGTAGATATCGAAATCAGCATCTGTCAAGCTGGCCTAGTTCTGTTGACACGCTACACAAATAGCAAGAATATGGCAATTGTTCCGTCCCGGTGATTGTCTTACACGAGCCACCTGGGATGTGCGGGATCATACCACTTGAACGTCGTCAATGTCTTTAAATAGCCCAAGCATACAACTAATGTTCTTGCTGCACTCGCTCCAGACTGACGCACGTACGATATAATTTATCATGATGTGTGCTATATGAGATCGAATGCATCCTCAAAGTCTTGGTGATCTCGGGAAAGCGCGTCACCCGAGCCGGTCGCAGCCTCTTCGTTTGATTGTGTACAGAGATGGACACAAATGATATTTGTATGCTCTCCGATCAACAATCATTTTTGTCAGGTGAAAAAGGCCCCAAGAGAATTGTGCAACTGTCGCTTCTCATGGACCTTGAGCGAGTCAATCTCCAGTTCTCATGACAGCCACTCGATCGGGGCAAAGTCCTTCCCATCAATCTCGAGAACCTAGGCCCCCAATGTCCAAAATGTACGCTCACAACCCCCGGTAAGAAAGGCGCTGGCAGTAAGAAGGCCTTTGAAGCTGGCCGCAGTATCATAAAGCGGGCGTTGGCACAATTGATTTTTGATACGAGTACTGTTAGCTGTTTGCCCATCAAAAGTTCTTTGCCCCGAAGGCATATACCAGGAGATGCGGATTGTCGCTACTTCACCTCTACATGACTGAATACCGCAAACACCCCCAGCTTTGTCGGTGGCTTAAGCGCAAAACGCCTGGAACCCAACGCACGCTGACTATCTACCCTCTTTCTACGACACTCTTAAAGCCAATCCAGTCGACTGCTACATTCTTGAACATCACACATTGATTTCCGATAGCAGTGGAACAGAATGCCATCCAACTCCATAATTTACTTGAACCGCTACAACGCGTTCGCGCAATCTGACGCAACACCCGCCTCGATTAGCAACATTGACACGCGGCCTCATACTCTGTCCACGACCTCAGCCTTGACCCATTTTTTTCTGCGCTCCCTTGGCCGAATTCTGCTGCTGTTGTTGATCACTACGACGCCTTTCGATAATAAGAAGACAGTTGACTGTGCGTCCTGCGTGTCCCGGGGAGCGGCAGAGTGTGATATCGGTTGTGCATATTTGGTTTCAAGTCCGAAGGTGTTCCCGGTAGTACTACTGTCCTCACGAAAAGCAGCCCTCTCAGGTATTTACTCTTGGTGGATATGTACCGCCTAAGTGCTTGAGACGAATTCATTCAAGCTATCCGCTTCTTGTCCTGCTATTTCATTCAGGAACCAAGAAGAGTGCTGATCATGGAGGACTACCAAGCTCATTTGGCCAACGCTGCTATCTACTGCATCTGTCACATGCACAGGTATTTGCAACGGAAAACGTCAAACCTGGCAGGAGGCGAGCAGGATCACCATTGCTGAATGCCCCTGATGTTGATGGGTTTGCCTTCGTCAGCGTCACGCTTGCCCTGCACGACATCCTTGACAAAGTTACCGCCGATGGCAGGGTCGAGAGCACCGATCTAGATTGGAAAAATAAGTCAGCTTGATTCGAGATATGTGGGAGATGGTGTCCTGCAGGGTTGAAGCTTACCTGCGTTAGTTTTTCTGGTCCAATTCCCGCAAGGCCGGTGGCCAAAAAGCCCGGGGACACAGCAAACACCTTGACTCCATCGTTCTTAAGCCAGCGATACCACTGTCGCATCATCATGTTGAGGCCGACCTTGGAGCTGCGGTAGGCTTCGGTTGGGTTCAACGTGTGCGGCTTCGGCCAACCGGCCGGAGGGTAGGCGTTAATTGTCGCATAGTTGGCGTCCATGCGTTCCGTGTCGGCCAGGACTGATGTGCCGCTAGTCATGAAGAGGAGACGAGGCTTACTCGACTTGAGTAACAGCGGAACAAACAGCGTTGTCGTGACATGCGCCCCCGTCACGTTGACGTCCCAAGTCCTGTTCCAACCATCGCGGAGACCGAGCTTGCCAGCCTGGATTTCCCTGTCGACGCCGACACCCGCGTTGTTGATAAGTACGTCTAGGTTGCCAAAGTTCTGGTTCACGTGGTCCACGGCGCCCTGGATCGACGAGTCTGAGGTGACGTCGATCTGCACGGCACTGAACTTGCTGTGCGAGTCTAGGATTTCCTTTTGGAGCCGAGCCACCGCCTCTGCCCCTCTGGCCAGCTCCCGACTGCCGATGATGATGTTGTACGGGGCCGCGTCTTTCGCGAGCGACCTTGCGATCTCCAGTCCCAAGCCGGCATTGCCTCCAGTGATCAGGACAACCTCGCCAGACATGGTAGCGCAGGTGTACAAAAATTGACGCAGAGTTTGGGACCTCGATATGGATTGAGTGATGGTATTGCTACGTCTGCTGGAACCAAAATTCGAGCAACGACTCTTGGTTCTTATATACTTCAGTATATCGTCGGTCTGCGGTTGATCACATCCAGACGGATGTTCGGAGATAATGGATCTGGCTTGTCGCTGCCTCTTTAGGTTGGTAGACACCGTAATGGCTTCCCAAACGAGACTACGGTACGGTAAGTAATGCTACCACGCAGCAGGGTAATGGATACTAGTATGTATCTCGGCTTGACTTCACTAACAAAACCTGTTCGAGATTACTGAACGTTGTCACGTCTTTGACTCGGGGCACGGACTCTGTTCAAGTCGTTCAATGTGTCGGCCCTGATGCCGCGGAATGGTCGGCTATTACGGATCGGGAGCATCGAAGCCTTTTTTCCACTCCTTTTTCTTGGACACTAGGATTATGTACCGAATATGGGGTCCGGGGTAGATGCTTCACGAGAATGTGCTAGTATAGCGACTTGAGTATCTCTCCTGGCGTCTATGTATATATGTGAACCTCTCAGCCAAGAGCGACATCTTTGGCCAACTTCGAAGCAATGGCGCATCAGGCTCCCACCCCGCTGCAGAAGAACTTTGCTGACATGGATGTTGAGAACGATGGGACTAGACATGTCGAGGAACGGATTGAAATTGTCGAAGATCAAGACCAGGTAGGTAACCCCTGCTCTGCTTCTGAGTACTTGTTGCTGACATGGAGTCGAGATCAAGGACGGTGTCGTCCTCTTGATGGCCGAAACTCGCAAAGCTGATGGCGAAGCTGGTGTCAACGCAAACATCAAATTTGCCAACGATGGCAAGGTCAGTGCTGCTGCTGCTACTGCTACAACCACCAACACTAATCTGCAAGTGAGCGACGACTAACATGCTGATAGACTATCCTCGTCCCTCAACCGTCTGGAAACCCAGAAGATCCGCTGAACTGGTCCTCGTTCAAGAAGCATAGCATTCTGCTCATGGTCTCGTTCGGGGCCTTTTGCGGCGATTTTGGAGCCGCAGGCGGCATTCCTGCCATCGGCCTCATGTCTGCCGAGTGGAACATCTCCATCCTGCTTGCTAACTCGCCCAACAATATTTCAGCGCTCATGTGCGGCGTGTCAGGGGTGTTGTTCATGCCCCTGCTCAACTCCTGGGGCCGCATTCCCGTCCTATTTTGGACCACCTTGATTGGTGCCGGATTCACGCTGGCCGTCTGCCTAACGCACGACTTCAACGCATTCTTTGCCATGCGAACCTTGCAGGGCCTTTTCCAGAGCGCGGGCCAGACGATCGGCCTAGCGTTCGTCGAGGACATGTTCTTCTACCATCAGCACGCCCGAAAGATAGGCATCTGGTATTCTATATTCATCACGTCCCCGTTCCTGTCCCCACTTTTGGGCAACTTCATCGTTGCTAAAACAGGCACCTGGCGTCCGATCTTCTGGTGTAACTTTGCCGTCGCGGCGACCTTGACCCTCGTAATTTTTTTCTTCGGCGACGAGACCTACTACCGTCGCAGCATTCCTGTGGAGCAGCAGCGCAAACGTCCATCAAGTCAACGCCTCCTCCGTGTCCTGGGAGTCTGGCAACTTCGCGAGCGACGGGGTAATTTTCCCACTGTGATGCACACGTACATGCGGCTGCTCGAGGTGTTCTGTAAGCCCGTGATCCCACCAACGATGCTTGCCTACAGCATTGTATTCATGTGGTTCATCGGTATTACGACCTCTTCATCAATTCTGCTATCGACACCCGAGTCGCTCGGCGGCTACGGCCTCAGTACGCTAAGCTTGGGCTACTGCTTCTTCACACCCATCGTGGCCGTCTGTTTGGGCGAGTTGATAGGGCATTTCTTCAACGATGCGATGGCGAATCACTACACAAAAACCCACCGTGGTCGCTTTATGCCTGAGGTGCGCCTGCGATCGACGTACATTGGTGCAATCCTCATGGTTCCTGGTCTGGTGGTCATCGGCCAGGCCCTTGCCCACCACCTCACCATTGGCGCCATCATCATGGGCTGGGGCATGTATACCACTGGTATCATGATAACTTCCGTGGCCACTGTCGCCTGGGCTTTATCCTGCCATCCTTCTGCCTCTGGGGAGGTGTCGGCCCTCATCAATTTCGGTCGTGTCGCCTGTGGATTTTCCGTCTCGTACTTTCAGCAGCAATGGGGCACCACAGAAGGTTTTGACGTCTCGTTCGGTATCCAGGCCGCTACTACCGTCGTTGCCTTCCTGATATTCGGCTTCTTGCAGGTTTTCGGGCCCAGACTTCGTGCCTGGGCGGGGCCCGTCTCGCACATTATCGTCTAAGCTCGCGAAGGAGTCTGGGTATCTGTATACAAGCCAATTGAAGGAGTGATGAGAATATCCTTCGGGGTCAATATGAAGAAGATCCTCAAAGAACTGCTCTTAATGTGACTAGGAAAGAGACAGACTCATCAAATTCAACGGGGCTTCACTTTAGGTTTATGAGGCACAGTCTGATACTCTGTACATGTAAGATGTGCAGCCTACGAAAGCATGCTATCTTGAGTAAGGCTCTGAGGCCCAGGAATGCGCAGTGACTCTCTCTACCATTCACTTATTAGGCTGTATGTCTGCATGACTTGTGTACAGTTCCCAGGCTCAGCACCATTTAATCTCCAAACGGTGCCCAATAATCTCACCATTGAACCACTCCTTCATTTTGATCTGATGCTGGATCGTCGTGGCCCCCTCGAGAATATTACTGGCGGCAACGACGCGGACGGCCTCGTGAATCTCTTGCATGGCTAGATTCTTGCCGAGGCAGGCACGCAGGCCGACGCCAAAGGGTATCATGTGTTTTTCCATGAGTTCCCTTTGTTGTCCCTTTTTTGGTGGCAGTAGTCGATGAGAAACTTCGTCGCCGTCATGGATGGAAGACGGAACAATCTCGTCGGTACTGGGTAAAAGCCTCCGCTCGGGCTGAAACTCGAACGGCTTGTCAAATACGTCGGCGTCATGGTGAAGCACATAAGCTGCACACCCTACCACCGTACCCGGGGGGATGGTCTGGCCGCAGACTTGAAGTCCACTGGGCGGCACCACTCGAGTGAGACGCGTTGGGTTCGTCATGGCGAGTCTCAACCCTTCCTTGACCACGGCACGCAAGTACGGCAGCTGCGAGGTGTCCATGTTCTGGGCTTCCGGGCTCTCGACCTCGTCGTGAAGCCTCTTGTTCACACTGGGGTTTTGCACCAGGTGGAAAAGAATAGTCGCGAGCACGATCGCCGTTGAGTCGGCGTCGGCAAAGATGGTCGCTTGCGCCTGCACCTTGGCCTCGAAAGGGCTGATACCAGCGGCGAGCAGTCTGCCTTGATACGTCATCGGGCTAGAAGAAGAAGATCTGTCGGTAGAATCGATACCTTCGGCTTGTGACGCCGTTGACGTTTTCTTCAACAAACGGTCCGAATACTCTCCCAGTCGCTTGAAAGACCGGTCGACTTCCGGGCTCGAGGCCCACCACGTCGAGGCCGCGTAAGTACACCTGAACAACCAATTTGGGAGGAGGGAGAAGCGAGCAAATGCCACGATGGAAAATACAAACGGGTTGGCGCTGAGTTTTGTGTGTTTGCGTTGTGAGATAGGCAGGTCGTCATGCTCGTGCAGCCCGTCGTACCTCCGTCCAAGCAGGTAACCCGTCACGACGTCGATGGAAAGGCGGGCACAGAGGTCCAAAATGTCGACCTCGTCGTTGGCTTCTTTGAGTAGGCGGAACTGGTCCATGAAATCACGGATACACTCGCCAATGATTTGTTGTTGCTGGGTCGCGTTGCGTAACCTGCCGGGTGCGAACAACGGTGCCACCGTTTTCGCCCGCACGTTGCGGTAATCCGCGTCGATCGCCGAGAAGATGGAAACCACGGGACCCATGGTGAAGTTGGCGTACCGGTCGTCCTTGACGAACCCACCCTGAGCCACGTAGATTTCGTGCATCGCGTCCGGGTCCGAGATGGACACCGAGTTGGTCGACACCCTCAAGGTCTTGGTTTTGTACTTTTCGTGGTAGTGCCTCATCACACGGGCTTCGATGCCCAGGTAACAGATGATGGAAAGAAAAAAGGGCCCGACGGCTGCGAACCAGGGCCCGGGGAGGTGGCTCAGAGGATGAAACCTGACTCGGTACAATATGACGGCCAAGGGCAGGATCGTGGCCATCAATACCAGGGTCGACACCATCTCGTTCCAAAACCTTGCCTCGTTCACGGCTTTGAAGATTGACAAAGAGGCACCATACCAAATGCTTCTCAGAAGTACGACAATGTTTGTCCCCGGCTTTGCATTTTCCACCCTGGGGGCCCCGGACAGCAACAAGTTAATGTGCATTATATAACGGGGGACTCATTGGTCCGGGGATGTCACGCACACCAGAACACATCCACCCCAGCAAACCCGGGAATTCGCACTTAGTCAGAAAGCAAGTGTGGTTTGTGCTCAAGGTACTGGCCTGGGGGCATCTTCCGTTGTCGAGGGCGGCGCCGGTTCCCCAGTATTCGTAACAGCTTACCCGTGAAACAGTCGAATTCCGATCCGCCCGATGTTGAACTGACTGTATGTATTTCCGACCCGGCCGGCAAGGCTTCTAGCCGTGTATGCCACCGAATCAACGACGAACAGTTCTTGCCAATACAAATCAGGGGTCTCGAGGGTGGAATAATAGATGACCCACGGAGTGAGAGCATGGAGATACAAGGAAGGTGGCCGGAGGTAGCAAGGTCGGTAAAAAGGGGTATCCTTCACATGTTCTTTGTATGCTTTGGAAGTAAAAAGAGTTCATGTATTCCATTCGTTTTACTTTGTTCAAGAAACTATTGCAGTCCTAGAAGAAACAACCCTTGTTTCGTGAGGTCATAGAACGGCGATACCTAGCCAAGATGGCCTTGATACGACGTAGTAGAACATTAGGTAGATATCCTCACGTCGCCCGCCAAGTGAGCCGGGCCCTCCTCAACCAAGTTGTCTCAAGTTGCCTCCATTCGTTCAGTACTTGTGAAAGTACAAGTCGCACCTCCCGCTCTTGGGCCGGATGACGAAAAACTCGACGTGGCTCATGGAGTCCGGGGTGGTCCAGGGGGCCGGGGTCACCAGATATCTGCGAAAGATGTGACCTAGATGGATCCGAAGTTGCATGTTTGCGAGGCTGGAGCAATGACTTAGTCAAATCCCGAGAAGGGGCAAAAGAGAGAGAATTACTTGAGACCAATACATGCTCGAGGTCCGGCGGAGAAGGGGAGAAAGTTGACCTTCATTGCCGGTGTGGGATCGAACCAGCGTTCTGGTACGAACGACTCGGGGTCGGGGTAGACGCTTTCGTTACGGTGGTTCGTGTAAGCCTGCATCCCGACAATTGTGCCTTGTCTTATGTGACTCCCGGCGATGTCGAGCCCGCCTTCTCCAGCCACCCGCTCGAGGTAGGCCGGGATAGGGGCGTGCAGCCTCAGACCTTCACGGCAGACGCCGTCTAGGTAAGGAAGCTTTTCCAACCGCTCTACATTCAGGGGCTCCGTAGGGTCGGGAAATTCCTCGGCCAGTTCTAGGTGGAGCTTTTCTTGGATCTCTGGATGCCTGGACAGTTCCCAGGTGGTGAACATGGCCGTGTTGCCCGTCGTGTCGGAACCGGCGTTTCTGTATTTGTCATTAGGAAGAAGAGATTCAACTGTTTTCCAGAAAGAACGACATTACAGTATCTCCATCATTTCGGCAATGATCTCCTGGGATGACAAAGCCGCATCAGGGTTCTTCTTCCCGTCTTCTTCGATGCGAGACAGAATGTCGACCCGGTTTCGATTCTCAGGGCCGGCTCTGGACCACATTTCCCTCGCCCGAATGGCATACTGGAATATTACTGTCAGCTGTTGAAAACATTTGGCCACCAAGCCAAAAAAAGAGGGGGGGAGACAGATGGACATCACTCACTTTTGCAATTTCCTCGTCGGCACCGAACCATGCCGCAGCCACATTTGGAGTCACAATCTTCATGATGGGCTTTAGGATAGGGAAGGCGCCGATCTGGAGAGGAGACAACTATCAGCTTCAAAGGGACAGAATTGTCAATAGCCTCGACGCTACACTGACCAGACCGTTTCTCTTGTTCCGCATCTCGATTTGTTGGATGAAATGGGTGTCCTCGGTCTTGAGCATTCCAATCTGCTGGCCAAAGGCAACGTCGGTGATGACGTCGAAAGTCAAGTATCGAAACCACTTGAAGGCGTCGACTGGCCTGCCGTCGCCGTCGAACTTGGACAGCCAGTCGAGAAAGTGCTCGAGATGACCCCGGATCACCGGTTCCATCTCTATCAGATTGGTCCTCGAGAACGCGGGCAGCAGCGATTTCCGCCTGCCGTGAGCCTCCTTGACGCCTAGGAGGCCGATGCACATCTTGACATCGCGGAACCGGAAGGCGTCGTCGTAGGCGTGCGACTTTGTGATTTTGTTATTGTAGATGAGTTTGACTCCTTCTTCCGCCGAGACGCAGACCTTGTTCGGCGCAATTCGAACCACAGGCCCGTACTGGGCGTGGAGGGTTCGGATCCACATTGCCTTCTTGCCTCGCAGCGCCGCGATGAAGAGAGGTGCGCTCGATACGTTGGTGAGCCATGGCCCTTTGATGTCGCACAGAGGGCTGTGGAAGTGAATGAACAATACATAAAAGACCACGCTCAATGGAAATCCGGCGAGGATGATGCCCAGCAGGCTCTGGGACGTCTCCAAAGCTCCGACATCACGTAGCAAAGCCATCTCAGGAGTGGTAGTCTGGGAGCCCAAACCATATCGGCCATCTTACAAACTCTTTTGAGGGGTTCGTCAGATCAATACATCTACGAAGAAGACCACCAGGCAACTATGCCATGCCACTTCTCTTGCCTGATAGATTGGGCCAAGGAAGGGGATAGGTCGGTGTTGAAGCACTTCCGACGGACTGACCCGATCCATCCGACCGTCACACTCGGGACCAACGAGACGCCAATTACCACTCGATGTACTACGATAGAGAACAGTCAGAAAGAGATGATAGCTTCTCTTGACCCATGTCAAAATTATGGTGTAGTCAAACTTAAGGACACGACGAGGTCGAAAGCGCATAGGCACCGTGTAAGTGGAGCGGGCAAAATGAGCGAGCATTTCCCGCCCTCATCTTACGAGACGAACCTCTTCATCGATGACAAGGTAAAAGTCCTGGAGAACGAGAGTATTTCTCCTGAGTATACTTACATTAGCAAAGTTTGTGGCTGGCAATGGAGGCAAGACCTTCACCATTTACAACCCTGCCACCGAAGAACGAATATGCGAGGTCGCAGAAGCAACTTCAGAAGACGTAGATCTTCCTGTCGACGCCGCAGCTCGAACATTTCCGGAATGGAGTAATATGAACGCTTCTCAAAGGGCGGTGCCAATGCAGAAGCTTGTGCAGTTGATCCAGGAGAATGCGGATGAACTAGCAAGGCTGGACTCACTGTGCACGGGAAAGTGAGCAGTCCCCTACAACCTTCTTCGGTCAGGCGACTGACAAATCTTCTGGTCAGACCCGTCGAGCTACTCAAAAAGATGGATGTGCCTGCATGCGCCGGTGTATTCAGCTACTTTGCAGGTTCAGCCCTCCACATCCTGGGCGAATCGAGCCTGAGTTCATCCAACTTCTTGAACGTCACTCTACGACAGCCGTATGGGGCGGTGGGACTGATTATCCCATGGAATGTGCGTTCTTGTATAAGCCTTGGGTTTCATGGTCTTCTGACTGCTCTCAGGTTCCCATGATCATGTTCGCGTTCAAAGTAGCGCCAGCCTTGATCTGCGGCAACACGGTCGTGCTCAAGTCGGCGGAGCGCGCTCCGTTGAGCTCATTGAAATTGGCTGCTCTGATCAAAGAAGCAGGCTTTCCGCCAGGGGTGGTCAATGTGCTGAGCGGGTTTGGGGATCCAACTGGCTCAGCTCTAGCCTTACACATGAAGGTGCGGAAGATCTCCTTCACTGGCTCTGTTGGTGTCGGTAAGAAGATCATGAAGATGGCGGCCGATTCGAATCTCAAGAACGTATCTTTGAACTTGGAGGCAAAGGAGCCGCCATAATCTTCCAGGATGCAGATATCGCCGCCGCTGCTCGGTAGTACGTCGAGGCGCCTTTTTATGAATGGTTTCTCGCCGCTAACTAATAAATGTGTAGCACGCACTATTCGATCAACCATAACAGTGGCCAGCACTGCCAGGCCAATAGCAGGGCATTGGTTCATAAGGACATCTTGGACGAATACCTGAGGGAACTGGCCCGTCTGATGGACCAAGTGACTGTTGGCGACCCTTCGGACCCGAAGACATTCCAGGGGTAAGTGAATTTCAAATCAGTAGACAGGAATTTACTAACGGAAATTCGGTAGCCCGCAAGTCGACAAGAAAGCACTCGACCGCATCCTCAGCCTCGTTATAGAGGGAGCAAAAGATGGGAAGTTGGTGCGAGGAGGTCGTCGGCACGGTGACAAGGTACCGAACAAGGGCTTGCCCCTTTGACGGCCCCCTTTCTTTATTAATCTGTGAGTTTTAGGGAGCATTTCTGGAACCGACGATCTTGTTCAATGTCGACACAAAGTCAAGCGCCTATTAGGAAGAGATCTTTGGCCCCGTCATCATCGTGAACACCTTTGAAGACGAGGCGGGCGCGCTAGCCGAAGCAAATTGTGTGGAATTCGGGTTGTTCTGTGAGAAGACCTCTGTCCCTCTTCCCCACCCCTCTCACCAATGGGCAAGGCTGACATGACGATATCCTCCAGCATCTGTGTATACCAAAGACTTTGAACGTGCAATCCGTGTGGCCAAGGCCTTGCAAGCTGGCGACGTGGGTGTCAATTGTTCGGTCCCACTCCGGGCGCTTGACATGCCCATTGGTGGCTGGAAGCAGTCTGGCATTGGGTCCGAGTTGAGCCTACACGGGCTCAGCATGTACACAGAACTCAAGACGGTGTTTCTAAAGTATGGGACCGATCCGACGACCATGTCTTCCAAGTGGCATTGTTCATGATGGAGACGCCAGTAGTAGGACCAGAGGCGTTAGTTACAGCCAGTGGCGCAGAGAAGCGTAAGTTCTATTCAGTCAAAGCTATCTATCGTAGAAGAAGAGAACATTGAATGAACCGATGTATGATTATTGTCTTGAAGACAGGTGCTGTCCTCGTTTTCTGTCGGCACAAT